ATGAATATGAATCTTTTATAGTTCATGTTAAGGTCAAAACCAAAGAGTTTTATTTCAAGAACTCAAATTCTCACAAGAAGTGAGAAAATAAAGATGGCAAGCAAATAAAAGATACACATCTCCAGAAGAGTATATAAATTTATATTTGCTTATAGTAAATAATTTTTGATGCATTATATCTTTGAAATCCCAGAAGTGAAAAGAATCAAACACATAATAGAAATATAAAAAGTTTAAAGAATCAAAGATATAAAACATGATTCAAGTTGGATATATTATTGATTTTATACTAGGATTCCATTCGAGATTGATGAACATGAAGTGACATCATCTCGAGGGGGAGAATGGATGAATCCCTCAATCACTAGAAAGTGGAACATCTAGAAGATTATGTTCACACTAAAAATAATCCTGATGAATCATATATAATGTAACTCAATGGTGTAAAATTATTTTGAAAAAATAACATACATTATCTAATGCCTCATCATAGACAAAGATTATATAGGAGATGTAAATGTTATGTAGTAAACTAGAAGTTTACCGAATATAACATAGTTTGGCATGAGCTGGTTAGACCATTTCGGTTCAAGAATTATGCGAAATAAAATACATCATGTAAAGATTTATTGAAGAACTTGAAGATTCTTCTTAATTATCTATAATGTGATGTTTAATCATAAGACATTATGATTATACAATTACCAACTAGCCAAAATAGATTTGGAATGTATCCAATTTCTAGAAAGAATATAAGAAACTTTTGTGGTCTAATAAACCATTATATGGACTGATCATCCAGTAAGAGAAATGTTATGGTGTTTCTTAAATATATCAACAAGTGTGTTGTATGTATCAATGTTACATATCTGCAACCTGAAGTTTGCGAGATTACTTGGTAGTGCTAGTGAAATCACATCTTAAATCTTTGTTGAGAAAAACATGTTTGTAAGAATAAATGTTGAACATCCAGTAGCAAATGTTCATCATTACACATAATGCAAAAGCATTAATTCGCATAAAGCCAATGAATAACTAAAATTTCTCCCCATCGTAATTGGTTTAGGTCAGAAACCAAAGTTTTCCATCTAAAGATCTATGGATGTGCAGAATACATCCATAATGCTCCACCACAACAATATAAGATGGACCCTCGAAAGGATAGTAAATGTATGTTGGATATTAATCTCCTATGATAATATTTAGAGCTATCCATGAAGGATTTAAATATGGCTCAATTTGTAGACTGTCATTTTAGTGATTCAGTCTTTCCAACATCAGGGGGAGAAAATAAAACAGCTGGAGAAAGATTAAAGTTAGAATGAATTATCATTGATCCTCAGACGATAGTATGTGAAATAAAAGTCTAAAAGATAATTCATTCACAAAACTTACTGTATCAATTGCCAGATACAATTACTGACCCAAATATAGTGTTGAGTCACTTACCAGCTGTAAATGCTCTAAGAATAATTGATTTCCCAGAAGGACAATATCAAGCTGCTAGTAAGTCTAAAGAACGCATGAAGTGTGATAGACTTGTTGGTTCCAAATATTAGACCTCGGTAAAGTAAAATGAGCATAAATTGATAATGGTTAAACCGAGGAAACAAAGGTTTTTGATCTCAAGAAGAGACATTAAACATGACAAGAAAGAAATTCAGGTACCTGAGACAAAGAAGAGATCTCGAGAATTAATTATGTCATGTATGGAATAAAATGGAACCATAAAAGCAAATCGACGTCGTAAATAAAATATTTGCATGCATTATAGCAGTTGATGTTATGAATGAGAAAGAGGATCATGAAACAAAGTCTATTGCATTGTGTACACAAAGTAATGATTTGGCCAAATCGAAAAGAAGCAATAGACAAAACTAAAATCTCTTAGAAAGAGAAATGTATTTGGACCAGAAGTCCTTACACCTTAAAAGTGTAAAACAAGTGGGTTATAATAGGCATGTGGTGGATGCAACTTTCAAGTTCATTAAGTGTGGCAATGAAAGAAGAACTTGACTCATAAGACCCACTAAATAATGACATTTTTATAAAAGTCCCTGAAGGATATAATTCCTGAAGGATTAATGATATCAAAACTATGTTCCCGAAGAACTCTAATTATTTGATCAAATGAAGAGAAATACGTCTCATTGGGGTACAATCACAAAAGTGTTACCCAATGTATATTTATAAAACATTTATGGATCAAAAGAGATCTTTAATCTAAACATCATCGAAATTCCTGAAGAATTGTTGAAATTAGATAAAAGATATTGGAAAGACAAATTTGTCTTAAGATATCTCATATTCACAGTTTAACAAAAAGATGTAATCTCAAAAGATCCTTGTAAGATTTGCATTAAAAATGCTCACATTTGGTCTTGAAGTACCACACTTTAAATTATATTTGAGAAATGTGTTGGTCTCTTTCATAACTGAATGAGAACAAAATGAGCATGAGATAACTCATATATACAAGATAGACATTTACAAGAATGTATATAAAGAGAAAGTTTGGCCAGAAGTCCAAATATAACAAGAAATGATTGTTTATAGAAATAGATGTCATATACTAGAAGTTCAAATGACTTTTATTGAGGTTATACTCATAGCAATCTCCAAAAGATGATATTATTATTGGAATGCATCTCTTGAAGAAGATGCTTCCAAGGGGAGATATAAGATGATATGTGTGGTTGTACTCTTTTTCCTTATTGTGGTTTTTATCCCATTGGGTTTTTCCATGAAAGGTTTTAATGAGGCAACAAAGAACACACAAATGAGAAATATCTAAAGGAAGTCTAAAGATGAAAGTTTAATTCCTTTCCAAAATTCTTCTCATCCATGTATGAGATCAATTGAACAAAGAGAAGATTCATGCACTGCAGAAGAATGACGATGTCAATGTCCTAAATATGTTCAAACAAAGACTGAAGATTTACTGAAGATTTACCTGACAAGGAGTTTTCAACTACAACTTTCAAGGAAAGAGGTCATCTGATTGTGACGGATGTTCTCATGAGGGGGAGTGATTGCGCGATGCACTCTTTTTCCTTAACCAAGGTTTTTCCCACTGGGTTTTCCTAGTAAAGGTTTTAACGAGGCATCATCTTATGTATTTAGAATGTATTTTTGTATAATGGACATCCAAGGGGGAGTGTTATGGGTAAATAAGTGGATGCCCATTAGGCCCATCTTATTCCCTAACATAAACTCTACATAAACCCTACTTGTAATCCTATATATAGGATCATCACCTCCAATGAATGAATAAGCTCCTTTCTCTTTTCTTTTTCTCACAACAGTTACATGGTTCTATCATTTGTTATCTCTGCATTGTCCTCCACGTTTTCCTTCATGATTGTGCCGTCGATGATCTTCTCAGCTTTTGCTATTGACTATTTTTTTTTAGGAGTCCACACATACTTTTGTAGGTGGTTCTGAATAACTTAGCCTCTCTCGTTGCAAAAAGCTGCCAATCTTCCTTTATTTCCACGCATCCCATGCATATGACTGAATCTGTGATTTAATAGGTTTTAGTGAAAAACAAAATTGAAGATTAGCGAAAAACAGAGGGTAGTATGACATATCTTTGGATGTCGGATTGATGTTTTTCTGATTTGAGTAAGAAGATAAATGCTCGAGGGGTATTTATAATTGTATTTGTCTTCTCGGCATTTGTAGTCCGGGTCTAATTCTTTGAATAAGATCTAAGTTGAATGTTTTGGGAATTGTTGTTTCGTAGAACCATTGTTTGACCACTCTCTACGATGAATTGTAAATTCTATTTGTCGATGTTTTTTTTCATGTTTTAATTTATCAGATTATATTTATGGTTATTTGTAATACATACGACTTTAATATTTTTCTTAGAGTTTGTTGATTCAATTACTTGTTTTTTTCCATGTTTGAATATTGATTTTGTTAGACCATGTTAGTGAACTCTTAAGTGACGTAGTTTTGAAATCATGTGTGGTTATGTAAGATACAAGTAATTTCAGCAGGAGAATAAATGAAAGGAAACTTTTTTCAGGAAACTCTTTGAAAAAGCAGTGAAAAACAATTGTTCAAAGAAACTCTTTTAGTATCCGATAGATGACAAATGAAACTTTGAAATATTGGAATGAAATTATTACAGTAGGACTGTTTTCTGAAGGTGATTTGTGCGAGATTTTGTTTTTGAAAACTTTTTGCCCTTTCCATAAGTTTCTCCCTTGGAGTATTTCTTCTCGCTCCTGGTTTTCTTCACCTGTTGTTGTTTGCTTGTGGTTAGTTTAGTTTTGATAACATTAGTTATATACTCTTAATTTTTTTTTTTTTTTTAATACATGTTTGTCTGTGGTGTAGATTGTGGAAGAACTGTTTGTAAACGTCAATATCTCTCCTAGAGATTTTCTTTTAACTGCTGGTTTTCATCACCTGTGGTTGTTTCTTTCTAGTTAGTTAACTGGTCATAACATTAGTTATAGAAAAGGACGATTTATTTTGGGAATACCTTTTTTCCTGTCAGGAAGATTGTTGAAGACCTCTTTGTAAACCACATTTTTGACCGCCTTTGCTGTTTCTTTTCCGGATGTTTCAATCCAAATCTGCAAACCTTTTTTTGAAGTAACTCGAGATAGAGCAACATAGAGTTGTCCATGACTGAACACCGGTTTTGGTAGATAGATGCCTACATGTCCTAAACTCTGGCCTTGACTTTTGTTTATTGTCATTGCATAGCAAACTCTAACTGGAAATTGCCGTCTTTTCATCTTGTATGGACAATCAGTATCTGCTGTTGTCATTATGATCCTTGGTATTAGGATTCTCTTGCCTACCTTTGTGCCTACCAAAATCTCTGCTTCAATCACTTTTTCTCCCAATCTTGTAACCACCAGTCTTGTGCCATTGCAAAGCCCTTCCTTTTGATTAATGTTTCTCAATAGAATAATTGGAACATTTTTCTTCAAACAAAGGCGATGGTTAGGCAATCCTGAGACCTTGAGTGCATTTAGATACTATGTCATGTATAGTAGATTCACTCCATCCACGTCACTATCACTGTGGTCAATAGTGTTGGCACTTAGACATTCTTTCATCTCGCCTCTGATTTTTGTCAAAAGGAAGTCGTTTATCTCATCGACTGTTTCGTTTCTTGGGGTTAGAATCGCTCGGTCACCCAGATAGTCGTGGTCTTGAAAACAGTTCTCCAGATCAGGAAAGGTTGATTTCTGTATTTCTTCGAGTGGGTTTCCTCCTCTAGGCAACATAAAACTTTCTTTGATCTCAATGTTTTCACCCTCTTCGCCACATCTTTCAAGCGAAGATACTACTTTAGCTTCTCCATTCCCAACTTATAGAATCCATTTAACAAACTCTTTTTCTTCCTGGTGGACTCTCATGTTTGTGGAAAGAGTGGATATACTGCAGTGATCCCACAAGTGAGATCTATTGAGTGATGCTAAAACAGTATCTTGTCTGTTTCCTTTTTGAACAACTGGTAATACTTGTCGAAAATCACCGCCTAACAGGACTGTTTTCCCTCCAAACAGTTTATCTGAACTCATTATATCTCTTAGTGTGACGATAAGCCATAGGTGCCTCGTCGCATATAATTAGCGATGTTTCTTGAATTAAGCCTACAAGCATAGTGTTTCCTTTGATTTCGCAAACTGAATCCTCATAGAGATCTATTGGTAGTTTGAACCGTGAATGTGCAGTTCGTCCTCCAGATAATAGTGTTGCTGCGATTCCTGAGGAAGCAACTGGAAGGACTATCTTTTTCTGAGAACGTAGTTTAGAAATGAGTGTCCTATATACATAGGTTTTCCCAGTTCCACTTGGCCCATAGAGGAAGAAAATTTTACCTCTGCGATTGTTCACCGAATCCATAACCTCCTCATAAACTGACAGTTGCTCTGAGTTAAGTTTTGAAAACAGTTCCACGTGCTTGGCTTTCTCTTCCTCTTTGTTGTATTTTTGCTCATCAGTTATCATTGTGTTCTTCTCACTGCCGGTGATGTTTGTTTCTAGAAGAGGAATTTTCGGATAGTCAGCTAATGACTTATCATGTTGCTTGAGACGTTTGTCGAGTTCTATTAGAACATATTGTTGAACATCCTCATCATCTAATACCAATCCCTCAAAGTCAAGCCTTCTCTGTTGCATATGTACCATATCCTCACCTAGACTTTTCCAACAATGGTTCCATAGCTTCAGTGGGTCTGTGATTTGACAGTGTAATAGCATTGTAACATAGAGCTCTCTCAACTGCCATGCATAAGCCCACTGAGCTGTTTCAACCAAGTTTTGATGCCACTCTTTATCTCCATCCAAGAGACCCATTGCATAACAACTTTCCTTGAATGTTTTATATGTAACGCCTACAACTGTCTTGATTTCATCGTAGGTACGACACCCTCTGACATGACCTATCATCATTCGCAAGTAATAGAGATCTCCTGATGTGACGCTGATATTTACAATCCTTCCAACACTCTCACCTCTCTGTCGCCTAGACCACTGTCTGTTTGTTTTAGACCACACAAACATTGTGGGAAACTGAATATATGTGAGAGTCCGCGCAAGCTCGTCATGTTTGTTTGCTTCCATCCATCCGGTGGACATTGTATCATGTAACTCCATTCTCATGACAACATTTTCTGGATTCTCATTTTCCTTTTCCTTGAAGTAAGCTGGTTGCTGGCTTTCGAGATGTAATGTCAGCTTTTGCACCGCAGGCTTTTGGTGGTGAATTTCGAAACCATAGGTACGCCAAGCTGCCTCATGTGCTGATAAGAATCGACATTCTTGGAAATTCCTAATTTCATTTATTTCTATCTTTTCCGTGGATCCACTTTCTTCTCCTCCGTCTGTTTTTTGGAAAATGATTGTAGCCTTGTCGACGCCTTTAGTAATGTACTTGAAAAGGTATTTGATAGCCTTGGAAGTATTACACCAGTAAACATTGATATGCGCCTTGAATTTTTTAAACAGAGCCATACTATATGGGATAACATAGCGGTTGTCTAACTTTGTCTCACCTTTCAAAGCATACCTTTCTTCATCATCTCGCCTCCTGTAGATTATATACCCATCTTGATCAATAGTTGTACTCTGCGCGAATGATCTTGGATATTTCTTTGAACAAATTCCGTTTTCCATGCAGACGTTGCTTGGCCAATCTACTCCGCATGGACCATACATCATGTGCTTTTTAACCAGCTCATATCCCTCAGGATCCTCTTTCATATCATGTATCTCTGATGAAATGATTTCATCAACATAGGAGTATATGTGCATGTGGAAGTTCTCTTTTTTTTTAAATCCAATGGTATAGACAACTGAAATCATGTGACATAATATTGGAATGAGTTATATATATTTTTAGTAATATATTATGGATACGAAAGTAGTATTAGTAAGTATGAGAAATTTAATCTGCAAACAGTAGTCCAAAATGAGTTCCTTCCTTGGCTGGAATGGAATGCACGAGTAGTGATTTCTGGCCTATCATCGGCTGTGTCGTTTCCATATTTTTGCAGATGTTCTTTGACATCTTCCCATCCCGGATTTGCGGTTATAGTAACAAACAGATGGGGATTTCCATAAGTTCGACACAGCACCATTGCGTCATGATAATTTTTGACCATGTATCTTGGACCTCCTACGAATGTTCCCAGTGATTTTGAATCAGAGTCTCCTCTTCCAACCGCATCACAGACATTATTATAAAGGTCAGCTCTAAGCTTCTTTTGGTTAAGCCTGTTAAACTTTAGACGTTCTTCTTCTATAATTGTATAGGCATCAACTATAAACTGATGGTATAGACGACCTCCTCTAGTCATTGTTTTCCCTTCAGACAACCTTGTTTGGAGCTGGTATGCATAGTACTCTCTGACTGTAAGATATTCTCTCTGGATCGTCTTTTCGTTTTCACCAGCATATGGAATCCGTAAGTGGAATCCACTGTCTCCATAAGGGAACAACATAGGGTACTGAAGAGCCATGTAGTGAGGATGTAAACAGTTTATGCGCTGGAGATCGGAAGACTTGTACTGGATAACAATATCTCGTTCAGCAAAGTCTCCAACAATCAGTCCTGCTATTTCATCAGAAACAGGTAAATCAAACTGTCTCCCTTTTTGTTTGGCCCCAACCAGTCGAATTGTGAATTATTCAAAACTTCCTGATTCAAACTTATCTCAAGCTTTCCTGAATTCCCCAGCTAACCAATTGTTTTCGTCCATCATGTGAACCAAAGCTTCGACAATTTTTTCTTCAAGCTTCGATTGGTTGCTTTTTCTAGACATGGTATTGATTCGGTTGGAGATTTCATTTCTTGTATCAAAAATGTACAGCTGACCACATTTTGGTGGTTTTCCTTCTGGTGGTAGAAGTGAGCCTAATCAGTGAAAAGGCTGCCCTTGAATTATGTACGTGTAAGGACCATAACCTGAAGCTACTTATTGATCAACCTCAGCTCCAACGGATGTGAAAGCTAACATTAAGTTGTAGACCTTTATATTCTCTGTAAAATGTGGTAGATCCAATAACTCTTTCAGCAGTTGTGGTGGCCCAGGAATCGCTGGTAAGGACACTCTTCCTTTTTTACAGCAAATCAAAAACAACATTCTTCCATCTTTAGTTTTCTCGTTGCTTTCTTGTTCCCATACAGAGCGTGACAGAATGTGCATTCCATGAGTATGTTTTCTCTCCTCGTTTCTTTTTTTTCCCTGTATTTGATAGTATTCATTAATAGTTGCATATTTGGCTTTTGTAAAAAAAGGATTTATACCTTTTGATGAAGCGATTGTCACAGTTTTGGTTTGCCGCTTTCCTTTAAGAATCAGATATCGTTTTCTCCTTGCTTCTCTGCTGATATCTGCAATTATGGGGGAGAAGAAGTTATTGTTGATGTCAATGTTTTCTCTATGTTTTAAACTGATCATCTGTTTCCTATATGGTTTAGTAATATGTAGTTTCTAACCTTTTCTTGTCACATTTTTAGTAACTCCCTCTCCTTTTGATGAAGCGATTGTCACAATTTTGGTTTGCCGCTTTCCTTTAAGAATTTGATATCGTTTTCTCCTTGCTTCTCTGCTGATATCTGCAATGATGGGGGAGAAGAAGTTATTGTTCATGTCAATGTTTCTTCTATGTTTTAAACTGATGATCTGCTTGCTATATGGTTTTACTAAAATGTAGTTTCAAACCTTTTCTTGCACTACAGGAAAAACGGGTATTCATAGCACCCGAAAAACGCTATCTAATGATATCATAGCGTTTTATTAAACGATATATCATCGCCCGCGATAATAAGTCCGACACTTTAGATAGCGGTTTTTCTTAATGCTATCATATCATCATTTTAAATAGCGCTTCTCAAGTGTAGAATATATAATAGCACTTGAATACTGTTATTACTGTATATCACGGAAATCTCGTTTTAATTTTTAAAATTTTAATAATTAATTATTTTTTTAATTTTTGATTTTGAATTTAGAATTCCAAAAGCTCCAACTTTTATTTACAGTAACAAAAAAAAATCTATATTGATAATGATAAATTACAAAGACATGTTAAATACAATAAGTTACTATATCTCCTATCATAAACAAAATCCTATTCAACAAAAGTAAGTAATCTATTTTAACTCAAAACCACACAAAAATACCCAACTAATAATTCCTTCATGTATCAAGCCAAGTGCCCAAGTCCATAAAGTCTTCGAAGAAGTGAGACTTCACTAGAGCAGAATCTTCAACACTTCAATCATTGCATAAGCTTCTTGCAAATTCTTCAGAATCACTCTGCAAATGACCAAGTCAAGCAACATGTAAGTAAAAGTACACAAATCATGGTTTAATACCTCGTATTCTCACCCTTAAGAATTCATGCTTGATGAGGATACGACCGAAACAAGCAATTTGTATTAAATATTTTGAAGGCTTAAGAACTTCAAGTATGGAAAATCGTGCAATTTGTATAGCTATGAAAAGAAAAACAACACAGGAAGTCGATCTAACGTGAAGGAATCTAATGGGAAGCTCTTTGGCAAAAAGTCTGAGACATGTTACTTCACCAATTTTCTGAGCCATATTCTCCGATCTTCTTTCTAGCCATTGTTCAAAATGAAACTCTGGAAAAAAAAAAAAATAGACGAAATCGATTCAATCCTAGATACATAAATCTCATCGCTTAGATGTTAAATCTCACAGATATACATAAACCACTATCCTAATCAAATCGATTCAGATTCAGATTATGCAATCAAACAGAAAACAATGAATCCCAAAACTTAAGAAATCATTTCGCCATGGAATCCCTCAAGAGATCTACGCATATATTGGATCAAACAATCTTTGAATCGATTAATTCCAAAAGCGAAAGATGAATATGAATTACCCAACAGCGAAGGATTAAAACGATGTTTCGCCGGAATAGCTCAAAACACCACCTGCAATATCCCTATTTCTCAAAACTCCGCATGCGAGATCTGCAACATTCTAAGAAGAGAAAACTCCAAATTGAAGAAAATTCAAGCTTTTGACCCTCGATCCAGCAAAAATCGGCCCAGTAAAACTCGAAACCAACTCAAATCTTACAAAAATAAGAGAGATGAGAGCGTAAGAGAGATGAGGCATGAGGGCGTGAAACATTATTCTCTTTGCTTTTATAGAAACATCTACATTATTAAATTTCAGTTTAACGTATGTTATGTTCCTGTTAGGTGAAATTGACTTTAGATTTTCTATTATGTTTTGTAAAATTGATATGTAACCTTTTTTTCATTTGTCTCCTTTGTTTTTATATTTCACACCTTATCTTCCTTGCTTCTCTTGACATATCTGCATTGTTAGGGTTGACGATCTATTTCCCCACCAGAAGTAGGGAGTCACACCAGATGCGGCCCAAAGTATGACCTCGTTCCAACACCACCATATAAACTTTAAGAAGCCACAACCACAAGATAAACTTTGAGAAGCCAGAACCACACGAACCCAAGTGCGATGGTTTAATGTCTGAACCCGGATATGAAACCATCCAAAACCGGTAGTAAACCAAACAGAAACCCGAATCTCAAAAAATCAGACCCGTTAGTCCACGTTTTAACCCGACTCAACAACGGTCGAAAAATCTCGTGTTATAACCCGACAACGGTCGAAAATCCCAAATCAGAAACCAGAAACTGAAGAACCTCGAATCGATCCTGCTGAACACTAATTTCTGAAATTAACTGTTAGTGTGTTGATTTCGGATAATCTTCTCAGTTGTTTACTTTAGGATATCGATTTCGGATCTCATCTTCTTCCCCCTTTTCTTATACTCGAGTTCTTCTTCTTTGTTCTTAATTTCTTTTGTCTTTGGGTTTACCTGCAGATCTTAAGCCATGAGTAACGCCTCTGGAGCTTCTAGTGGATCGTCAATCCATCGTTCAAGAGGCAGATTTTATGGGGTGCCAAAAACCTGTCCGTGTGGGGAACAAATCATGGAATTGATTTCCAAATCCAACAACAATCCTTACCGGCGTTACTATCGTTGTGGCTATGCTGTGGCTAGGAAGGTAAATCCACCATAATTCTTGCTTCTGATTCATTGTTTTATTGAATGTTGATTGTGATAAGTATTATTGTCAATGGATGTAGCTTGCGAATGATAACCACATGTTCAAGTGGGTTGATGAGGCTCACTTAGAGGAGATATAGGCATTGAAAACAAAAAATGTAAGACTTGAGGAAAAGCTTGAAGCAATTGCAGCAGAGAGGACAGAGTTTGAGAGGATTGTGTTTGAGAATGTGCAAATGAAGCTTGAGAAGGAGATATTTGAGAGAGTAGAAGAGACATTGATTGAAGCATCATCTACTTCAAAGAAAATGATGATTGGTGTAATTGCTTTGTGTATGGTGATGGTTGGGTTTAGTAAGCAATTAGGTTGAAAAGTTTTTAGAAGTATGATCTTGTATGCATTGAAAGTATTTGTGGTTGTTAAGAAGATTGTGGACTTGATATGTATTCTTTGAATTAATGCTTTGAATTTGTCTATTTTAACAAGCATTGTTGCTTATGTTTTGTGCGCAATACTAACAATAACATTTCCAAAAGCTTAACATAACATTAACATGAGTAAACAACAAGATGTCCAAAAGCTTAACATAATCCGAGATCTTAAAAAGAAAACCAAAAGCCAATGTCACATAATCCTACATATCCGAGACATCTAAATCCAAAACCAAGTGTAGATGTCATTACAAATCCGACACATCTAAGTCCAAAGACCAAAAGTAGATGTCAACTCAATCTTGAGTAAGGGTTCCTTGAGAGGATTCAACGTGACTTTGAGGACCCTCCAACAACAATGTCTACAAAGCAAAATAGAGATCTCCATGTAAGTCTAAAAACATGTTTGTAAGGAACAAAAGACTTTAAACAGCAACAAGAGAAGACAAACCTGTGAAGAATTCGCCTTGTGATGCCTAGCGTTGTGATTAGCCTCACCACAAACTCCACAATGCATAATCCTTTGCTTCTCCTTTCGTTGCTTCTTAGTTGGAGACTCATTAACACCTTTTTTTCTTGTCTTGTCAGCCTTGGTGAGCTTCTTCTTCCCTGCTTCTTTTCCTGGTTCTGTTGCTGCTCAGTCCCGGTTTCTTCTTCAGCTGGTTTCTCTTTAGGAGGAGGTACATGTACATCCGGAGCATCTGTTGCTGGCCAAAACCTCGAACCCCTAACTGGAATAAGTCCGTCAGTGTAGTTTCTTCTCCACATAGGTGTCCGGAACCATAACAGACATAGTCTTCAGGGTCAAGCTTCAGCTTCAACATCACACCATGAGCATGCTTACATGGTATTCCAGTTATGTCCCACTTCCTGCAAGAACATGTCCTATTCTCCAAACTTACACGGTGAGTTTGTCCATTCAGCATTGAAGAAAAGAACCCTTTAACACTTGTAGTCACATGATGCGGGATCAGGTTTTACCTATTCTTATCCCTGATTATGCAAGTGCACAGGTCAGGTGTAGTAACGGGTTATCGAACACAAGGAGCAGATAAGTGCACTACAAGCTATGCAAGTCTAACTTAGCTAGGACAAATGAGGAGGTTTGGGTTTTGAGATGCAAACTACTAAACTAAACTAAAGCAATATGAAAGCGGTGAAAGTTCAATGTGAAGGGAGATGCTAGGCATTAGGTAATTCACAGAGATTCATGGATGATAAGATTGATGATTGATTTATATCTATGTAGGGATATGGGATGTAAGATCCGTCTAGAACACCAAACACGAATGTACGATCATTCCACTGTCGAGGCTCCGACCTCTTTGTTAACTAACCTAATCGCTAAGCTTTTGGCATGTCCTTAGGCAGTTAAATCAAGCATTAAATTGAGCAAGTTCGGATACAGTTCACTAGGTTATCGTAAATCAACTTTCGCAGTCTAAGAAACCTAGCTTGTCAAAGAGTATGTCCGGCGAATGATACAGCACTGTCGTGGCTCAAATCAACCTAAGATCGAATCACTAGATGTACGGTAAAGTGATTAGCATTAATTAAGTGTGCAAAACGAGACAAAGACTCAAATGATATCCCTAGTTAATTCATCAAATCATAATCAACAAATGAACTCTTTGAAACCCTAAAACCTAACTAGAAATCTACTCAAACATGGTGCAAGTAAACAAGCATAGATCTGAGATAGAAATCATATTAATATAAGGAGAAAAGGGTTTAGAAAGCTTCTCTATGTCGAGATACAAAGAAGGGATCTTCTCCCTAAGGAAAACAATGAGAAAGAAGTAAAACAATGGAGGATCCCTCTAAGGGGAACTCCCTACTGCGCCTCTCTCTTGTAGCTCTTCTCCTGTGTGACTCTCTATGCGGTTCTCTCTTCTAATGAGGCTAAAAAAGAGTATTTATAATGCCCTAGGTCTTTCACAAGTCGGTTGAGGTGAAACGGGCCAAGAAAGGTTAAAACTTCATAAGTGGGATTCTTGTTCGCAGACCTCGGGTCGACCGTGCAAGGGATGTGGTTGGACGTCGGGGTCGGCCGTGATGTGATGGTCTTGGTCGTGAGATGATTATCTGGGTCGACCGTATTCCTTTGCCTTCCTGGTCGACTGGTGCGTTCGACCGGATGCTTTGATCGCATGTCGAGGAATGGGTCAAGCGCAGTTCATTGCTTCCCGGATCGATCGTTGCGCTCGGTCGGCTGCATGGGACATGTGGTAAATATTGGTCGACCACGGGGCAATGCTTCCCAGGTTGAACGGTATGGTCGTGCGGGTCGGTCCTGGTGAAGGCCGAACGAAGCCAATTCCCTTCCTGTCCGGCCGAGTGCGTTCGGCCGGCTGTGGACCAGTCTTCAGTACAAACGTATCTCCTAAACGGCTTATCCAAATTGCATACTTCCAACGGAATTGGAACACTAACTTATCTGGATATCTTGTTGTTGAGTTTCATTGAAATCCATTGAGTTTAAGGGTCCAAGCCGCTACTGCTCGTCTGATGTACTGATGCAGTCTGATAAAGCTTCTCGGTATATGTCTCATGGAAATAGAGATATCTCCCAATCTACTCGGTCAAATTGATTGATTCCAGTTGCTTTGCAAAGCTAACTCACGTATTCATTACGTCGAAATGAATTTGATGAAGTCCATTGAGTAGAATGTTTTTAAAGCCCTTCTAAAGTTGATGCTACGTCCTAGAGCTGTCTTGAAGTCCAAATCCTGTGATTTGCTCTAAAATGCATCTTTTGACCTGTTTAGACTCTAAGTATTATAAATACATAAAAAAATACCTTTTAAGATCATAAAGCCATTAAAAACCTTACGAAAAACATAGTAAAACCATATAAAAAGCATGTAAAATAGAGGTATATCATCACAACACATTTTTTGGCTCCATCTTTCTTTTCTTTATCTACAAGCGCCTTTGCTAGCTTTTCAATCACATATGGTGTACATTTTCCTGAAAATTAAAGTGGATTATGTTATTACTAAACTAAATATGAGAGACAACATAACAATGAATTAAAGACAATGAGGATTACGTTGATTACCTGTATGCTCATGAGATATTCTCGATCTTACGGCAATACGTGCCATGGCAAGCCTTGCTATTGCTTCAAGCATAGGGATGAATGGCTTCTCTCTGGCCTTGTTTATTGAGCTGTTAAAAGACTCTGTCGAGTTGTTTTCAACGTCTTCACAGTAATTTCCTAGCTTGTAAAAAGCCATGCACCAACTCCTCGGACTTGTAGCCATAACATCATTGTAAACCCATGTATCGTAGCATCTTAACCTGTCCAAGTTCACCTGAAACTTGACTTCATTGTAACTTTCAGCTAGCCTCCATATGTGTTGCTTCATCTGTTTTTTGCTCCCATGTTTCTTCTTCAGATTCCCGTAGATGTGTCTTACACACTTACGATGCTCCATCTTTGGTAACTCAATCTTAATAGCTCTGACTAATCCCTGACAAAACAAAACAAAACCGTAAAAGTTAGTTACAAAACAAAGCAAAAAAGAGATCTCCATGTAAGTCTAAAATCTGTCTTTTGACAAACAGAAGCTAAATTACCTTATGGCGGTCTGAAACAGCAATGAACCTGTCACCATCTTTTAGATCCAAATCAACCTTCAGCTTCTGCACAAACCACTGCCAGTTCTCATTGTTTTCCACCTCTACAACACCCCAGGCTATTGGATAAATGGCATTGTCTGCATCTCGACCTAAAGCAACCAATACTGTCCCTTGATTCTCTCTTTAAGGAAGCAACCATCAAGTCCTATTAGTGGCCTACAACTATCCTTCCATGTTTTTCTGAGCACGTCAAAGCAAACGTAGAATCTCGAGAACACATCTTCACCTTTAGCATAATCTTTGAGTCTTGCAAACTGCTGATCATATTCACTACTAATCCACTTCAAAGCTTTGTTCCTACCAGCTTGACATTGAGGCCTAGACACAACAATTCCCATTCTGACATAACCAATTCTTCAATCTTCATAGGCATATAGTATACAGGTTCTAGACGGATCTTCTCCTTAAACAACCTAGCTATCACAGGGACTTTCACCAACTCAACATGTCCAGTCTTTTGACATGTATGCTTCTCTACAAACACCCTAACTTTCCAAATTTTATCTTTTGGAAGAATCGACGCATAAATTTGCCACTTACACTCTGAATCGTTTCACCTCTACCAGCACATTCAAATCCAATCTTATCCTTATCGTACCTGTATTGGCTGATATTCCACCTTGTTCTAAGGGCGTAGTCAAGGACTCTCTCTTTGAAAGCTACTCCGTTGAAGAAAGTCTGGTCTTTGTACAAATGCCCATCACCACGACTTATTCTCGTGACCATTCTCTCTCGACCTTCACCGCCTGCTTCAGCTCTAGCTTCGCCATCATCTTCTGCTTCGTCATCAGTCTCAGGCAACTGGCGGTGCTGAATCGACGGCTCGTTTTGAAATTCGCGCAATAGTTCATCGAGTTGAAACTCCTCTCGCTCGACTTCTTCATCGTCAAATTCCAGTCTCTCTCCATCATTTGGAGGAGCTAAAGCCATGCTAAACTCGAATAATCTATCACACTATCAAGATTCAAACTGATTTCAAACTCTCTCTCTTGATTTCAAATTTTAGGGTTCTGAATTTGTGAATTTGGGGATTTTGAGTTAAACCCGACAATTGGTTTAAAATCGTTTTAAGCGGGTCTGAAATCGGATAAAACAGGTTTAGTTCGGTTAAACGCTATTCGGACACAGTAAACCATGTTTTCGGAACACTAAACCAACTAAACTAGAGCTCCGTGGTGCTACGGCTATTTAAACTTGGGTTCGTGTGGTTCTGGCTTCTCAAAGTTTGTCTTGTGTGGTTGTGGCTTCTTAAAGTTTATATGGTGGTGTTACGGAATGAGGTCATACTTTGGGCTGCATCTGGTGCAACCCCCATACTTGTGGTGGGGAAATAGATCGTCAACCCGCATTGTTAACATTGTACAAAGATTAAAAGAATAGATTTTTGAAAAGAAACGTCTGTAAAAGTAGATATCTTTGTCTATGGATTTTTGAAATGGTTTCTCTAAAGTTTCGTTAATTGGATTATGGTTTTGACTTTTTAATTTAATTTCCCATGATTCCGCTCAATTATCATGTTTAGAATGATGGCTGGTCATGCAGTTTTGTTAATGTTTTCAGGACTTTAATGCTTAGGAATATGAGTTAGAAAGGCTTCCTAATTTGAAGTATTTCAATGTCACAAACGAAGAGAAAGTGAATGGCGACTGTGTGGCAGAAAGTGTGTTTGTTCTCCATCAGATTAAAGACTGAATGGTGGATGGTAGAGACTGAATGAAAGCATATATCAATGTTAGAAATCTTGTACTGATGGGCGATGATTAAATACATTTGTTGTGTCGCTATCCTCGTTACCAGTCAACTTCTCCTCGACAACGCGAGTTACAATAAATGTTTGAGAAGATGATTGGAAGTTGTACTCTGAAATTTTGATCTGAAAATCCAATGTTTTCCCCACAAGTTCCAGAAGACAAATTGGTATGTCTGTAGCATTACCACCTGCTTGATCTTCATTTCCCTGTTTTATTTTCAATTAGTTAGATGGATTTAACGTGTTAGGTTATACAAATACGAAAGACAGTAAAAGTTGATGTTTTAAACGTCTTAGCTTAAACGTGTCAATTTCATTTCTACTTACCACGGACATGTTGATGTCTTCCACGGTGGTGTTTGTTAGTGTTCTGGCATCTCTGTCGAACAAGACAAACGTAGATGTTCGACCTCCATTTTCAACCAATAGCTCTACCCTGAACCTGTGATATTTAAACGATAAAACCTTATGAAGATGCATTTCTAAAACTATAATTCTTTGGAAAAATTTGAAAGAGTAGATAGTGTCTATAACCTTGGTATCCCAATGGCTGCTTCTAGCAACAGAAGCAGAACTATTTTCTGCTTGGAGGTCGCGTCATCCAAGTTCGGGCCTTGGACTTGTAAAACTTGACCTACAACATCTGCAATTTTGTTTTTTTTTTTTTTAAATGAGTATACAACATATTTACGTAAATATATGAATCAAAAGAGATGGGAATGAAAATTGACTGATTTGATGAAGGTTGGTGCCAGCAAAGTTCTGAAATTCTACAAACGTGTGCAGTCTACATTTTTCTTCTTGATTGAACAATCAGCTTCGGCAATTTCAATAACTTGAGTGGAGTCCATGAAACGGATAGTTATCAATGTATTGTCAGTGACTTTGTAGTGATTGTAGGTGGGAACAACTTCAAAGTTACTGACTAAGTAAACACTGTGCATCTCTTGAATGTCTTAGTTTTCCATGCTTGGCCATCTCTTGGATGTCTTAGTTTTCCATCCTTGTTTTCTTCTAATGCATGCCATTTCATACTTTCCACAGTCTTAGAAGGCATAAATAGTCTATGTGGACGTGGTTTTAGCGGAAAGTAGCGTAATACCTTAGCAGCTTGTTTTTTCTTCTTTTTTTTTTTCTTTTCAGAAACTTCCTCATTTTCAGCTTCATTTCCTTTCATTTTCCATCGAGATGTTTCACAAATCTTGCAGGTCTCTCTCCCAGAATCTTCTCCCCAAAACAACATATAATCATTCGGGCAAGCATGTATTGATTCATACTGTAGCCCAAGTTTTCTAACTGTCTTCTTCAGGTCATGAAGTGAAGCATGAAGCTTTGCATGCTTAAATGCTTCATTGAGAAGGTCAATGATCATGGACATCCCTTTATCACTTATCTTAGTGATACATTTGATGTGATATAACTTCAGCATGAAAGATAACTTCGAGAATGAAGTGCACCCCTCGTAAAGTTCTTCATGTGCATCTTAAGATAACTCGCCAAATACTCTTCTTTCATCAGAAATAGGTGCCTGATCCACATTTTCTTCTGCATTAGGTGGCTGATTCGATGGACCAGCTTCATCATCAAAGTTTGGGGCCAAGTTTGGGAAGACATCATTTAGTAGATCTGTTGTGAAGTCTTCATTCAAACTGTTATCTTGTTGAGGTTCTTCCAGCATTGAAGCTTCCTTGACGTTCAACCGTTCACCATGGAAATGCCAGTTTGTATATATAGGTAAGAAACCATTATACATCAAGTCCCCATATATATCATCTCTGTATTTATACTTTACTAGGCAACACCGAGAACATGGGCATTTTAACATGTTTGCATTCATCTTAATAAATGCAAATTCTAAGAATCTATTCACCCTGTTAATGTATTCTTGAGATAAACGAGGTTTGTGAATCCATGATTTATCCATATTAAGTACAAACCTATAACCAGTAGATAGAATATAAATACACGTTACTTCTTAGAAAGGCTAATTATATCAACAAAGTCTAACATGAAAGAAGCCTCTAATCTGATATTCAATAAACGTATATTAGCTAGCTAGAGCAGCTATGTAAAGCACAATGCTAGCTACAGAATTCATATATAAATGTTTCATATTCCCAAAACAAGATTCGCCACTTAATGCCCTTATCTATATGACGTTAAGATTTGCTCAAAAAAAGAAACAATAATTAAAGAGAAGTACTTGGAAAAACAACTAACGATTTTGAAAAGCCGTCTAAAACTAATCTGGTTGTACATAACTGATCCAATCTGGTATTATATGGAAACAAGATTTTGGAATTAGCATAATATCATGGAAAGAAAACAGTTAAAGAGTGATGCAGTAGCACCCTAAACCTAGTCAAGTATTTAAAATTTATAACAGTATATAGAATAATCAAACTGAATGAATTGATTACTACAAGGGCTCGGAAACGAATGGCAACATAAGCAAGAATTGGAATTTAAGTATATTTAGTTTGTCATAACTTCAATTGGTATATATTACACCGAAAACAAAAATAGATATTTCTACAGCAATCGTTTTCTGATTCTCTCGCATTAGCTTAACTAGGATTAAAGTAGAAATTAAGGGAATTACTAAAATCCGTGAGGAGGCTTGTAACTCTAACTAGTTACGTAGTAAAATATTAGGAAGCATTAATGTATAATCAATACCTGATACTGAATCAAACTGAAAGTACGATGTAATTGTGGCTGACTCCAATCAAACAGTTTTCATAATCTCTGAAAGGAAGTTTGAGATAAAAATGATCAATGAAGTGAAGAACGGGGGGAAAAATCAATTGTAAACAGAAAATTTCCCAATCACGATAGAGTTTGGAAAAGGTAATGACTAGAAGGCTGCGGTTATTTGCTTAGGGTTCACAGAATAAAAAAGGCCGCCGTCAAATTGGTTTTGTTTCTGGGAAATAAAAAATAGAAAATATTTGGTGAAATTTTTTCTCCCAGCAGGAAAACAAAACACTACCTAATTCTTATTTTAATTAATAATACTAAAAATATAGAAATATCTATTTAGCGTCGTTTCTTTTTTTAAATGTTACTATATCATTTTTTTAGCATCAAAATAAATAAATGATACAAAAAGCTGTCCATTAACATCACTTATTAAAACCGACGTAAAATTTATCATAAAGCGGAAACCTTTCCCTTTCTAGTTGTGAATGCCGTTTTTTTTTTTGAAGTGCATAATATTGGATTCAAACCTTTCCCTTTAGCGTCACTTTTAATAAGTGTTGCTAACTATACCTTTTATTTTTAATTTTAACATCACTTTTAAATCCGATGCTATAAAATCGATGTTAAACATAAGTTTTTTAGTAGTGTTCCTTCCTTCAACAGATGTCGAAATGTATGAACTCGACGATGAAAGATAGAGCCTTGCACAAGGGTTTCCTACGTAAGAAAGAGAAAGTGGAAGTTATTTCAGTAGTACAGAAAGTATCAACATATAGCAATTCCAAAAGAGAACAAAATCGTGTAATTTCAGCAGAGTGAAGCTAAGCACCGTAGACGAATTTGTCATTAATATCCTTCATCAAACCCATTAGCGAAAACAATAACAGAATCATATAATCATTCGAATTGAATAGGTAAAACAGAAGGAACTATACATTTTCATCCAAAAGCAAGAAATCGAGGCTCATGAGTGTTCCATTGAGTTTGAAATTTCTTGCTTCCCACATCCTCAACACACGTACGACGACATGCTGCATGCTTTTCCCTAATACAAATTCATCAACTGGAATTTTTTTGGGCAATAGAGCGGCGTAAGGTGTTTCTCGAGGAGCCATAACAGAACAAAAAGATCAAGAGTTGGAAAATATGTGAATGGTAAGTATGGAAGAAAAATGAAGAACTCTTTAGTGGTATTTATATTTCCCTGTTGGAGGAACTCTACTAATAACGTCTCTTCGTTTCTTGTAGTCAAATATGTACTTTGACTTAGTAACTTTGAACGTTTAAATGTTTATTTCGATAGTTTAATATTAATTTCAATAACTTTGAACGTTTTAGGAGAATACAATATTATTAATTTCAATTTCAGACCACGAAGAGTGTTTTAACATACTGAAACTTCTGAGATTTCACATTGGAACTATCAATATAAAAGAACATATCACGAAGAGTGTGAATATTCAGTTTCGGAATCAAAGGGGATGTTTAGAATGGAATTAGGTTTAAAATAAAAGGTATATTAATTGGTTTGGAAAATACATGGAGAGATTACAATGTTAAATTGAAGGGGTTGAAACATGTTTTTCACTAAAATAAAATTTAATGGGGTGTCGAAAACATGGGAAGATTTAATTTTGCAAATAGGTAGTCTGATTTTAGGAAAGAGACATTCCAAAGATTTCCTATAAATACTGTGATTATGCAGATTCGGAATCAATCTCACTATATCCAAATGGCTAAGAAAAAGTTTCAAGAAGTTCTTACCAATCTTCCAAATGACATGCTCGCTGTCATTCTAGGAAAAGTTGGTGAATCTTCTCACACTGATTTGAAGGCATGCATCATTTCATGCAAAACATTCAAAAGCATCTCCAAATATCCTGATGTTCTGATGAAACTGAATCTTGAGGAGTCGTTTCCACCTCCATGGAACTGTATTCCTGAAAATTCAGAGTTCCTCTATGAGTGCGCATGATATGGAAACATACATGCAATATTCTTATGTGGTCTTATTGATTTCTACTACCAAAAGTACACTGTTTCAGGTGCGAAGCAACTTATGGTAGCAGCAGAGGCAAGTCATTCAGAAGCTATGTATCTCTACGGTATGATTCTGATTAATCAAGGCCAATTGACCGAGGGTGAAAAGTTCATCAAACGGATTTGGAAACAGAAAGGATTTCAAGCATTTAGAACCTGTTTGGTGAACTGCAAGCCGATTCTCCTAGAGATATCTGTGAGAGACTACATAATTCTTGATCAATTGCTTACCGTCATGGAAGTCGGAGATGATTGCATTGCCGGTGAATTCGATGATGTCTGCGAGAACTGCATTGTCTACAAGGAGATTTTTCGTTTCATCGACTACATGGATCGTGTCTAAGCGTCTAACGCATTTCATCGTCTGCATTTTTAGTTTCATTATCTTTATTTTCAATAAGCGTCTAACGCATTTCAGTTTCGTTATCATGATTTTCAATAAGTGCCTAACGCATCCAGTTTCATTATCTCTATTTTCAATAAGCGTGTAAAGCATTTTAGCTTAATCAATGTAACTCAGCTACAAAAACAAGGGTGTGAATAATGTGAGATGAATAAGTTCTGAGAATAGACAGACGGCATATCATAATAGAAACAGAATGATAATTGACCTCAGATTAATCAATACAACGATATATACATCTCGCTTCAATCTCCATTTGTTAGCTTCCTCTGCTGCATACTCCGTACTTCCCTCAGAATTAATAAGTCGGAGGTCCTCATAGCCAACCAAACAGAGAAGCAAATTAACATTAGCTCAACATTGAGAAAATATCATGGAGAAGATAAAGTGAAACTTTTGATCTCTAAAACGAAAGATAGAAATTAAACACAGACCCCTTTAGTACTTCAGATCAATACTCAGAAAAGCGAAACTTTTGATCTGTAAAACGAAACATAGAAATTAAGCAAAGTCGCATATCCGTGTTTATGAAAAGGGATATGAGAAATCTTACCCGTTAACTGATCCATACATAGAAGATCCGAAATTAAGATCGATGAACAAAGAGAACCCGCCGTAATTATCAGGACCGTCAGGAACCATATCCGCCAATCGGATCAAAATCTGTAAAACAACACTACAAACACCGGAAGATGTAGAACTTCGAGAAAAATGGAGATGTGTTCTCTGTTGATTCCGGAGGGTGGACTCTGAACAATGAAAAAGGAGAAGAGATAATGAAATCGGAAGACATCGAACGGAGATTCATGTATCGTTGTCATAGAAAATGTCGAAGAAGACTGAAACCGGACCAATATGTGCTGAAACAAAAATTAAGCAAACCGGATTATGTGGCCAACTAAACCAAGAGAAATACTGACTATGATTAATTAGAATGTTTTGATTGGATGAATGTTTTAATTGAGGTGTCATCACAGGAAAACATAGAAAATTTTATGTGTCAACTCCTGGATTAACACAAAGGGTGTTATTGTGTTGATTGAAAGTGAAACTCAGAACATCATTAAATTGAGAACATCATTTTAAAACTATGTTTACAGAATTGGCTAAAATTTTATGGTGATCTTACTATTATATTTGCTTTATCAAATAATAACCAAACACAAAAGTACCAAAAATAATACGAGTAGGTGAAAGAACAATTTGGTCTTTATTGTTGCTGCAAATCTTCCCCATAAAAACATTATGGAAGTAATTGGATTCTTGGATTCTCGTTAATCAAGCTTTGTTTCTCGTTCATCCTCTTCGGAAAAAAATCTGGACTGTGAATTTTATACTTGGGCCAACAATGTGTCAAGACTAAGCCCATTAACTAAGCCTAAATTTCTTCGGTCGGCCTTTGTTTGTTTTTTCTTCCTTCTTATCGACAATCAAATTTCATCTTCAGTTCAACCAATTCTGAAAATTCTCACATGGATTCGATTGCAAGGAAGCGACCCAAATCGGAGACCAAACCCCCAAAACGGAACCCTCCTTCTCCGGTCAGATCATTACTCGAGCCATCGGAAAGCTTCTTCCCTTCCAAGGAAGAGTTCGTCAGACTCCTCGCGGTGGTGCTTGTCGCGTGTGCGGTGGCTTTCACCTGCAGTTTCCTCGCTAAGAATCTGAGCTCAACCCCTGAATCATTCTGCGATAGTAACCTCGATTCCATCGACTCAGACTTAGGTGAGCTCGAGACTCATCCTCAATTCCATTTTACATCGCCGAATAGTGTAATTCCGTAAATTAATCAATTTATTTGCCTCAGATATCTGTGAACCATGTCCGATTAATGGCAAATGTCACCAAGGAAAGCTGCAATGTAATCACGGATTCATAAATCAAGGGAGTTTATGTGTAGAAGATGGAGAAATCAATGAATCAACCAAGAAACTGGTATTGAATTTGTATTACCTATATAAATCGAAATTTAAGATTTTCTGTGTTGTCAATTATATGGTTGTGTTGTTGATCAGGTTGGGCATTTTGAGAGAAGAGTTTGTGAGGCTTATGCTCATAAAGAATGTTATGGCACTGGGACCATTTGGGTACGCTTCTGCTTTATCTTATCCATAGTGTTATCGTTTATCCGTGTGTTCATATTGTGGTAATAGTAGTGAGCTCTTACATTAATCTTTTAGGTTCCAGAGAATGACATTTGGAAAGATCTACGTAGCAACGGCTTCATGAGTAACTTAGACGAGAATGCTTACAGTTTTGTGAAAGGAAAAGCTGTAGAAGCTATCGCCGAGCTACTAGAGAAAAGGACTAATGCTAATGGGTTAGTATCTTCATCACTGACTAGTTGTGATATTGGTTACGACCAAACTCGTGACTAAAGCTTCTTACTTCTATTTGAAGGAGGAATGAGTTGAAGTGCCCTGAATTGCTAGTCGAGAGTTACAAACCCTTGACTTGTCGCATGCATCAATGGCTCTTGAAGCACATCTTCATGATCTCGTCCTCCTGTGGAATGGTAATATACTCTTACAAAAAAAAAGCCAGTCTTTTGAGTGGTTTAGTTTTACTTGATCAACATCTTCAAGCTTGTTTACAGTGTTTGAGATGTACAGCTTGTGGTCTGCGCAATATTGCATCGGATAATCCAGCGTAAGCGATGTTTCTCGCGTAGAGTTGAAGAACTATACGACCAGGTTATACATCTTTACCCGTTACAGTATCTGTGAGTATAATTGTCAATTGTGTTGTAAACAGAAGTCGTTTTTGGATTCATTTTTTAGGTGTGTGACTTCCTGGAAGAGAATGCAGTAGCATCAAACTCTGCAGACGAGCCTTCTTGGGTTATCGCATCACGGTTACGTGATCATCTCCTTTTGCCTAGAGAAAGAAGAGATCCTCTGTTATGGAGTAAGGTATGTTACTCTTCTTTCTCTATTCTGAGTTTCTGATAGATATCATGTTTTTAAAACCAATTCTCATGATGTTCCCTGAGATGGTTCTTTATATTTACTAGGTCGAAGAGCTGATACAAGAGGATTCACGTATCGATCGTTATCCAAAACTTGTCAAGGGTGAACAAAAGGTTGTATGGGAATGGCAAGGTAATAATTCATGAAAGCAAAATAGCTCTTAGCCCCTCTGTTTCTCTGTTTTACATCCATTGAAAGTTGTTTCCTCATGACTGATGCATGCAGTTGAAGGTTCGCTTAGCTTATCCAAGTTGAAGAAACGGGGAGAGACGCACAAGAAAGTTCGAAATAGTAATGGCTCAAACACAATCTTGCAAGCAAACTACAAGAGAAGAATTGCAGGTAAGAAGCTGTAAAAAACTTTACGATTGAGCCAAATAGACGATTGTGTTTTTAAGATTAATATTTCTTCTGGTTTTGTTGCAGAGACATTTTCTTAGTTGCGTTGACAAAAAATGAAACAGTGTAAGAGCTCGTTGTGATTCTTCAGGTAATGTTTAAAAGACCCAGGAATGCTTGAATTTTGTATTAGATTAAGATAGACTTAGGTTTTGTTAATTTGTTACTTTTATACTCACGAATTTTGTACTCTTATTTTGTGTGTTTTCCTCTGGCCTTGTTTGGATTTTGAAGATTTATGTAATTCTCCGATTTGTATTTGTATTCGTCGTTCGGTTGATTAACTGGTATGGTATGATTCGGGTTTTCGTCATACCGGTTATTAAGTTAGACTGTGACAATTGACAAGTCAACGAATTGGTTGGTTTTAGGCTTTTAGCCAATCAAGAAAATGGTTTTTTCTTCTTCTATTTTGAAAGTTCTGATAAATTTAAAAAATATTCATTGGCTTGTTATAAGTTAATTAATAAAGATAAACTAAAAGCAAAATGTTTTTTTTTTTTTTTTTTTTTTTAAGAAAAAATGTTTAAGTTTGCCTAAAAACATAACAAAACAATTTCTAATATACTGTAAAATCATATTTACTCCCTTCCTTTCTTAAAGATAATTTTGTTAGTTTTTCACTTATATTGAGAAAAAAAAAATTTCAATATATAAGTTTTTGCAATAAAACAATTTTTTTATAATTTTAAACCGATTAAAATCCAATAAATACAATTAATATTTCTTGAAAATTAAAAAGAATGTATTAAAAAGTTAGAAAATTTATCTTTATGAAACAACAACTAATGTCTTGAAAATTTATCTTTAAGACCATCTCCAATGGTTCATGCTATATGTTATTGCAAATGGCAAAAATATAACAATAGCATTAGGTTTCTCTCCAATGACTCATGCTATAATTTATTTTCCAACTTATTATCAATTGCTAAAATCACTTGATTTCTTCAAATTTTACAAAGTGAATCATCTGTTTTTGCAAAAAAAATACATCACACTACATAAAAATTATGGAAAAATAACATTTATAAGTATTGTTTTTATGTTTTTTGAATTTCAGTATTTTTAACAATAATTTTTAAGTTTATTATGATTATGTTATTATATTTTCTATAAATAAATATTATCTATATTTTGAAAGAATTATTTTATTGTTTATTTCTTTAAATAAATCATAATCAAAATAACTAAACTGTTAAATTAAAAATATTTATAAATTGAAAGACTATTTTATAACTAAAAAAGTTTAATAGCAAAATAACATATTGTATAATCTCATGCCAAATATAAAAGCAAAAATAGCATGATGTTATTTTGCAATAGCATATGCAATAGAGTTAGAGCAAATACTATTGCAAAATAGCATATGTCATATTTAGCATGGGGTTGAAGATGCTCTTAAAAACTAAGAGAGTATTTAAGATTCAAAAAATCTACCCTCATTAACTATAACAATAATGATTATTGTATACATACTAATTAAAGAGAATAATATTTATATTTAGTAGAGAGTAAAAAGCTACATAGCAAAACTGACTTTATAAAATCTGACAGGTGACATCTAAAATCTCAATATTTTTCTCGATATATAAGAAAACCAATAATGACTTCACTGTTAGAAAGGATAATTATCCAAATATTTTAATCTATAGTATGGTGTAAGTTTCGTTCACCGCCTTACATTACCGACTGTAATATTTTTAATATTATTTACTCTCTATAAATAGGAGTCTCATTATTGTATTAAGATCATAAGTTGAATACAAATAAGAAATCTTTCACCAATACTCTCTCCTTCAACATACGAAACTTCTCTTCATCTCCTCCTCTCCTCACGTACACCATACACCCTCTCTCTCTTAGTAACTCTCTCTCTCCATCTCTCCTTCATAACTTCTCCTTCTTCTTATTAATTCAGTTTATTTATAATACGTTATCAGCACGATGTTCTTATATTCTATCTATTTTATTGTTTATATGCTATGCCGGGATGGTAGGCTATGCCTTCTCCGAGCCGATTGTTATGGTAGGCTTTGTCTCCACAATCGAAAAATCATTTCTTAAGCCGGGATGCTAGGTTGTACCTACTCCGAGCAAATGATCATATGGTAGACTATGTCACCTTAGATCATATAAGAGTTGATGGTGAAACCTCCTCTTGGAGTAGAGGCTTTGCCTCTCCTGAATATTTACTTTTCTGTAATTTACTTTTTCGCTATTTACTTTTCTGCCATCTAAATTTCTGCTAAATTTATACTGTTATAATGCTCAATTTTTTTATTGTGCAAATTTGAATTTGAATTTATATTTAATGAACTGATCTATGATCTATGCAGATATCATGTCAAATTTGGCTAAGCTCGAAATTTCCGCCCTTGATATTTCTGGAAACAATTATATGACATGGGCAATAGGTGCAAAAATGCATCTAAAAGGAAATGGGCTTCTTGATGCCATTGACAAGTCGAAAGAGACGCCAGATGAGAAAAAGGCGAAAGCCATGATCTTTCTACTTCATCACATCCACGATGGTTTAAAAGATGAATACATCACTAAAGAAGATCCTGCGGATCTTTGGCAATCTTTGAAAGAAAGATTTGACCATCAAAAATATATAGATTTGCCCAAAGCCAAATACCAGTGGCTATATCTCCGGTTTCAGGACTATAAAAGTGTTGTTGAATATAATTCTGCCTTGTTCAGAATAATTTCCAAGATGGTGCTATGTGGAGAAAATGTGAGCGATTATGATATGATTGAAAAAACGCTCTCCACATTTCACCCTGGAAATATAGTCCTGCAACAACAATATCGGGCAAATGGCTATACTCGTTATTCAAAATTGATGGATGTTCTCCTTGTTGCAGAACAGAATAACGAGCTTGTGATGATGAACCATCAGACTCGTCCCACTGGAGCTGCTCCATTCCCAGAAGCGAATGTAGCATCGTCCAGCCAAAATAATGGACGAGGACGTGGACGTGGATATGGTCGAAACCGAGGTCGTGGCCGTGGCCGTGGACGTGGTCGGGGACAAGGAAAAGAGTACCGTCCCGACGAGTCCAACAATGAAAGGAATATAAAAGATCTCGAGCAAATGATTACGGCCGAGATTCTAAAAAGCAAAAAGAAAGTGTTTGCTACAGATGCGGCATGAAAAATCACTGGGAGCGTACTTGTCGTACACCCAGACACTTAGCCGATCTGTACCGGGAATCACAAAAAGCAAAGGAGAAAGAAAGTGAGACTAACTTCATCTCCAATGAACCCGGTCCTTCCTTTCACGGCCTAAACGATGATACTCATCTTGATGTTTCAGATTTTCTGGTTGACTCCGAAGAGATCAACGGAAAAACAGACGACTAAAAGGACATGATATACATAGTTATCTTCCTGAATAAGATAACCTAAAAGTTTGATCTTTTTGTTGTAAAATAGTTTTTAATGTGGTATTTTGTATCTTGTGATATAAGCTTTGTATTGTTTAATACTTATTAATGCATCTTTGTTAAATCCAGAAATGACGAAATTTGAGACTCGTGATGGAGATATGTGTCTTGCAGACAGTGCTACAACGCACACAATACTCAAAGATAAAAGATATTTCTCCGGTCTCAAAATTAAAGATTCCGTTGAAAGCGTGAATACCATTTCTGGTGGTGCAAAAATAATATTGGGCTCTGGAAGAGCCAATTTTTCAATGCCAAGGGGAACAAAGTTTGAAATAAATGATGCATTATATTCCCCGAAGTCTTACAGAAACTTATTGAGTTTCAAAGATATCCGTAAAAATGGATATCACATAGAGACTATAAATAAGAATGGCATTGAAATCCTTTGCATCAAATCGGAGGGACAAATATTGGAAGAGTTGAAAATGATGTCCTCCGGATTATATTGCACAAATATTACTCTGACTGAATCATATGTTACAGTAAACCCGAAGTTTACTAGTACATTCAAAATCTGGCATGAAAGGCTAGGGCATCCAGGTTCAGTCATGATGAGAAAAATTGTGCAAAACTCAAATGGCCATCCGTTGAAATACGGGAAAATTTTAGAAACGGGCGAGTTCATATGTAATGCATGTTCTCAAGGAAAACTCATAACTCGGCCATCACCAGCGAAAGTTGGAATGAATCCCCTGTGTTCTTAGAGAGAATACACGGTGATATATGTGGGCCTATTCACCCACCATGCGGACCGTTTCAATACTTTATGGTATTAATTGACGCATCAAGTAGATGGTCACATGTGTGTCTTTTGACAACACGAAATACGGCTTTCGCAAGATTCATTGCCCAAATAATCAGGTTGAGAGCACAGTTCCCTGATTATACTATTAAGAAAGTGAGATTAGATAACGCTGGTGAATTCACTTCACAGCCTTTAATGACTATTGCATGTCATTGGGAATCGATGTTGAGCATCCGGTTCCACATGTCCATACACAAAATGGCATGGCTGAGTCTTTGATTAAACGGTTGCAACTGATTGCAAGACCGTTAATAATGAGAACAAAACTCCCAATTTCTATATGGGGTCATGCTATTTTGCATGCTGCAGCGTTGCTCCAAATACGACCAAGTGCTTATAATATATATTCCCCATTGCAATTGGCATCTGGTCAGGAGCCAAACGTATCCCATCTCCGTGTTTTTGGTTGTGCGGTTTATGTTCCGATAGCACCGCCACAAAGAACAAAAATGGGGCCACAAAGGAGATTGGGAATATACGTTGGGTATACGTCACCGAGTATTATTCGGTATCTTGAACCTCAAACTGGTGATATGTTTACGGCACGTTTTGCCGATTGCCATTTTAATGAAGATGAATTTCCAGCGTTAGGGGGAGGAATTAAAGAGGTTCCAAAAGACCTCACATGGTGTACACCGAATTTGTTACACTTTGATCCCCCGACAAAACAACGCGAATTGGAAGTTCAGAAAATTATACATTTACAAAATATGGCAAATCAATTACCAGATTCGTTCACAGATACAAAAAGAGTGACGAAATCATATATACCCGCTGCAAACGTTCCATCAAAGATAGATGTTCTAAGGAACAAAATGATGGAAGCATAGCAAATGCACCCAAAGTCCAATTAAAGAGGGGGAGGCCGATGGGCTCTAAAGATAAAAATCCCCGAAAGAAAAAGAATTTGGGAGAAAAGGTTCAAGAAGAACCTAGTAAAGAAATATGTCCTGAAGACATAAACAAACTGGTTTTTGAAGAACCAGAGAAAGAGATTCGTCCAGAAGACGAACATGATACAGAAAAATTTGAGATTTCCATCAACTTCGCCCAAAATGGAAAAGTATGGACAAGAAATGAAATAGAAGATGATGATGGAATATTCTCTTTTTCTGTATACAAAGAATTGATCATGAAAGTGATGATCCAGATCCAGAAACAATATCAGAGTGTCTGAAAAGACCTGATTGGGAGAAATGGAAAATGGCCATCCAAGCTGAATTACTCTCCCTCAATAAAAGAAGTGTTTTTGGACCTATTGTCACAACTCCTGAGAATACAAAACCCGTCGGGCACAAATGGGTTTTTGTAAGAAAAAGAAATGAGAAAAATGAGGTCACAAGATATAAAGCCCGACTTGTGGCTCAAGGTTTTTCTCAAAGACCGGGAATTGATTATGAAGAAACATATTCCCCAGTAATGGATGCCATAACATTCAGATTTTTGATGAGCTTAGCAGCGTCTCAAAATCTTGAAATGTATCTCATGGATGTTGTGACAGCATATCTATATGGATCTCTTGAAAATGAGATATATATGAAAATCCCAGAAGGGTTAAAAATGCCTGAGGATTTGAAATCAAAGGCTAAGGAGATCTGTTCGGTCAGATTACAGCGATCACTTTATGGACTAAAACAGTCCGGACGCATGTGGTATAATCGCTTAAGTGAATATTTGTTGAGTAAAGATTACGTCAACAATGCGATATGCCCTTGCGTATTCATTAAGAAATCCTCGTCAGGATTTGTGATTATTGCTGTATATGTAGATGACCTGAACATGATTGGAACTCAAAAGGAAATTGATGATGCAAGAACTCATATGAAAGAAGAGTTTGAAATGAAAGATCTTGGAAAGACAAAGTTTTGTCTTGGGCTCCAGATAGAGCATTTCCAAGATGGTATATTTGTGCATCAGTCAAATTACACTAAAAGAGTGTTAAAACGCTTTTATATGGACAAAGCAACTCCTTTGAGTACTCCAATGGTTAATAGATCTCTTGATGTTGAAAAGGATCCATTCCGTCCTTGTGAGGATAACGAGGAAGTGTTAGGTCCTGAAGTACCTTACATGAGCGCTATTGGTGGACTAATGTATCTTGCAAATTGCACTAGACCAGATATAGCATTCGCTACTAATCTGCTTGCAAGATATAGTTCGTCCCCTACGCGCAGACATTGGAATGGAATAAAACATATTTTTCGTTATCTTCAAGGATCAATTGATTTAGGATTATTTTATCCTAAAAACTCAAAATGTGTTTTAGTTGGTTTTGCTGATGCAGGATATCTATCAGATCCACACAAAGCTAGATCACAAGGTTATGTTTTCACAATTGGTGGAACTGCGGTCTCCTGGCGTTCGCAAAAGCAAACTTTGGTTGCAACGTCTTCAAATTATGCAGAAACTATTGCTCTCCATGAAGCATGTAGAGGTGTGTAGTGGAATGATTATAGAGAAAGAGCCAACAAAAATATTTGAAGACAATTCTGCATGTGTCACACAACTCAAAGAAGGTTATATCAAGAGTGACAGAACGAAGCATATTCCTCCAAGATTTTTCTCATACACTCAAGAACTCCAGAAAAATCAAGAAGTGGACATCGAGTATATTCGTTCAAGTGACAATGCAGCCGATCTTTTTACAAAGGCGCTTCCTACTACAGTGTTCAAGAAGCATGTTCACAGTATCGGAATGCGTCGTCTACAAAATTTGTGAAAAGAGATTATGCTGCGGTACTCTTTTTCCTAAGTCATATCCCTTTTCAAATAGTTTTTTTGACAAAATGTATCTGTAATATTTGGATGTATCCAGACATGTTTTGCATTGCAGATACATCAAAATATTTGCAGATACATTTTGCCAAAACGACAACTAATTTGAATCGGAGGGAGTAGTTTTTATTCCACTGGGTTTTTCTATGACATAGGTTTTTTAACGAGACCGTACATAGTACAAAGTCGGATAATTAAGGGGGAGTGTTAGAAAGGATAATTATCCAAATATTTTAATCTATACTTATGGTGTAAGTTTCGTTCACCGCCTTACATTACCGACTATAATATTTTTAACATTATTTATTCTCTATAAATAGGAGTCTCATTATTGTATTAAGATCATAAGTTGAATACAAATAAGAAATCTTTCACCAATACTCTCTCCTTCAACATACGAAACTTCTCTTCATCTCCTCCTCTCCTCACGTACACCATACACTCTCTCTCTCTTAGTAACTCTCTCTCTCTCCATCTCTCCTTCATAACTTCTCCTTCTTCTTATTGAATTCAGTTTATTTATAATATTCACTAATTTTTCCTTCTTCATATTAAACTATTAAAAGGTTTACGATTCTTTTTACAGATAAAACCCATAAAAGTCCATCAACAGTCATTTGAAAAAATATAGTTTTTCTTCCAATAAACGAAAAGAACGAAGAGGAATTATACAAAATGGAGAGATCGAAGAGGAAGAAGACTGGAGAAGGAGCAAATCAGAGAGTAGCGTTTTACAAGCTTTTCACGTTTGCCGATCGATACGACATCGTTCTAATGGTGGCCGGGACCATCTCCGTCGTGGCCAACGGCCTAACTCAGCCGATTGTGGCAGTACTGATAGGCCAGATCATTAACGTGTTTGGCTTCTCTGATCAAGATCACTTGGTCTCAAAGGTTAGGATTTCAAACGATTTTTGTGCCAATTTTTACTCTTCTTGTTACTTATATCACGTTTTAAGATGTTTAAAAGATTCATAAGGTTAATAATTACCAGACTTTTAATTTACCCTAACATATACTTTAATTTTGTCCTCCAAAACACACAACAGAAAGGGTTAAAATGGAAGAAGCTCTTCAACTAAAACTTGTTTTAAACTTCACAAAAACAAAAGTTTAAATTTGAATTTCTTACAGTTTATATCATGTGATTTTCTTAATAATTTCAGGTTTCTGTGAAGTTTCTTTACCTTGCGGTCTACGCTGGTGTTATGTCTTTCCTGCGTAAGCCCAATCTGTTTTTCTTATTTTTTTTCACCTTTACCTTAACGTAATTAACTTGTTTACAAAGCTAACAGAGATTTCTCTATACTTCTTTTGCAGAGAGTCTATTGTTGGATGGTAACTGGAGAGCGCCAATCCGCTAGAAACATAACTATACAACTTAAAATTATGTATTTAAAAATATATCTTCATGTATAGTTTTGTAAAAGTTTAGCCAAAAAAATTACATTTTGAACTTTTGTACTGATTTGGATTAAAAAAAAAAAAACAGCTGAATTTATCACAGCACTTTTCTTGAATAACTTATCTTCACAAGTTGAGATACTCCAAAAACACTTGTCGTTTTTCTTTTTTAACGCTGGTATTAATCAAAAGAGGAAACCAGAAACAACAGAGTTTAGTGGATCTCGATACCAAAAGGTGTACCAAACATGAGAACCGAGAAATAAAGGCTAAAAGAAAAGCCAAGCAAAATAAGATCTAAGCATACAAGAGAGACAAAGAGGGGTATGCATTAGACCCAGCACGCAGATGGTCTCTAGGGAGGAATCAGGTTGGCTTCTAATGAGAGGAGATGACTGAGCCATACAGGACCATGTTGAGCAACATAGGATTGATGAAACTGACCCCATATGACACTTTCTGCTATGGCTTCTGCCGATCGATTGCTACTAGGCAAGGCATAATTTAGACTCCAAGAACCAATGACTGCAAGATGCTCAAAAATCCGCTTTGTTAGCTCACTGCAAAACAGAAAATTTTGAGGTTGCAGGAGCAGTTCTCTCGCAAAGAGCAGGGATGATTCAAATATGATATTTGAGTCTTTCAGAGATTCCACTGCCCATGATATACCCAACAATTCGGCAACAGTTGGCGAAGAGATGAATGAGTAAGATTGTCGACTGTGGAGTAGAGTAGCACCCTTATCATCCCTTAGTAACCACTATATTCCACAATGTCTATGAGGGCCAACCCATGAGACACCGATGTTGCATTTCAGTATGTTTATAGGAGGTTTCGTCCATGTAAGACCAGGAGGGTTCTGAGGACACCAGTCGGTATCAGAGTTAAGGCCAGGATAATTGACTTTGCACCAGATACTTGCTTCTTCTAACCCTTTCACACATACCTCCGATGGTTCATAGCGAATTTGCTTAAAGACTAAAGCATTTCGTGTTTTCCATATATGCCACAACAACCATGGAAAGCTAAGTCGAGCCTGTAAAGGGATACCTCGATTTCCAGAGCATGAGAGGAGATAGTGAAGGTTGAGGAACACATAGCTAAGTCGTGCTTCTCTCCAAACACTTGTCGTTTAATAATTGGTTTCTTCCTTATTACTAGCCGTGTACATTTCGGGATGAGAATCCCATTCCCTTTCTTATCCATTTACAATTTCCCATTTTAGAATATTTCTATTATTTAAACGGATAAGGGAAGTGCTCAGGAAAAATATGACATTTCCAAAAATTCCTGAATTACCCGCTAAAAACAAAAATTGATAAGTTAATATTTGTTCTTAAATATTCTGATTTCTTTCCACATTTTTTTTCTGAAATTCTTCTCATTTTTTCATATATTCCCAATTTTTACTGTAACATCCGTAAACCAACCTGTGGAGTTTTGGAGGTTGTGTCGAGCGACACAAGGTGTGTGTCGGTCGACACAACAATTGGAAATCGAATCCAGTTCGATTTGAGTTCGGTTTGGTCCAGTTATGGGCAAGGAAAGCTCTAGGTCGCGATTAAAAGAGGCAGCCGCTTTCTCTTGTGCTCTTTTGTCGTTTTGTGAACCAGAGAAGAGAGAAGAGGCGATTTGGGTGGATTTGAGGTATTCTTGAGCGAATCTGTAGCTGTTTGTTGCTGTTCTTCGTTGCTTCATCTCTCCTCTCCCGTTTTCAATCCAGTTAGAGGTGAGTGCGTGACCATAGGCTCATGTTTCACTAGGATTTCGTTGTGTGATGTGATATTGAATTCTTCTTGAGCTGTTCTTGAGTTATTGTGATGATTTGATCGATTTCGGGTGTTGAATCCCGTTAATTTACTGTTTTTGTATTGATTTCGTGATTTGGGGCTCGGGTCTGCGAGTTGGTGTTGGGCGACACCAAGTTGGTGTCACTTGATACATGGTGTTTGTGTCGACCGACGCCAGGGAGTGTTTTTGTTGCTGTTGTTCGACTATTTGCTGTTTATTGCTATTTGTTGGTCTTGTGTCTCACATAATTGGCCTATAGGTGGGATGATCCACTCACTAAGTATTTATGATAATACTTATGGAACTATTTCGTAATGTGTTGCACATAAAAGGTTTACGTGATTGCAGAATCAAGGCCGAAGAAGAGGATGATAGGGTTTACTATTTTTGCATTGTTTAAGTTGTTAGTACATGGTGTTTAGATTGTTAGTACATAGTGTTTAGGTTGCTAGTATTTTTTTATTGACATATGTTATCTGTTTCCACTGAATACTGTTTGATTTATTATTTAATTTATTGTTATTTATGTTAACATATGTTAACTTCCACTAAATTGTTATTTATAAAAAAGAAAGCCTGGTTATTTCATTTACTGATTTATGACTTCGGGTATTAATTTTCTAATCCCAAATTTCCAGTTCCCTTCCTATTCCCGTTATGACCCATCTCGTTATAATAAGGGAATATTTCGGGAAGCATATATGATTTTCTAAATTTTCCATTCACATCTTGTTCCCGTCAATTCCCATCCCAAAACCATAAATGCACATAACTACTTTTTACGATTTAAAATTAAATTGATTAAAAATTATATTATAATTGATAAGATTTATATTTTTGACATCCATTATTTCTAATAGATGCGGACGTTCTTACTTTGGAGTTTTCTATCCCTTTCAATGAGAAATGCTATTACTCTTCTCCAAATCGGAAAAAAAAATCATAAGTTTTTTATAATTTTCTTTGATGAAACAGATTCCATTACACTCAAACCAAAACACATTTCGCCTAAATCCAGCTTAGAAGACCAAATAGTTAAGATATCTTTATATTATTAATTGAGAGGTACATTGTAATGTTTGGATACACGAATAAGAGAGAAAAACTGTTTTGATATAAAAATAGAGAAAAACTGTTTGTATATAATAATAGTAGAGAAAAAGAGAGAAAAACTGTTTGGATACAAGAATAATAACTTAAAACAAACCAATAGTTTACAAAACAATAAACCCAACCCGAATTGATTGAATAATAAATGCGAATCCTCTACAATAATTTAAAACAAACCGGAGAATGGTGGATAGATACCAATCAGGTCAGGGTCTATCAGATGGTTGGACTTTGTACCCATATAATACTGAATGAACTTGTAGCCTGCCCGCACAGTAACAACGCGGAATTCTGTTTTTTTTTTTTAATCTTTTCAGTTTAGTTTTCTTTTGGTATTAATCCAATCAATTCACAAAATGGGTACTGTAGATTATATTTTATATTATATATATAGTTTCTAGGTTTTTTGGATTTTTTTCTGGTTTTTAGATATATATCCAGTTTTATTTTTTTTTTAAATAAAAAAAAAACTGATTTAGTGGTATATTTCGGGTTTTCGGAATTTCTTTGGGTTGTTGAGTATATTTTTTGGGTTTTCGGGTGATAATTAACCGGAATATGTGACCGTAACATTCAGTTTTTGATTTGGACTCAAATATACCCGAACCTAAATGGACTCGACCCGGTACCGAAATTCATTCAGAATTAAATGGGTACAAGTCCAGCCACCCGTTAGACCCGGACCCGATTGGTATCTATCCACCCTTTTCCAGTTTGTGTTAAATTATTGTAGAGGACCCACATCTATTATCCAATCAATTCGGGTTGGGTTTATTGTTTTTCAAACCATTGTATCCAAACAGTTTTTCTCATCTGTTTTTATATCCAAACAGTTTTTCTTTTTTTTTTTCTCATCTATTCTTATATCCAAACAGTTTTTCTTTCTTATTCTTGTATCCAAACATTGCAATGTACCTCTCGATTAATAAAATAAAGATTTCGGTATTGGGTCGGGTTCATTCACGTTCGGGTATGTTTGAATCCAATCAAAAACTGAATGTTAGAGTTACATATCCCGGTTAATTATCACCCAAAAACCCAAAATATACTCAAAAACCAAAAGAAATTCCGAAAACCCGAAATATATCAGTAAATCAGTTTTTTTTTTTTTTTAAACTGGAAATATATCTAAAAGACTAAAACCCCGAAATAAATCCAAAAACCGAAAAATCCATATATATAAAATCAAAAATAATCTACAAAAGAAAATTAAACTGAATAGATTAAAAAAAAAACATAATTCCGCGCTGCTACTGCACGGGCAGGCTACTAGTATCTCTTTATAACAGTAACATGTGATGTTTCCTTGCCGGTTGCCGCTATGTAAGGACCACCAAAAGAAGATGCTCTCATATATGTTTTATATCTAATTTGGATGCAAATACATGTTATTGAGTGATATATTATTATATAAAGCTGGATGCGTATACGCGGGATCTAATCTAGTTATTATGTATTAGGGGATAATCAGCAATTTTCCCGGAATTTTACTTGTTATTACTGATTTGGTTAGAAAAGTTTTGAGAAAATCAAATTTTGTAGTTTAATTTTGTATTTCAAAAATACTAAACTAATGCATGCGCATACGCGCGGGTTTTGTTGTTGTTAAAGTTTTTTAAAAATGCTCGAAAACAATTTTAGATTTGCGATTAATATTATAAAGTTTAATCCAATAATATCCGTATTTAATTCCTATTTGTTGGTTAGCGACTGACTTTCAAACATATATTTTGTATCATACCACATGTCTATGAACCATTAACTCTTTTTGTTTACTCACGACCACATAGAACATTTACTAGAATGATTTTTACTATCGATTTTTGCTAAATCCATTTCTCTGTATATGTGAATTTAGATGTTTAATAATAACTTAAGATGGAAGCCGAAATGTAAAAGCCTTGGATTAATAGAGTGATTTTTATAATAAGAAGAAAAGTCATGCCACAATATCAATTAGTGGAATGTTTATACAATGTGGAAGGTGAATCAACCGACGGTTTTGAGACCTATTATAACTGTAACGACTAAGAATGCGAAGAGACTGCTCTCTTTAAACTTTTTTCCACATGTCAATCATATGGAGAGAGTTGGCCTCAATTCATATATATGATTATGCTTATAGTAATTAAACAAGGTGGTTGTCCCGCACCTTGTGCGGGTACAATATTTTTTAAATACAATTATTAATTAAAGATTTAAATAATATAAGTAGTACAACTTTTTATTGTATTCATCGTTTTTGTTTTCGCAAACTTCTTATTTTTGTAATCTTGAGGTGTCTTATTTTTATCTTCTCTTTCTTGTTCTTCTACGTAATATTCTTCATTTGTTTTGGAATTTTCTTCACATTCCATTATTTCTTCTTTCCTTTCTTTTTCCTCATGTTCGACTTTTCTTTTTCTTTTCTAAATTTTTCATCTTCTTTTTCACTGTTTTCTTTTCTTTTACTTATGTATCTATTATGTCTTGTTTGTGTCTTGCATATCACCTACCAATTCATTTCGATAGTTAAAATTTTCAATATTTTTGAAATAGATTCTATCTTTATATAGTTGAGGTCTTTTAAAAATTTATTAGTTTTGTTATCTTTCAATTCTGGATTTTCTTTAGTTGTTTTAGTTTTTTTTTCTATTTGTGAATGTAATTTTGAAAGTAGATATAAATTTCAAATAAATGATTTTTTTATTATGAAATTCTTCTGTAATAATTCAAGTTTTTTTAAAATACACCAAAAACTAAACCCTACCCCATCAATATAAACCCTACACCCTAAACCCAAACCCACAGTGTAACACCACCCCCTAAATAACCCAAACACACCCCCCCCCCCCCCCCAATCCGCACACCTAAACCCACATTTTACAAAATCTTTTTAGATAAGTTTATTCAAATTAGGGTTTCATAAGATTTAAGTTGAAAATAAAAACGAAAGATGTACATACCACTAATTTTTGTCAATGCATTTTTTTGAGTTGGTACCATAGTTGATTTCTTTGACTCAATTAGCTAACAAACCTGGAATTTACTGTTATAAAGGTAAAAGAAGTAGAAGTTAGATGCGATTCTTTGAATAAAATTTCCAGAAAATAACGAATAATCAGTTAAACATTAGATCTAATACAACTAAGATCTAGCAATAACTATAAACCTACATGACAAAAGATGAAATATGGAATCGAAGAATTTAGAACACGAAAAAGAAGAAACGAAATTCTGTTTATTTTGCTTGTTAAATAGGACTAAGTCGGTTGTAAAATCTAGAGTTTTTTTAAAATACCTAATTATTTGATTTCTTCCAGAAAAGTGGTGCGGTAATATGATAGTTAGGATATTTATTTAAGTGATAAATATAAATCGAGGAAAAAAGAAAAGGATAATTATCAATATTTAATAAGGAAATTAATAAGGAAATAATGAACTTTTATATAAAAAACGAAATTGTGAAATAATTAAAAAAGGAAATTCAGAAGATTTAATAATAGATTTTCATTAAGGGCATCTTGGTAATTCCGCGGCTGAGAGTTAACGTGGTGGCTCCATTCATGAAAATCACCCTCTTTCTCAAGACCTTATCATACGTAAGAAGCTTCTTGTAGGTGCCTAATGCATTAACGTAAGTACTTAAGATATATTATTAATGATTAAGCAAATATTATGGATATTAAAAAAAAAATTGTTATAGATTCGCCATTAGAATTAGGGTTTCATGAATATTAAGATGGTAATTAAAAGGATAGATGTTCATACCTTCTTTTGCTGGAGTTGAATATTTCTCGCTTGGGACCAAATCTGATCTTCTAGATTCCATTAGCTTGGAACTCACTGTTACAAAAGCGAGAGAAGAAGAAGTTAGAAGCGTATATGTAGATGATTGACAGTAGATAACAAATAATCAGTTAATCATTACAGTAAATAGAACTTAAATCAAAGTGAAACAATAAAGATACATGAGAAGAAGAAATATGAGACCTAAGAAGTAAGATTACGTATAGAAAGAAGATATGCAAATCGTAATGAGAATTGGGTTGATTTTGCTTGTAGCTATAACTATATATAAGACAGAGTCGGCTAACAAACCTAGGTTTTCCAATTTTTAATTCTTTACAATTTTTTTAATTTCTTCCATATATGTGGCGCGAAAATATGTTAGTTATACGGTATATATCCAAAAATAATTTAGGAAGAAAGCAAAATTCGTTATCCATCGTCCAATAAAATAAATTCGTTTTTAAATAAGATAATAAGCAAATTGAAAGATTTATTCAAGATTTTCATTAAGGGTAGTTATGTAATTCCGAGGCTGAGAGTTAACGTGGTGGCTCCATTCACGAAAATTGATTTGCAAATACTAATATGATAAAATTAGGGGTGGACATAATTCTCGTTTCATCATGTCTCTTCCTGTCCCATCCTTTCGCTCTTGTTCCATCCCTCATGTACTATCCTGTTTCATCATATCTCGCTCCGTCTTGCACCGTCCTGTCCCGTTCCGTCTGGTTCTGTCCTGTTCCTTTCTGTATCGTTCTGTCCCATTTTTTTCCGATCCGTCTCGTTCTGTCCCATCCCGTTATATCCCATCTCGTTCCGTCCCGTCCCATTCTGTCCCATTCTCGTTTCATCATGTCAAGTTCTGTCCTTGCTTTGAGACCCGATAATCTGTTTGTGTTGATTTAAGATCTGAAATGTGATGATAATCTGTTAACGGGACTTGTGAGTCAATTTATTTTAACAATGAGTTAACAATTATTTTTATCATCTTTTTAAATTGTATGTTATAATGAAATATTATAGTTGAACTTATATATAACTAGATTTTTAATTAAAAAGTTGTACAGAAAAAAAAATATATATATTTTTTAAATGCTATAATGTGTTTATGAGTTAAAATATGTACAATATAATTTAGTTAATATAATGGAAAGCTAATGTAATGAATAAGTTTATATTTTTTAATTCTTATTTTGTTTTAAACGTTAATAAAAGTTGAACTATTATATGTAAATTAATGGAAACTTTGAGAATTTTATGCATTGTGATTGACAAATTTTAAATATACAAATTCAAAATTGGAATAAAAGTATAACGCCCCGATCGCCCATCCCAGTGAGTCACCCTCGCCCCTAGTGGGTCTCACCCTGTCTGACAGCCAGTTCATTATTTTTTGAGAGACTACCGACTTATTTACTATCCCTGCAATCATCACCCGACATTTCCTTGTGTTTTGTTCTCACTTACACGGTTTCGGAAATCACTTTCCGGAAGGTCACCCATCCTTCCATTACTCCAGCCCAAGCATGCTTATGGACCTTTGACCGAGAAGATAAATGCACTTTGTTGACATAGGTAGCCAAATCAATTCTCTTAAGCATCTCCTCATTTATCACAAACCGGGATATTACAATTCACGACCCCCATTCACTGCGCACAACGTCCTCGTTGCACACCTTGATCATCACCCCATGACAGGGTGAGTCAAGGTCACTCCACTCGACTCCATAGTCTTGTATGGGTTTGGCTCTGATACCAAATTACAACTCCCCGACCGTCCATTCCGGTGAGTCACTGATATCACCATATTTTACATGATTTTACTATATAATTACTATGTTTTCAAACGGTTTTTGCAAGATTCTTTGCCTTTAGAGGTAGTTTTCTTGTATTTGTGGGATTTGAAGTCTTTGTAGGTGAAATAATCAAAAAGGATGCAAAAAGGAGTAAAAGAGCCCTAAATCAAGATCCATGCAAGTTTCCAAGTCAAGAAGATCATTTTATCTCCAAGTGTTAGTTCTCGCTGCGCGCAGAACGAAGCTTCGGAAGTTTGGCCGCGCGCGGAGGAGTTCCCGACGTCCAAAAGTTACGATCTTGATATGGAAAGATAGATACTTGAGTCATGCATCACGTCGAAGTGGAATGAAGCCATTTGGATCAACTATGAGGCCTAGACTTATTTTCTACCGAGACATGTCCGGTAAGCGAGCAAACGAAGCCCATGGAGGATTTGGAGTGTCTAATGGCCCGAGCAGCAGCGCCAAAGGCCTTGATCGAATAGAGAAGAGGCCTGGCTAATGTTTGGAGCTTTCCTTGGTACAATGTCGGCCCATACACGACGTGGAGAAGAAGGCTTTGCTCACGGGAAACTTTCCTTTTCCGGCATGAAGAAAACCCTACGCGACTTCGCCCATATATACATGTTTTTAGCCGCTGAAGAAGAGAGTCCGAAAATTATCAAAGAGTGTACGTGTGAGAAGAGAGCAGAAAGAGAAGCCCTAGGAGATCGTCCAAGAAGAAGGAGGCGCCGCTCAACTCTTGTTCTTTCTTTTTCATTGTTTCCATTTCTATAAACTTGATCTTAAGAGTTTTCAAGGGAGAATCCGACTTTGTTCATCAATAGAGAAGCTTTCTTCATCCCTTTATCTCTTTTAATACTTGCATAATGTTTACAATCATGCTTTGCTTGCTTGTTTGCATCATGGCCGAGTAGATCTCTTAGTTAGGCCGAGGAGATCTATGGTGGCCGTGATGATTTGATTGTGTTGCAACTTATTGGGATTTATCTTATGGATCTTCACCTTTACTTGAGCTTAATGCATGATTACTCTACCGTACATCTAGTAATCTGATCTTAGAGAAATAGAACCACGACAGTGCTGAATCTAGATCTCAAAACTAGTATTTGGTGAGCAATAGATCATAGCCAACGAAAGCTGAGTTATGGTTTATTGTGAACAATTGAATCTTGAACCTTTAATGCATGTTTGCAATTCTAATAGCCAACGAAAGCTGAGTATATTAGGTTGTTTTAAACATAGTGGTTGGAGCCACGACAGTGGAAAGACCATACACTAGTGATTCATGTTCAAGACGGCTCTACACACATCCCATGCAACTATCTTTTCATCATTGCTCCATATGATTGTCCTTTGCCTAACTCTTGTTTTAAATTGTTTACAACTCACTCACATTTCTTTTTTGTTTTCTCATTCTAGGTCCAAAACCACCTCATATTGCGAGCTAGCTACAAACCAATCTCACAAGGTGTTAAGTGAGAACACTTCCTCCTCGTGTTCGACCCCGACTACAACACGGCTGTGCACTTGCAGCTCATTAGTTGGGTTTATAAATTGTGAAAATTTGAGGCAATCTAAACCCGCCATCAGTCACCTATGCCACTCCCGGCCCGTGGGCCCCACCCCTGTATGACGGCCGATTCGTTATTTTTGAGAGGCTCTACGGACTTATTTACTGTCCCCGCAATCAACACACGACCTTTACCCCATTTTTGGCCTCACTTACACAGTTTCGGAAATCACTTCCTGGAAGGTCGCCCATCCTTCCACTACTCGAGCCCAATGACACTTAATTTCGGAGTTACTTATGGACTTTTGACCGAAAAGGTAATGCACTTTGTTGACATAGTTAGCGAAATAAATTCTCTTAAGTCTCTCCTTATTTATCACAAACCGGGATGTTACAAAAAGAATCAATGAACATCATGCTCAAACGCTACCACAAAAAAAAATATAGAATCAAATAAAAATTTAAAACATCATACTACAGTAGAAACTCTATAAATTAATACTCGATAAATTAATAATCACGATAAATTAATAAAATCTCTCGGTCCCGAGTCGGGCCAGTGTAAAATATGACACAATTCGATAAGATAATAAGATAATAACATTTTTAAAACTCCTATGTAAAATATGGTCCCAATAATATCATAAATTAATAATTATCATATAAAAATTATAAATATATAAAAATAAGTTAACCTACTAAAATATAAATGTAATGTAATGTAATGTTGTTTGCTTTTTCTTAAAATTGAATGCCTTTTGTAGTTTGTCTCTAAAATTTCTTACAACATCAAAAAAATTTAGTGTTGTATATTTGAATTGCATCCAAAAACTATGAAGAGTTCTAGACACGACAATTGTCTTTTTATGCTTAACTGTATTTTAAGGTATTATCACAAAATGACAAGTATGAAAAAATGTAAAGTAAATACAGAAATATAAAAGAGAAAAGTTAAATAAATTTACCTTTGGAAAATTTTTTCTTATTTGATATAAATGAAAATTGAGAAGTTTATTGTTAAATTAATAACTCTATAAAATAATAAAATATCAAAGTCCCGACATTATTAATTTATAGAGTTTCTACTGTATAAGGAACATATTAATTGTTATTTTGATGCATAGAAAAATTTAGATATATTCTAATTATTTATATTATTATTTTGATACTTTCTATTGTTGTTTTAGGTTTTTTAGGTTTTGAGATTTCTTATAAAGCCGTTTAGGCCCAAGTATTCAATTAATTTTGATTAATAAAATAAAACTTTAAGCTTCTGAAAGAAAAATATTCTCTAATCTTTGTTTGCGATAGATCTAGATAGATCTCAAAGAATCAAGGAAGAACTTCGTACTTAGGTTTTCTTAAACTAGATAAGAATCTTTGTATTTATCACAGCTTTCGCAACAACATATTTTGTAGGGTTTTGTGCAAAAGAACCCTCAAACTAAATTATTTTTGCAAATCAAACCCTCAACTAAAAATTGTACAAAACAAACCTTGAAGTCAAAAGAACCCCACAATATAGGACCTATGTGTATTTGTGACGAAACTGAAAATGATTGTGTGCAAAAAACCCACCAATTATTATTATTTTTTTTTTTTGCAAATTTAACATGTAATTTAAAAAATATGCAAGCTAAACCTGCAAAGTGGAAAGTCACCGTTATAACCATGTGCATTTCGGGTTTTGGGACGGGTATTTACTGGAATAGGACATTCGGGAATCAAATTATACAACCCAAAGTATTCCCTTATGATAACATGATGAGAAATGACGGGAACACAAAGTTTGGGATTAAAAAGTATACACCTATGTCTTACTAAATCGGAAAAATTGAAAATAAAATATTAAAAATATGGGAGATTTCGGGAAAATGCAAGAAAGTTTTCGGAAAATTTAAGAAATATATCAATAATAATAAATGGCATGATGGTTTCCTTAAATTTAACAAAAAAATTCTTGCATTTTCCCGAAATGTCCCATATTTTCCATATTTTATTTTCAATTTTTTCCGATTTAGTAAGACATTAGATGAATAATTTTTAGCCCCAAAATTACTGTTCCCGTCATTTCTCGTCCCGTTGTTATAAGGGAATACTTTGGGTATTATAATTTGATTCCCGAATGTCCCGTTCCCGTTAGTACCCGTCCCAAAATTCAAAATGCACATGGTTTTAATGGGTGATTTTTGCAAGTTTGGCATGCACATTTTTTAAGTTGGAGATTAAATTTGCAAAAAAAAATTATTTGGTGGTTTTTTTTCAAAAAATCATTTTTAATTAAGTCACAAATATATATATAAGTCCTATGTAGTGTTTATTTTGCAGGGTTTGATTTGCAGGTATAATTTAGTTTGAGGATTTTTTGCACAAAACCCTATTCTGTACCATATATATTTAGATTGTAAATGTGATTTTACACAATGTTTCAGAATATTTAATACCAGTCCCATCTATGTGTCTTGGGTTGACTTTACTCGTGTAAGGGTCAACCGTAGATTTTTTTCAATTATTTTGCAGCCGAAAGGACGGACATTCTATAGAATCTTGTATATGCGGATCGCAGAGATTCACATTTACAATTTACAACCATGCAAAAGAATGGTCCACGATAGAAAAAAAACAAAAGACAACTAGTAGACGAGGTTAACCTAGAGAAAGCAAGAGTAACCACTAACGAAGAGTCGAGGACGAATTAATGACAAATGTCAAGATTCTTAGCTGTAGTTCACAACTATTGTTACAATCTTTTGAACTATTGTAACCAAGTCTCCATTCTTTTGGATACATTGCCTTCTCATACAAAACACCCAAAATGGTTTTTGATGAAACCTGTTTAAAGTAACGCAGAACACTGGTACCTCAACGGAACCATCAATCGAAACATATCTGTAAATTTTACCAACAAGGCAAACAAATCATTAAGATCACATTCAACTACAAAGGGAAAATAATTTTATGGGTAAAAAAGACATGATGATCAATAGTTTGGCTAGAAAACAAGGAAATGCATGCAGCCGAAACCCTAATTCTTTTTCCTTACTCGACAAGAAAACAGTGTACATTAGCTATCCACAATCCTAATAAGATTGAGATGAAGCCCATTTTTTACCCTGGAGCCCTTATAAAGATAGGACACCGTTGAAACCATGTCGGCTAGGATTGTGAACCGAGTTCTCTGTGGTTTACAATACTTGGTTTGATGTAACTTTTTGTGATAAAACATAGTATTATAGTAAACTCAACAAATTAAATGGTCATTGACCGAGAGGGAATTGATGATTGATTCATTGGTTCCCATCCACTTCCTACCGTAAAAACTGAAACAAGCACTAAGAGTCTATTCAAAGCACCATGCTTTAAAAAAAAAAAATGTTCATAATCCAAATTGAATACATGATAACACATGTAATTATTGAAAATCCAAAAAAATACCTAAAATTTAATAACTGAAGTTATAAGAATTCATGATCTGCATCATAGAATGAAAAGACAACTCTAGGGAAAACCCCTCTAGAGATTTTATTTAACAAAATGAAGATTGAGATACCATAAGATAGATATCAAAAATCGTCGAGATAAGAATCAGAGTTAACACAGGAGGTTGATGCTACTGACTCCTCATAGTCAGCGGTTCCTTCATCAACAATGTGATCATTCTGGCAAAACAAAACAAAAAAAAGCTCACTGAAAATGATATTTGTACAAACTGAGTAACACTTCTACAAATTTTTGCTATACAAACAAGAATCTTCGAGTAGGATTTACGATGTTGAACTTGATGTTAACTAAGGTAATGTCATGAAGATATATCAATAATATCTTAGAGAATAAAATGGTCAAGCGATATCATAACTCTAATATGAACCCATGTTATTGTTTATGGCATGTGTTTTGCCTTCTGATAAGATATTCTACGAGTACAACTGAATTAAATTAGAGATAGTTCTGCAAATTCCATATAGAGGATGATATTATTTCCTAAAGGATGATGTAACAAATTTATAAATGAATATTAGTTGATAAAACCTTAAGTAGCACCAGAGTAGTACCTAAAAGATGATATTTCCTAAGGGATGATGTAATAAATTCTTCAAAAAGGATCTTGATCTTATCATATGTTCCCATAAAGTTTCTAGATTCCCTATTCTACTCAAACATAATGCAAAAATTAATCATCAAATATTAATGTGGCATAACGTACTAGATATTTTCACAGTTAATTTGTTAGATCAACTGTTAAAGCCTAGGGTTTCCTAAGCAGCACATAGACACACAAAAAGAAAACAAAACGGAGGAGAAAATGGTAACTAACCTGCGAGTTCTTGTACACGAAGCCTTCAGCAGCATTCCTTCTTGGAAACGCTTGTTTCCTCCTCAACTTTCTCTTCTTCTCAATCGTCTTTGCCACAACAGCATCAAAATTTTGTCGCTGCTTCTTGGTGAAGTTGGTTTCACTGAGCATCCACACCTTCTTCTTAACACAATCATAAATAAGTCTCACAAAAAAGTCAGGGTACTTTGATTGCACACAAAAAAGAAAGTCAGGGTACTCTCCACGGTTTGGGATCTGCTGATTCTTTGGCACAAAATACACAGAGCAACTTTTCATCACAGATTCAGCAATCACTTGATCGCGATGGGTACTGTACAAGAGTTCTCTTGCATCTTTGGATTTCCAGTGTCTAACGTATTTTTTGTCCACGTCTTCTGGACGATAAAACCACTGGACAGAAAGCATCATAGATCCTTCTGTGTCTTCTACATAAATATCCTGTCCAAAACATAGTTCGATAATGATAAGGTAAAAATTGAAATATCTTATAATTTTTTGTCTTCTTATTTTTTACCTTTATGATCGCAACATAGGGCTTTTTGTTTGCGTCCTCTGGAGTCAGCACCACTGTATCATTCTATGCCAAAAGAGATTATAATTAATTAATGGTTATATAGAATTTCTCACAGTATTGTACAAAATATGTAGTGTTCATGCCTTGCCCGTGGCACAAGCTATCTAAGCTCTCCACTAATTAAGGCCAAGGATTTTGGAACCTTTCGTATTTATGTAATACAGGAAGAATTGTTCTAATAAGCCACGAAAACTTTAAATTTAATAAATCTTAAGCCAAACAAAACTTACCAATTCATATTTTGTGCCATGAAACTGGAACTTCTCGTAATGACGTTTCCTCTCTTCCCCCTCACCAGTAAACTTAACCAATTGGCCAATTGGTTGCGGGCAATTCTCAGGTTCCGACTCTAACTCCCGTTTCATCGTTACGGGCATTTCCTCATCACGATGTTCCATCTCTTGCTTAATCTCCATTATCTCCACAGTGTTCGGTAGCAGAATCGACAATGGAACATTGTCTTCAACTTTGGTAGTCAACAGGTTATTCAATTGTTCGCTGGACATCTTTCTTCAGCTGGTAAAAGTGCAGCTCGATTTTCAACCTACAATTGTAAAACTAGATTCATTAGGACAACAAAAAGTTGACATCAATCTGACATCAAAATATTTACACGCTGGAGAATCTAGTGAAATGAAAGATAATGTGCATGTGAAATTCATGCATATTAATACACATACACGTTAAAACTAATAGTAAACATAACAATGAAGAGTTGCTACCAATTCTGATTCTAAAATACCCTAAAACTGAATTACCCAGAAACCTCAATAACAATTCAGAAAACCATCCAAGACATTAAAGAATCCATAATTACATTAAACAATTAGGTTTAGCGTGAGAATATGATCTAAATTTCTTCCTCGTGGTTCTTGATAAAGTATTCAATAATCCTTCCACAGTTAAATACCATGTCTCGAGTGTAGAAAGAAATACTTGCGAACCAAATATTTCTCCATCTATATATGATGGCTACCAATCTTAAGGAGCTAACAAAGATGAATCCCTATAAAACCGATCGTTTTAAAGACTAAAGCTACCAATGAAAGTACTCGATCGTTTGTATATAACACCGATCCCTATAAAACCGATCGTTTGTATATAATGGTTTTCTGAGAATATAATGTTTCTTTTATACTAGTTCCAATGATAATATCGTTGCATGTTCATGTATAATATCTGAGCTTCAGATGAATTGGTTAGGTGAATGACCAAGCCAAAGCTAATATACAGCTAAGACAGCTATTTTCAAAAATCCATTTTTGGTTAGAGATTTATAAAGAAATATGATGAGGTAAAAAGAAAAATGGAAAAAGTTTTTTGAAATAATAATTAATATTCATAGATTTTTTGTTATCTCTTCAATAACAATAAAAAAAGAAATATTATTTATAGGGTATCACCCACGCTTTTTCTTTTTTTTTGTTAATTTGATGAGCTGTCATTTACAAAATTTCACATAGTGTTTTTGCAATGTATTTGAAATTATTTCTTTCATAATCGATTTATACATGCATCAGAAGCATAGATTTTGAATTGTGGAGGAAATTAAAATAAATTTCCTTTTAATTTTCCTGACACCCTTTTTAATTTATTTTTAATTTAATCTTTATATTATTAATTGAGAAGTACATTCTAATGTTTGGATACAAGAATTAGAGAAACATCTATTTGGATAGAAGAATAAATGGAAACAAAAGTTGTTTGGATATAAGAATAAGAGAAAAATCTATTTGGATAGAAGAATAAATGGAAAAAATTGTTTGGATACAAGAATAATAACTTAAAATAAACCGATGGTTTAGAAAACTTCCGTTTTCCATCTCTTAAAAATCTGCAAAAAAGAAAACTTAACATAATCTAACGATAATTCCAAATCAATAGAATATGCTTTTTGGATTTTCGGGTTTTTATAGACAAGTTCGGGTTTGGGTGAAAATCTGAGACATAATTTTATAGAGATATATATAGAGATATAGAAATTGTTCGGGTTTCTTTGAAAATTTCTGTTCGGGTTAGGTTCAATTTTTTTTTTCAGTTTAGGGTTTTCCGGATTTTTTAGATTTCTGGTTTTCGGGTTTAGATATATTAAAAAAATTGAGTATTTTAAAATTTTGATTAGGTATTGGGGTCGGGTTCCGGGTGAAAAAGTTTCCAGATTTTTTTTGTTCAGTCAGGGTTTTCGGGATTTTTTTATTTCGGATTTTCATGTTTAGACCTATTAAAAAAGTTTGGGTTTTTAAATTTTTTGATTAGGGTTTTTTGTCGGGTTCGGATTTAGGGTTTAAATTTTCTACACAAAACAACAACGTCACACCGCACAAACGTGCGGGTACTCTACTAGTAACACTCACACATTTTGACAGCCATTTTAACTTATTAATATTTCCTTTTGATTTCCTTGACAGCTTTCTGAATTTAATAATATTTTCTTTTATTTTTTTCTTAACAATCTTTTTAATTTAATAATATTTCGTTTTAAATAATACACATATTTTGATGGGATATCTATCAAACATCATTGATTCATTGATAATATAGATATGCATGAAAATTATAGAAATAATCATTAAGGGATTCCCTTCTATTTTTGACAGCATATTTAACTTAATAATATTATTCATGTATGCATTCAAATTTATTAAATAAAACAAGGATACTTTAAAATAATAAACACTATCATCAAACAACAGAAAATAAATATCAAACTAATTATTAATTGTATAAGATCATTTCGTTTTGGTACAACAGCAAAAAAACAATAACCAAAGTTTCAAATCTGATTTTTCTAACCAATTATCTTTCGTTTCTTTTTTCTTTTTGGTAAAGAACCAATTGTATCTACGCAAAGATAATTAGTCAGTTGTTTTTTCTCAATTCAGTTTTTCGTATGATATATTCAAGAGGAGATAAGGTACTCTACTAAGAACAATTAATAAAATGTTACAACAATGATGATGGTAATGTAAAATAAATTTTGAAGCATAGTTTACTAAAAGATAAAAACGATTGAACTACAAGAAGGAGAATACATAAGAGAGCAAACATACTTTGATAATAATGAAAAGTTGTCGATTTGGTGCGCTACTAAGGAATTTGAATGTCACTGTGATAAAGATGGAGAGAAGATATCGGAGAAAATGCTTTAAATCGCTGCGGTTAGGGGACGCGTATGCAATTAAAAGCGTTAATAAATGGTTTGTACGACTTTTATAGCGGTTGAAAACAGATGTGTTTGCGGGATACTTAGGACATGTTAATTTGGGAATGCAGCAACAGTTAAATATTAAATTGATAGTATAAACACATTATATATAGTTATAGACATATCAAAATTATATTATATTAAACAATTATAAAATTATCGTTTAATATATTTAATAAATAAAAACTTGTATGTATAATAATTATATTTATTTTTTAATTAGATTAGGTCCCGCGTATACGCAGAATTTATAATTTATTGTTTTACTCTCTGTAGAAACAAATACAGAAAATTAAATAAAAAAACTCATCTCTTTTAACAATAAGTAAAATTAGAAAACTGCACATTATAAATATTTTTTTTTCCTATATTTTCCTAAATTCAATAACTTATCAGTCATTTTTCAAATAAAACTTAATTGAAGAACATATTGAGAAATGAATTGCTTCTCGATTCAGCTTAACTACAACACTTGTCAGCAAAACAATACTTTTATCCTCTTCTCACACAATCACCATTTAAATATTTTATTTTGTCCAGAAGAATTAATTTTTTTATAATTTTTTTTTTGAAGTTGATTGTTCTTTCTTCTATTTTTTTATTGCCTCACAAATATCACATTTTGTTCCTTTTCCATAAGAAGTAACTTCTTAAAAAAATTATCTGTTTTTTTATTCTGATTCTTTCTTATAATTTTTAATTTTCCTTATTTTACTTTCGCATTTTTCTTTCTTAAAGTTGATTGTTCTTTCTTTCAATTTTTTTTTTATTGCCAAGCAAATATTACATTTTATTTCCTTTCTCCATAAGTATTTTTTTTTTCATTTTTCCGATGCTTATTATTCTTTCATATAATTTTTTTATTTTCCTTCTATTATTGTTTTTCTTTTTTCCGGAAGGATTAGCTTTTCTTTATTATTTGTTTTTTTCTTATTGTTGATTGTTCTTTCTTCTAATTTTTTATGTTCACAAAAATATCATTTTTTTTTCCTTTTCCATAAGAATTTTTTTTTAATGATTTTTCTTTAGGATTTCTAACTTCTCAGTCTCGAATATTACAACGATAATTTCCCCATCAAAGTGATTTAGAGTCAAATAATCTCCATTGTTTTTTGACTTTGGAAGACACGTTTTTTTAATTCTAAAAAAGTTGGAAGCACACAATTAGAGATAGGAAAACAAAAAGATGATAACACATAATTAAATTTTAAAAGTTATAGCTTACTATATAGGGTTTGTTGAGACATAAAAGATATTTATTTTTTCTATTTTTTCGTAAGAATATGAAATATTTTTATCTTATAATATAAAATCTGCAGAAATATTTTGTCCTTTTTCGTTAGAATGTGGAATCTTTTTATCTTAAACCATGAGGCTTGCAAATGTTTTTTCCTTTTTTCGTTAGAATATGAAAAATATTTTTTTTTCCATGGCTAGGTATGACATAGAAGATAGTTTTTTTCCCTTTTTGAGTTAAATTTGTATCTTTTTTATCTTAATATATAACGTCTGCGAAAAAAGAAAATATTTTGCCGTTAGAATATGGAACCTTTTCTATTTTGTTTTCTATTTTTTCAACTCTTTTCCTTTTTTTGTTACAATATGGAAAATAATTTTTTCTCTTTTTAAACCAATCAAACACCTAAGTCGAGAAAGTTAATTAGTGGTTGAACCACAACAACAAACATTAGTAATCACAAATCAATATATGGAATTTGAAGACAAACCGTTGGGATGAAGAAAAGCTGGATGGGTTTGTGAGTCGCAAGAGAACATATTTATTAGTAGCATCAAAAAATTAATAAAGAATTAGATGTTTATTAAAGAAAATAGAGACATATTTTGTTGAGCAGAAATGTGGAATGGGCTGTTTAAATAGTGGAATGCTCATTCTCGACTCTTTAGAGCATCTCCAGCGGCATATCAGAGCCAGTTTTTAGATGGGTATCAAGCTAATTTTGAATTAAAAGAAATGTTTTAATCAAAAATTAAGTCTCTTCTTCATGCTATCAGTTCTTTGCGGTCGGCGAGATGATTCGGTGACATTTTTCTCCTCCTCCTCAATTTTTTCGCCGGCGAGATTGAAGAATCCGACCACGAAAACCGGAGAATCCGATTCCTGGAAGAGGAAATCAAGGAATTTGGAATTTGAATTGAGTGATGAGCTTCAAAGGATCGATCGGGAGAAAAGAAGAGGAAATCAAGGAGAACGGAAAATGAGTTTTTTTTCTTTTCTTTTTTTAACAACCCCTATTGTTAAATTTTTTTAAATATATCACCATGGATATCACCGATGGAGAGCAAAAGTAATAAGAAATGTTTTAAGTTTTTTTTTTTTTTAAATAAAATCTACATAACTAATAAGGCTTGGACAATCTCCAGCCTTTGACACGTGGCACTCTTTTTTTTTTTTTTTTCGCCTAACACCAAAACGACGTCGTTTTGGGCTTTATTTTTTTTTTTTTTTTCGTCTTACACCAAAACGACGTCGTTTTGCGCTTTATCTTTTTTTTTTCGTCTTACACCAAAACGACGTCGTTTTCGTATTAAAAAAAAAAAAAAATCTAAATCAAAATTATGTGTAATGCTGTTCGTTTTGATGGGCTTGATTATTTATCGGACCTCTTCGTTTCCATGGTAGCTTTAAATGGGCTTACTGGCTAATTAGCTCATTTCATTTCCTTTTAAAAAGGATTGCAATTATTATTATCTATGAGTCTGTAGGATAATAATCAATCTATAATGATTGTTAGTATAAGGAAAATTAGAAGAACTCAACTCCAGTCGATAAATTATTGTATAAAAGAACAAAAAACATATGAAACTATTCACTATGAGTCTATATAAGATTTCACGTAAATAACAACTAAATTTTAAAACTATATGAAAAAAAACAAAATGCAAAACTTACAGAATCTAATATATTCGAGTAAAAAACAAATGATATATTCGAATCTAATGTTCTGAATAATTAAATTAAAAATATTTGGTTTAATAAACCGCGCATTGCGCGGATTCTCTCTTAGTTTAATACTAAAAAATGGTATGATATCCTTATTGTGGTATCATCAATAGAGATGCTCTTAGGTATAGCCCGCTCGTTCAAAATATTTTGTTGAGCAGAAATGGCAACTTTTAATTAATTCGGAATTGTTGCGCATCTTCAAATATGCGCAAATAATTTAGTACTAGTTGAATATTCTGGTCTGGGAATCTAATTTTATTAGCAATGAAATTTAGGAAATACGATATCCTATATGCTAATTTATTTTCATAATTCCTAAATTAATTGCCTTGAAAAGGAACATGTGATACAGCAGATAAATACGTGTTCTTGCTTCCAAGTTTTGAGATTTTGGTACAACACGTGTTCTCCGAAAACAATGATTGAATGAGAAGCCCATGACAGGCCCATTACGATTCGGACTTCGGAAGAATAATACAACACATAACGATTCATTAATAGACCCATTGTGATTAAAAAAACCGACCCGCAAGGATCCGCGTGTTTTACTGGAAGAGAATAAAGAATTTAATTAAATAAATTAAAAGTCAAAATTACCAATTTTCAAAAATACACTTCTATGGTGTCTATTTTCAAAACTACACTTTTTTCATTTAGTAAAAGAGCTCTAAACTCTAAAATATAAATCCAAAACCCTAAAATCTAACATTAAACCCTTAAATCTAAACCCTAAACCCCAAAATCTAAACCCTAATCTAGGATTAGTGAACCCAAACATATATATTAAAATTAGGAAAAGGTATATTTTTGAAAATTTCTACACCATAGGTGTAGTTTTGAAAATTTGCACCTCAAGAGGTGTATTTCATAAAATTTCTCAAAAATCTGTGAGCTTGCCATGTCAGCTTTTTAGCATGGTATTAAATATATTGTAGGATATGATGGTTTTTTCATCTTCTGAAAGTTCTGATATATTTAAAAAATTCTATTTTGAAAGTTCTGATATATTTAAAAAAATATTCATTGGCTTGTTATAAGTTAATTAATAAAGATAAACTAAAAGTAAAATGTTTAAGGTTGCCTAAAAGCATAACAAAACAATTTCTAATATATTACCATTAGTCTACCAAACATAATTGTTCATTTCATTGGAAATCATATTTACTCCTTTCCTTTTTTAAAGATAAATTTACTAGTTTTTTTACTAGGAAAAGTTGATTTTCAATTATTACTGTATAAGTTTTTGCAATAAAACAACTTTTTTTATAATTTTAAACCAATTAATATCTAATAAATACAATTAATGTTTCTTGAAAACTGAAAAAAATGTATCAAAAAGTTAGAAAATTTATAGAAATAACAATTAATGTCTAGAAAATTTATCTTTAAGAAACTGAGGGAGTATTTAAGATTCAAAAAATCTACCCTCATTAACTATAACAATAATGATTATTGTATACATACTAATTAAAGAGAATAATATTTATATTTAGTAGAGAGTAAAAAACTACATAGCAAAACTGGGTTTATAAAATCTGACAGGTGACATCTAAAATCTCAATATTTCTCTCGATATATAAGAAAACCAATAATGACCTCACTAATTTTTCCTTCTTCATATTTCTCATAAAACTATTAAAAGGTTTACGATTCTTTTTACAGATAAAACCCATAAAAGTCCATCAACAGTCATTTGAAAAAATATAGTTTTTCTTCCAATAAACGAAAAGAACGAAGAGGAATTATACAAAATGGAGAGATCAAAGAGGAAGAAGACTGGAGAAGGAGCAAATCAGAGAGTAGCGTTTTACAAGCTTTTCACGTTTGCCGATCGATACGACATCGTTCTAATGGTGGCCGGGACCATCTCCGCCGTGGCCAACGGCCTAACTCAGCCGATTGTGGCAGTACTGATAGGCCAGATCATTAACGTGTTTGGCTTCTCTGATCAAGATCACTTGGTTAAAGAAGTCTCAAAGGTTAGGATTTCAAACGATTTTTGTGCCAATTTTTACTGTTCTTGTTACTGATATCACGTTTTAAGATGTTTAAAAGAATAAGGTTAATAATTACCAGACTTTTAATTTACCCTAACATATACTTTAATTTTGTCCTCCAAAACACACAACAGAAAGGGTTAAAATGGAAGAAGCTCTTCAACTAAAACTTGTTTTAAACTTCACAAAAACAAAAGTTTAAATTTGAATTTCTTACAGTTTATATCATGTGATTTTCTTAATAATTTCAGGTTGCTGTGAAGTTTCTTTACCTTGCGGTCTACGCTGGTGTTATGTCTTTCCTGCGTAAGCCCAATCTGTTTTTCTTATTTTTTTCACCTTTACCTTAACGTAATTAACTTGTTTACAAAGCTAACAGAGATTTCTCTATACTTCTTTTGCAGAGAGTCTATTGTTGGATGGTAACTGGAGAGCGCCAGTCCGCTAGAATCCGCGGTCTATACCTAAAAACAATATTAAGACAAGACATCGGCTTTTTCGACACGGAGACTAATACCGGCGAAGTCATCGGAAGGATGTCCGGAGACACCATTCTTATTCAAAATGCCATGGGAGAAAAGGTTCCGAGACTATAAACACCACCTGTTTCTTGCTGTACAAGTTACTGAATCTTCTTTTTCTATTTCTTGTATGTTTTTTTCTTCAGGTTGGGAAATTCATTGCACTAGTATCAACATTCTTTGGTGGATTCACGGTCGCTTTTATAAAAGGCAGACGACTCACAATTGTTCTTCTTCTGTGCATTCCACTGATAGTGGCCACTAGTGGAGTAATGAACTTAGTCATGTCGAGAGCTGCTGGTCGTGGTCAACTAGCTTACGCGGAAGCAGGGAACGTAGTAGAACAAGCTGTTGGTTCAATCAGAACAGTACGTTCTTGGCTAGGTCTGTGTTTTAAAAAGATTAACTTGTTCCAGATTTTTGATGTTATTTTGTTTAGGTTGTGGCATTCACTGGGGAGAAACAAGCGACGGAAAAGTACGAGACGAAGCTTGAGACTGCCTATAAAACTACGGTTGAGACAGGGCTCTTCTCGGGTTTAGGCATTGGAATATTGATGTTTGTTGTCTTCTGTACACACGGTTTAGCCATTTGGTATGGTGCTCGGCTGATAATGAATGAAGGATATAGTGGAGGTCAAGTCATGAACGTCATTTTCGCAATCGTCAATGGAGGAATGTGAGTATTATATATAACGATTACTTGTCTTCCACGTGATATTGAAAACTAACCCTAACGTTTTAACACATTTTTCAGAGCGTTGGGGCAGACCTTACCTTCTCTTAACGCGTTTGCGATCGGACAAGCTGCTGCCTACAAAATGTTCGAGACGATAAAAAGAAGACCAAAGATCGATGCTTATGACTCGAGCGGTTTGGTTTTGGAGGAGATCAAAGGAGACATTGAGCTAAACGATGTCTACTTTAGATATCCAGCGAGACCTGATGTGAACATATTTGCTGGATTCTCGCTGGTTGTACCGAATGGTTCGACAGTGGCTCTGGTGGGACAGAGTGGGAGCGGGAAGTCAACGGTGATCAGTTTGATCGAAAGGTTTTACGATCCCGAGTCAGGACATGTTTTAGTTGATGGGATCGATTTAAAGAAGCTTAACCTTAGATGGATCAGAAGCAAGATTGGTCTCGTGAGTCAAGAACCTATACTTTTCGCGACCACGATTAGAGAAAACATTGTTTACGGGAAAAACGATGCCTCTGATCAAGAAATTAGAACCGCGGTTGAGCTCGCTAACGCCACTGGTTTCATCGACAAACTCCCACAGGTACGTACTAGTTATAAACAATTTGTGGATAAACCGAGTTTAAATTTCTTAACTTTTTTTGTTTCTCTCTGTCTCTGTCTCTGTCTCTTTCTCTCTAGGGTTTAGACACGTTGGTAGGAGAACATGGGACGCAAATGTCCGGTGGACAGAAGCAGAGGCTAGCTATTGCGAGGGCGATTTTGAAAAACCCTAAAATCTTGCTTCTTGATGAAGCTACGAGCGCTTTAGATGCTGAATCTGAACGCATTGTTCAAGATGCTCTTGTAAAGCTTATGTCGAGCCGGACCACCGTCGTGGTGGCTCATCGGCTTACCACCATTAGAACCGCCAACTTGATCGCCGTTGTGCAGCAGGGAAAAATCGTCGAGAAAGGTTAGGGTTTTGTATAGTACCGTGGGATGCAAGTAACTAATATTTCTTATTTGCATGCTACTAGCTTACTAGTAACATAGCTTTTGTAATTTAGGAACTCACAAGGAGATGATTCAAGATCCAAATGGAGCGTATTCGCAGCTCGTTCGTCTACAAGAAGGATCAAAGAGAACAAGAGGAATAGTCGATGAACCAGAGAGGCATGAAACGAGTTTTGAAATTGAAGGACCGGTTAGCCAAAACAGAATCCATAAGGGACACTCATCGAGCAGCCGTCATTCCTTCAGACCAGCTGATTCGAATGAGAGCGAAGAGATTCACGAAGTTAACTCTCCCACTGAGGAAGAAACGACCAAGAAACGCAAGAAAGTCTCGTTGACACGGCTAGCTCACCTCAACAAACCAGAGATCCCGGTTTTGGTGCTCGGTTCATTGGCTGCAGCGGTTCACGGTGTTGTGGTCCCTCTCAATGGTTTACTCTTGTCAAGAACGATCAAGATATTCTTTGAACCTTCAAATCTACTAGAGAAAGATTCACATTTCTGGGCTCTCGTTTTCGTCATGCTCGGTGTAATCGATCTCATCATCATTCCGTTTCAAAACTATTTTTTCGCTGTCGCTGGAGGGAAACTCATTAAACGCATCAGATCCTTGTCGTTTGATAAAGTTGTTCACCAGGAGATAAGTTGGTTCGACAATTCCGCGAATTCTAGGTAATATAATATAGCAACAAAATGTTTTCCTCATATCTAAAACGTTTTAGCTGTTTAATATTTTGCGTTTTTGTGTCCCAGCGGCGCGATTGGAGCGAGGTTGTCCACAGATGCTTCGACAGTGAAGAGTATAGTGGGTGATACTTTAGGGTTAATCGTTCAAAACGCAGCTACTGTAGCCGCTGCATTGATTATAGCGTTTACAGCTAATTGGATATTAGCTCTCTTTGTCCTTTTAGTCTCACCAGTCATGTTACTTCAAGGATACGCTCAGACCAAGTGCATAACCGGTTTTAGCGCAAGCGCAAAAGTCAGTATACTATTTTCGTCAACCTTCGGTTTTTGAATTTTATGGTTCAACCTAATCTAATCCGGCTAACTTCGGTTTAGGAAAAATACGAAGAGGCGAGCCAGGTCGCGAGTGACGCAGTGAGCAGCATAAGAACGGTTGCATCATTCTGTGCAGAGGACAAAGTGATGGATTTATACGAGCATAAATGCGAGTTACCCAAGAAAGAAGGGGTCCGGTCAGGGTTCTTTAGCGGTTTGGGTTACGGTTTCTCATTCTTCTTTCTCTTTTGCATCAATTCCCTTTGTTTTTACGTCGGTTCCAAGTTGATTTCCTGGAATAAAGCCACGTTCGGAGAATTCTTTCAGGTACAATAATAAATGAGTACAAATTTTTCTGTTCGAGTCGGTTGGTTATGGTCCGGACCGTTTGGTTATTTTTTTTATTTTTTTATTTTTTAATATCGTTTCAGGTTTTCTTTGCACTAAGTTTGACAGCCGTTGGAGTGGCTCAAACGAGTGGTATGGTACCGGACAGGAACAAAGCCAAAGACGCTGCTGCTTCGATTTTCGATATCCTCGATGGTAAACCGAAAATCGATTCCTGTTCTAATGAAGGAACAATGCTAGAAAACGTGAAGGGTGATATCGACTTGCAACATGTCAGTTTCCGGTATCCAACGCGACCGGATGTTCAAGTTTTTAGTGACTTATGCTTAACCATATCCTCTGGACAGGTAACAAACATGAAAACCGGTTAACGATTGTACAAAATTGAAATAAACCGGTTAACGATTTTTGTTTTTTCAGACCGTTGCATTGGTTGGAGAGAGCGGGAGCGGGAAATCGACGGTGATAAGCTTAATCGAGAGGTTCTACAATCCGGACTCAGGCAAGATTCTTCTAGATCAAGTTGAGATTCAGACGTTTAAATTGAGTTGGTTAAGGCAACAGATGGGTTTGGTTAGTCAAGAACCGGTTTTGTTCAACGAGACAATACGATCAAACATAGCTTATGGTAAAACCGGTGGAGCCACGGAGGAGGAAGAGATCATAACCGCAGCAAAAGCGGCTAACGCGCACAGCTTCATCAGCTCGTTACCTCAAGGTTACGAAACGACGGTAGGCGAACGCGGTGTACAGTTATCCGGTGGTCAGAAACAGAGGATAGCGATAGCTCGGGCCATTCTCAAAGATCCTAAGATTTTGTTGCTTGATGAAGCGACAAGCGCGTTGGATGCAGAGTCTGAGAGGGTGGTACAGGATGCGCTTGACCGGGTGATGGTGAACCGGACTACCCTTGTGGTGGCTCACCGGCTCAGTACGATCAAGAACGCGGATGTAATCGCGGTGGTGAAGAATGGTGTGATCGCGGAGAGAGGAAGGCATGAAACGTTAATGGAGATTTCAGGTGGTGCTTATGCTTCGCTTGTAGCTTTTCACATGAGTGCGAACTAAAGATAATTTAATATATTTGTGGTTAAGCGAAAATAATGTTTTACCTGTTTCTGTAACTATAGAGACTAAAATCTTCGTATGATAAAACGCTACAACTTAAAATTACTGTATGCATTGAAAAGTATGTCTTCATGTATTATAATTTTGTAAAAAACTAGCCAAACAATTTACAGATTTAAATCTTAAAAAGGAGCTGAATTTTCCACAGCAGTTAGGACACTTTTGTGAGATAATGGGCTCAATTCAAGCCCAAGTCAAGATAGTTCAATTATGTGGTATTTCCTATTCTGTTTTTTATTGGTTATGCAACAAGAAAAAGGTAACAAAGGAAAAAGGCAACAAAGGAAAAAGGCAACAAAGGAAGGGAAGATTTCCTAAAGCTAAATGGAAATACAAAGACATCTTTGGCTGTATAAGGAGGCATCTACTTCTCATTCAGAATCATCCCAAACACAAGAATCCCAAAACATTAGAGAGTAAGAGAAACAATAGAGAGAGAGAATAAAGAGAGAGAAAAAGAGAGTAGTCTTATTCAAGTTTTCTTCTTCTTTTATTCTTTTCTAGAGATTGTTTGTAACTCTTTGGTTAGTAATAAAGTTGTGGGAAGGATCTCACCCGAGACGATCCCGGTTAGAGGCCGGTGATTCTCGGTTAATCAAATACTTTGTGTCTTTTACTTTTCTCAAACAAAAGAGGCTTCATATCTAAGCAAAGGCAAAGAGTAAAAACCCTTACAACTTTTTTTTTGAATAAACTTATCTTCACTGTAACTGAGGATGGTTAGGTTGGAGTTCTCTATCCCTTTCAATGGGAAATGCTATTACTCTCCTCCAAATCGGAAAAATTCATAAAAAGCTTATAAATTTCTCTAGATGAAACAGATTCCATTACATCTTAACCTAAACCATTTTGCCTAAATCCAGTTTACAAGAACAAATAGCTAAGATATCCCTAATATTAAAAGAGAAAACACTATAAAAAATAACATTTCTTTCACGTGATATTAACAAAAATGCCACGCTGACGTATCATTACCAGATTCACTCTCAAGACAGCTTTTAATTAAAGATATAACTTACTAGAATATTTACATACAACTAGGGTTTGACCCGTGCCTTGCACGGGGTGATGATTTCTGAATTTGTATTTTTTTAATCAGAAAATGTACATATAACTATTTTGAAATTTTATATGACATATTTTTACCTTGGTTAAGTTCTTGTCTTGGTTTATAGTCTAGAAATTAAGCATTTTAAAGCATTTTAAAAAAGTTAAACAAATTAAAGCATTTATTGTAGCCATAGATTAAATATGAAAAGACTTAAGCAAGATACATAAAACTCAAAGATTACAATATAATAAAATTGTTCAAAGAACAAAAAATGAAAGAAAATACTATTCTTTTTAAAAGATTATATATCACTCATAAGATAAGCAGTTATAGACATATGCACACGGATTATAACTAACCTTTTTCTCTTTCATCGAAAACTAAAATATGTTTTATTATAATTTCAAAACAATTCGACCAATAAGAAAACAATATGCAGAGTCCAAATTGTCAAAACAAAAAATATATACAATTAATTTTATATTGAAAGTGAAACAAATAGAGCAATATTTAAATTTTTGATCAAAATAAAATATTTATAAGAAGAATTGTTTTATTTGATTTAATTATACAGTTTAATTAAAAAAAATATATTAAATAAAAAAAAACAATTTACATTTGGATACCTACTCTCCTACGTCATATAGTTGCACATCATCTATTTTTTATAATATATTTTTACATATTCACACAACAACATATCATATATGAGAATTTTAAGAGTTTTAGTGAATATTTAAAAAAAAAATTCAAATCATAGTATATACAGAAAAAAATTTAGATTTTCTTTATTAAATTTCTTATATTGTGATTCAAATTATTTTATAAAATAAAGGTAAACAAAGATGAAAGGAGATATCTAATGATTTAAAAAAAAATATTATGATAGAATTAAATTGAATCTCATATTTTCCTTATTTACTAATTTTCATAATTGCCAATTAAGGAAAGAGAATGATAATGTTTTTTATTAATAACTACATATATAATTAATTTAATAATACAGATTTGATTCTCTAACCAAAAATATGAATGACAATATTTATAATTATTAATATTTTGATATAAATATTTCATATATTAAAAGAATGTACAGTTTCCAAAAAATGATGAAAATAATATAAATTGATATATGTTTTAAAAAATTCAAATTAGAGTTTGTGTAAAAGAAAATGTACATTTTTTAATATATGGATAATGCAATATTTTTTTTTTATAAAATTTAGTCAAATCAGGAAATGAGAGAAAAATATAGTATTTAAGAAAACAATTAATTTGATTATTTGATAAGATATGGAAAGAATAAAAATATATTTATAATTAAATTCTGAGATTTGTATAAATAATTGATATAAACTATTTTTTAACCAAATTAATACAATGACATATTATGTAAATACTCTAGGAAAGACAGTATTAAGTTATAAAGTCCTTAAAAGAGAAGCATATGATGATACCTCAGCATGACATAATTGAAAAGAACACATGAATGAAAGGTTGTTTACATAGTTGCCTTCTCTTTTAATATATTAGGGATGTCATTGGTACATCATATTTTTTGGGGTTACAAATATTAAAAATTTGCATATATCTTCCATTAAACAACATAAATAATTCATATACATCAGCCTTAAATTATCATTTTTAGCAATGTTTTTATTTAATACAGTGCTGAACTTAACATATATAATGTTAGCAAATTTGAATTTATTTCGCATAATATTTTTTTTTGTTTCCAGAAAATGAAGAAAAAACATCATACCATATTTAACTGTAACGATTAATGATAGATACAATATTACCATATATTTAAAACAATAACAATTTAAATGTAGTCATTTGATTTGCTATTTCAACTATCTTATAATATTGTAATCATTTGAATTTTTTTTATCTCTCACTCAATTCGATCATATGTAATTTATAGGTACGGTCAAAACTTTTTTTTTTACCTTCTTAAAAAATTATTTAAAATACTTAATTTCCATACCGTAAAACGAAGACAACGTTCAAACCATCGAATTAATATATCACATAAAATTTTAAGTTATGTAAATAAACATTTTTTAAGTTAGAAAACATTGGATTAAAATATCATCCGTACAGGACGCGGATCCAACCCTAACATCTTTTTAAAACAGTAACATTTGATGTTTGCTTGTTGGTTGCCACTATGTGAAGAACCGCCAAGATGCTCTCATATATGTTATATACCTAAGGTAATACTTGATAAAGTTATAATTACGATAAAGTAAATTTATCTCGTCCAATTTGGACCAGTGTAAAAATAAGCTATATGCAATAAGATGATAAAATAATAATATTTTTGAAACGTCTATGTACAAATATGATTCCAATAAATAGTTAAAGTAATAGATATATAAATCTATACATTAACATTCATTAACCTATGAATTTAAGTTTATCTCTAACTTTTTATTATAGACGCTAATCATAATGTAATTTTTAGATGTATCTAAAATTGTTAATTATGCTGTAAACACATTAATTCTTTGTTTTATATGTAAATACATTCAAAATTATCAGTGTACTATTTTCAACAGAGTTGTGCCTTCATGTGTACTGAAAAGTGCATTTGCATTGATCCCCCAAAATACATAGTTTTATAGAGGCCCCCAGTTTTCTAAAAGTTATTACTCCCTCTATCCGTGAATGTAAACAGTTTCGGAAGAAAAAATTATGTTAAGCTATTTTCTATTACCAATGCACATTTTACTTTTTGGGGTGTAGTGTATCCAATTATATTTATATTGTACAATTTATTTTACAAATTGATTAAATTATGTTTAGTTTATGTAACATCTCGGTTTGTGATAAATGAGGAGAGGCTTAAGAGAATTGATTTGGCTACCTATGTCAACAAAGTGCACTTACCTTTTCGGTCAAAGGTCTATAAGTAACTCCAGAGTTAAGCGTGCTTGGGCTGGAGTAGTTGAAGGATGGGTGACCTTTCGGGAAGTGGTTTCCGAAACCGTGTGAGTGAGGCCAAAACACGGGGAAAGGTCGGGTGTTGATTGCAGGGATAGTAAACAAGTCATTAGAGCCTCTAAAAATAACGGACCGGCCGTCGGACAGGGGTGAGGCCCACGGGCCGAGATGGGCCTGCGGGCCAGAGAGAGGGCGTGGGTGACTCACCGGGAGGGGCGGTCGGGGCGTTATAATTTGGTATCAGAGCCAAACCCAGACGAGAGTGTGGAGTCAAGTTGAAGTGGCCTTGACTCACACCGTCAGGGGGTGACGATCCAGGTGCGCAACGAGGACGTTGCGCAGTTAGTGGGGGTGAGTTGTAACATCCCGGTTTGTGATAAATGAGGAGAGGCTTAAGAGAATTGATTTGGCTACCTATGTCAACAAAGTGCACTTACCTTTTCGGTCAAAGGTCTATAAGTAACTCCAGAGTTAAGCGTGCTTGGGCTGGAGTAGTTGAAGGATGGGTGACCTTCGGGAAGTGGTTTCCGAAACCGTGTGAGTGAGGCCAAAACACGGGGAAAGGTGGGTGTTGATTGCAGGGATAGTAAACAAGTCATTAGAGCCTCTCAAAAATAACGGACCGGCCGTCGGACAGGGGTGAGGCCCACGGGCCGAGAGGGATCTGCAGGCCCAAAAAGAGAGCATGGGTGACTCATCGGTAGGGGCAGTCGGGGCATTATAGTTTATATTTTAAATAATACTTTATTAAAAAATTTACTTTTCTTAATTATTCACTTTTGTCTAAAACTGCTTACAATTTGGGACAGAAGAAATATATTGTAGTTGTTTCGAGTGCCTAACCTGAGTTCGAGATGTAGTTATACGCTTAAATAAAACAAAATGGAATTACAAAACCGAACTAGGTGAGTTAAATATCCCAAACGACCGAACCAAAAATATGAATCACAAATAAAAAAGAGATCAACTTAAATTGAGTGAGTCATGTAGGCCTAATATTATTTTCAATTGATTTTAATTAATAAAATAAAGATTTAAATTTTTGAGAGAAGAGTATTCTCTAATATAATCCTTGTTTTCGGTGAATCAAAATTTTCGGTAAATCTAGAGAGATCTCAACAAATCCATGAGAACATTAATCCTTAGGTATTTTTAGACTAAATAAGAATCTTAGTATATACCATAGCTTCCCCTACATCATATTTTGTACCATATTTCTTTACATTGTAAATGTGATTTTACATCATGTTTGAGAATATTTCACTCGAATCATATGCTTAGATTCTAACGGACATCATGCTCAAATGCTACCAAAATTATATATATATATAATCAAATAAAATCTAAAATATCATACTATAAAGAATATTTCATTTGAATTAAATGCTTTGATTTTAATGGAACGAAGTTGCGGAAAATTAAAAACATGCTAAAATTTTGGGAAGATAAAGTAGGAGATAAAGTATGAAGTTAACATATAAAGTGGATTTTTTAGGTGATTTCAATTGATTTTAAAGAAGTTTCTTAGATTAAAATATAAGAGTTCAAATACCATGGTTCTAGATGAAATTCTTAAGATTCTAGAGTGATTTCATTAAAATTCTAAGAACTTCTCTAATTCATCCAAAATCATCTCAAATTCCGAAGGTGAACTTGTAGACAAACGTGCTTAACCCAGCTTTGCTTATTTGTTACTTGCCTGGTAAGGAAGTAATAACGGTACAGTCTATATACTTAAAGTCTTTGCGCCTAGTCCGATTTGTTTTTTTCTTTATTTTTTTACTTGGAAATAGATTGATACATGTCAAAAAAGAAATTGTTAACTTCATTTTCTCAGGTTTTTTTCATCCACATGATTATTCCAAACCCAACTTTAGTTAGTTGATTGTTATTATTTTAATTAAGCAATAAAAGTTGATGTTACTCGTGTAATTGACTTTGACTTGCAAAAAATTGTATTATTTAAAGGGAAAAAAAATGCAAAGACTGATTTCATAGTCATTTCATTAGTACTCTTAAACCAAAAAAAAAAAAAAAAAAAAAACAAGAAGAAAAGAAAGAAAGGCATAAAAGAAACAGAGAGGAAAGGAGAAGAAATTGGACAATATCTGCTTATATATATATATATTTCTGGTTTTATATGTCTGCTTATATCTCATTAAACTCTCTATTCCTTCACTTTTTTTTTTTTTTTTTTTTAACTCTCTATTCCTTCTCATATTCTTCATTACAAGCTTGAGAGCTTATGCACAATCACAATACCCGACTTACGTCGGCCATATTTGCAGTAACATGCCAACAGCAAACGCCACATATTTCTCAAATCTCCAAAGAAGAACAGTAGTCTCTACCAGATGGATGGTAGTGCTGGCAATTTGGTTACATACGTGAGTGTAGTTTTTTTTTTATTTTTAAGTTTATACTGTTTTACTTAACAGTTAACAGACGTTTTAAGTCTTAAAATGTTTAATAGGTTATGGAGCAACGGGTCTCCATAGCTTGTGGATCCGTCCATCCGAGATTACTTTTGTAGCTCCTCGTTAAAGACGAACTCATGCATAAAACCAAAAAACCTAGCAATTCAAAAATCTAAAAAACATTTAGGTTCATAGCAGAGTTTGGGACAAATGTAACTCGCTTAGAGGTCACAAATCTATATATATAAAGTTCATGTTCCTCTTTTCTAATAGCTTATAAATTCTCCATTTTGCCACATCACCACTTTTTTAATTTATTATATTTTTTCTTTTTAATATTTTAATTTCATAATAATTAGCATTCATTACTATAATAAGTTTAATAAAGAATATGAAAAGTCACTTTTAAAAAAGGAGAAAGACTATTTATAAATCTAGAAAAACTATTATTTAGTAAATTTATTTTTGTTAGATTATATAATTTACATTGATGTCAAGATGTTATAAAAAGAACATTGTTTTTTTTTAACTATTTTGGGATGAAATGAGACGAGACCGGACAAGATGAGACGAAAAAAACATAACAAGAGAAATGAGATAAGACTCGACGAGATGAAAAACCAGAATGAGACGGGATTGGACGGGACGGGATGAAAGGGACATAATGGGACGAGAAGGGACGGGACAGTAATTTCACCTAATCCTAATTATATTTAGGGACCGGACATAGACAAGACAAAACCGAAAAAAAATATAACATGATATGATGGGACCCGATAGGGCAGACATGACGGAACAGGACAGGGAAAGAACGGGACAAGACGAAAAGGAATGAAATGGGACGGAATGGGAATATACGGGAATTTTGTCTATCCTTAGTTATATTTAGGGAACAGGACGTGAAGAAACGGAAGGAACACGATGGGACATAACAAACTGGAAAGGAACATAATGGGATAGGACGAGACGGGACAACAGGATAAATGAAACGAGAAAGAATGGACATGATGAAAATGAACGAAATAGAATACAATGGGACAAGACAATACGTTAATTTTGCCTAATCCTAATTATTTTTAATTAATGTGTAATATTTTTAAAACAATAAGAAATAATAGACCGAGAGAGAATTTATGATTGATTCATTGGTTCACATGATCACATCCACTTCCTACTGTAAAAAAACAAGCATTAAAAGTCTATTTAAAGCACCATGCTTTAAAAAAAAAAAAAAAAACAATCTTCATCATCCAAATTGAATACATGATAAAACATGTAATTATTGAAAATCCAAAAAATACCTAAAATTTAATAACTGAAGTTTTAGGGACCGCTCTGGCAAAACAAAAAGAAAAACCTCACTTAAAATGATCTTCGGGTAGATTGTACAATCATGATAATAGTTCTACATATTCTATAGAGAATTTTGTTTTTCCTAAAGGATGATGTAACAAATTCATAAATGACATTAGTTGATAAAACCTGAAGTAGCAACAGAGTAGTACCTAAATCATGATAATATATACTAAGGGATGATGTAATAAATTCTTCAAAAATTATATTGATCTCATCATGACCCCCAAAATCTTCTAGATTCCCTATTCTACTCAAACATAATGCAAAAATTAATCATCAAACATCAATGTGGCATAACGTACTAGGTATTTTCACCGTTAATTTCATAGGTCAACTGTGAAAGCTAGCCTAGGGTTTCCAAGCAGCACGTGGACACACACAAAAAACATAAATAAAAAAAAAAACTGAAGAGAAAATGGTAACTACTATTTGATCAACTTGATCAAGTTAATTGTACACATTGAAGCCTTCAGGAGCATTCCATTTTGGAAACGCTTGTTTCCTCTTCAACTTTCTCTTCTTCTCAATCGTCTTTGCCACAACATCATCAAAATCTTGCCGTTGCTGCTCGGTGAAGTTGGTTTCACTGAGCTTCCACACCTTCTTCTTAGCACAATCATCAAACAGACTCACGAAAAAGTCAGGGTGCTCTGGTACTTTCACAAAAAGAAGAAACTCATGGTCCTCTCCACGGTTTGGGATTTGCTCATTCTCTGGCACAAAATACACAGAGCAAATTTTCATCACAGATTCAGCAATCACTTGATCGCGATGGAGACTGTACAAGAGTTCTCTTGCATCTTTGGATTTCCAGTGTCTAACGTATTTTGTGTCCACATCTTCTGGACGATAAAACCACTGTACTTCAAGCATCATAGATCCTTCTATGACTCCTACCAAAGGCAGACCTACTTGAGAGGAAGGGTGGTCATATGACGCCCCTAAAATGGATATATTTTTGATTTGTTAGCCTATCTATCAGTTATACCACAGCTCATTTGGTTCAAACCCTTTCCTCTGACACCCCTAACCTGGGTTCGAAACCGCTGGCTGACACCTAATTAAAAATTTTATTCATTTAAATTAGATATTGACCCATCTAAAAAATTTTCCTAGGAGTCTCCTACATAAATATCCTGTCCAAACATAGTTCGATTATGATAAGGTAAAAACTAAAATATCTTATGAATTTTTGTCTTCTTCTTTGTTACCTTTATGATCGCAACATAGGGCTCTTTGTTTTCGCCTTCTGGAGTCAGCACCACTGTATCATTCTATGCCAAAAAGAGATTATGATTAGTAAATGGTTATATAGAATTGCTCACAGTATTGAACAAATTATTTATTGTTCATGCCTTGTCTGTGGCACAAGCTATCTAAGCTCTCGAGTAATAAAGTCAATGATTTTGGAACCTTTCATATTTATGTAATACTAGAAATACATATATTGTAATAAGCCAAGCAAACTTTAGAATTAATAAATCTTAAGCCAAACAAAACTTACTACTCCATATCTGGTGCCATGAAACTGGAACTTCTCGTAATGACGTTTCCTCTCTTCTCCCTCACCAGTTAACTTAACCAATTGGCCAATTGGTTGTGGGAAATTCTCAGGTTCCGACTCTAACTCCTGTTTCATCGGTACATGCATTTCCACATCACTATGTTCCATCTCTCGCTTAATCTCCATCTCTCGCTTAATCTCCATCTCTTGCTTAGTCTCTTGCTTAATTTCCTGCTTAATCTCTTGCTTAATCTCCTGCTTAATCTCTTGCTTAATCTCCATCTCTTGCTTAATCTCTATCTCTTGCTTGATCACCATCTCTCACTTAATCTGCGTCCTCTCAACAGTGTTCGGTAGCAGATTCGACACTGGAACATTGTCTTCAACTCTGGTAGTCAACAGTTGATTCAATTGTTCGCTCCACATCTTTCTTTAGCTGGTCAAAAAATATAAAAATAAAAAATATAAATGTTTGATGATTTTTCAGTTTCTACATTCAACTTAACTCTTCACATTTTCAGGTTTTAAATAAAATTTCTGAGTAAATAAATGAAAGTTAGTATTGAATGTTTAAATGAAAATAATATAATAACTACTATTTATGAAATATATTTACAAAGTTTTGTATAGATTTTGTTGATTTGCTTATATATAGAAATATGCAAAAATGTTACATGTAGAAAATATAAAAATTCCGGGTAAGTATCGATTAAAGATAGTTCATATACGTACAATAGTATTCGAAGTATACTTATCAAATTTAGGATCAGACAATAGTGCAATATAATAGTTAAATACATTACTTTTAAAAAATTCAAAATTAAAATCGCGAACAAGTATTCTAGGCCATTTAGTATGATAATAGAAATTTTAAAATAAATATAAATACTTATAGTTAAATTCAACTTAAAATTTGGTATAGTTTTAATCCCGCACATGGCCCGGCTTAATTCTAGTTTTAATAAAAAAAACCCCTCAGTATTAGTCTAATCCATTTTAAACTCTAACTAATTTTCCTTTACATTAACATAAAGTCACTTTTTTTTAAATAAATAGTAACGGTAAATAAAGTTAGGACTAACAAAAATTTTTAGGGTTATAAATACATATATCATGTCTAGAGACATATGTTCTGATTGGGATAGTTTGTAGTGAAGCTGTGACTGTAACGAGTTGTAAGCGATTAAAACTAAAGATCTAAGTATCTTAAAACGTTTAGAATAATAATTGCCATTGTCAAACAACAGAAAATAAATATCAAACTAGTTATTAATTGTATTAGTTCATTTTTTTGGTACAACAGCAAAAAAAACAATAACCAAAGTTTCAAATCTGATTTTTCTAGCCAAATATCATTTTTTTTTGGTTAAATAACCAAGTGTATCTACGTGAAGATGATACTCAGTTGTTTTTTCTTAATTCAGTTTTTCGTATGACATACTCCCTCTGTTTCTAAAAACTTGATGGCTTTGATTGGTAACCTTAATATAGAGCATTACAAATTGTAATGTCTAGGGTGTAAGTTACACATATGATAGTACAAAAGTGATATTACAAAATAAGACAGCATTACAAGGAAATATGATGGTACAAGGGTTGTAACATTGTTCTAAGTGTAATGCTACTTTGATAGAGTGGTACAAAAAGGAAATGATAGTACAAAGTATTTTTCTTTATTTTTTAACTAAAATTTGTAAAAGTGTTATGATTTTTGTGGCTAAAAAATGTTGCTCAATAAGTGAAGAAGGTTAATAATAAATTATTGAAACTTTTGCATATAAATAAAGAAAATATATCATAGGAAATTACTTTTGGCTGTATTTGTTTTAATCAAATTCCCTTGAAATCTACTTAGTTAATCAAATTTTATATAAAGTGAAACAACCAACATTTTTTCTTTTTTTTTAAAATAAATAATAATCAATTCTAGCGAAGGTCTTAAAAATAAATAAATATCAATAACAAATAAAACAGTTCAGCGGAAGCAAATAATAATTAAACAAGTCTAGCAAAAATAATGCAAAACAATAAAACAGTAAACATCCTATCATCCCCCTCTTCAGCCTTGATTCCGCGATCACACAAATCTTTTACCTGCAACACATTGGAATGGAGTTGCATAAGTATTTAATAAATACTTAGTGAGGCAATCACTCTGCCTACAGGCCATTTACGCAATTTACTAGATATTTAATAATATTTATAAACTCCAATAATTATTAAATACCATTTTCCAATTATTAAATAATTATTAATAATTAAAACTCATTTCTCAATTATTAAATAATTCTCATAATTAAATAATAATTTTTCATATTTTAAATAAGCCTCTTAATCAATTAAATATCATTTAATTAATTAAATTCGAATTAAACCATTTAACCAGATTTTAACCAGAAATCACTTAATTTGAACCAGAAATCAATTTCCAATTGAACCAGACAGAACCGGCGTCGGTCGACACAAGCTTTGCGTCGCCCGATGCACGTCCGTCAGGTCGACAGAGATATCAACAAAACACGCAGAAACACCAAATTAACACAGAATCAACCAAACATCATCACATAAACCTTATATCATAAGAACACCTCAAGAACAACATTCAATCAATCCAGATCTAGTGATTTGCGGACCTACAGTCATGCACTCACCTTGAAAACGGATTTGAAAGGAGAAAAACGATGGAAACAGCAAGGAACAACGAACGGCACTTCGATCTGCCACTAAAACTGGATTTCCTCCACAAAATCGCCTCTTCTCCTCTCCAGAACTCTCTGCCTCGAAAACTGTGCAAAAAGGAGGCGGCTGCACCTTTTAATTCGAGTTCTAGGGCTTTTCTGCCCAAAACCAGCTAAACCGGACCACTTAAATCAAACCGGGTCTGATTTTGAAATCCTTGCATCGACCGACGCAACACTTGCGTCGCCCAACGCAACTTCCAAAACTCACCAAAGAAGGCTACAGATGTTACATAAAGCATCAAAATAAATAAATGAGAAAACAAAAACAAAAACTCACACTAGACCTAACAATAATTATTTTTGTTTATGTATAATTGCAAAAGTATAAGAAGAAAGCATACATTTTAATAATTATTTTTGTTCTTGTTATGAAAGTAACCTTTTTAACTTTTGGTACAAAGAAGTATCATAACAAAACTGAAAATTATGAAAACAAATATACTAGAAAAATTGCATATACACTCTCAATTCCAAAAAAGTATCTTTTGTAATCTGTCGGTAATTTCTTTTATTGAAAATAAAGTTTGGTGTGTTAAAATTTTAGACAGTATTTTGTTTCATATATATCAGTTAATTTATACTGTGTTTTACATATTTTTGTTTTTATTTTTATTGAATTAACTTTGATAAAAATATATTTATTACATATGGATTAGTTTTGGTGATTTCCAAATAAAGTGAGTTATTAAACATTTTTTGAAAATATTTTTTTTGTAAACCATAAATACTTTTTTATTTTACTAAGTACATGTGATGATCCATTTTTTTAAAATATATATATTTAGTGTTATATTTTTAGAAACTATTTTAATTATTAATATTTAAGTTTTTTTGCCAACTAATTGAAAAATTTATAATAGATTTCTATTTTCTGTTATAAAACTTACTTTTTGTACTGCTACAATGTTACCAATAGGAATTCAGTTATGTACTATCATTTTGTACTATCTCTATTTGTACTGCTATATTTCGTACCACTGTTTTTCTTATAGCTATAATTCATACCACTGAAAATTCTGTAATACACCAGTATTCACAACGTCACCAATCAGACCCGATGTTGTAGAATTTTCTTTTAGATTAAAAAAATAATTAATACATAGATTTAACTATATCATTTTTCTCTCACTAACCACTTTATCATTAATATAAACCAATAGTAATTCAATTTCACAATCAAATTATTTTTGTTAATAAATAATAAAAATAAAAATCTAAAAAATCAAGTGTTGTGGAACAAAGAAAGTACTTCAAAGATGGAGAGGAGATATCTGAGAAATGCTTTAAATATACTTAACCCAATGCTTAACTAGTTTAAACGCTGAGGTTGCGGAAGTTTGCTGAAGTGGGCGGTTGCAATTAAAAATGTTATTAAGCGGTTTGTACTACTGTCATAGCGGTTGAAAACGGCTGCATTTGCAGGATAATTAAGACTGATTAATTTGCGAGTGCATTAGCACTTAAACAATAAATTAACAATATAAACACATTATATATTTATAAAAACATCAAATTGTATTAGAAAAATTAAAAAATTATTGTTTCATATATTTAATAATAAACAATTAAAAAAAATATGTGTATAATACTTACATTTATTGTTTAGTTTCTATAATTCAGATGAAAAATTAAGTTTTTCATTAAAAAGGTATTTAATATGAAAAAAAAATATATTATAATTTTATTTCTTAGATATATATGTATTAGTATGAAAAACAAATTTACCAAGCTAATTTATATTTATAATTTATATATATATATATAATTATGATATTTTTTAATGAGTATTTACTTAAAAATGGCAAATGTATCTATTTATAATGTAAATATAATATATAAATCTTAGTATCTAATAATAATATATATATATATGTTTATTTTAAATAAATATTAAAAAAAATTCCACCCGCATTTGCCGAACCCAAACGCTGCTAGAAAGGAGTTTTGGTTTTTGAGAGATCTAGAGTGGTTTTGAACTTATTAAAGAAGTAAAAAACATTTGCAATGATTGTTGTTAATGTAAGAATATTTATATTCTTATGTGTGACATATGTGTTTCTCAGTTTAGTATAAAGATCAAGTTCTTATAGTTAGTGATTCTAATATTAAAGATGATACCATGATGGATTGGTTTCAATGAAAGACATTAGAATCTGGGTGTATTGATAACCCTCTTCCCTTGCCCTATAATGTTATAAACATCTTTCTCTAATGGTCATATGTATTATATCTATGATTAACTATATATATTAATACATGTGAGAAAGGATGTGTTGAATGGTCGTGAGGTTAGGTACGTAACAGTTGGTGTGCATGTGTTTCTATTATATATAAGAGATCTCAGAATTAAGTGAGGACACAACAATAATCACAGACACACACCATACAACACTCGTATAAGAAAAGTCAAAGAGAAATTAAGGTTTGGATCCCTTGTCCATCAAAAGGGATCAGAAGGAGAAAGGGTCAAAGGAAGGAGAAGATCAATTCAAGTATTGATTTCACAACAAGACAGAAGAAAGCATGGATCAAGGTTAGTGTTTCTTTCTTCTTCTCTAAGAAATTGTTTAGGGTTGGATTATATCAAATCTAGATTATCTTGGGATAGATTTCATATGTGATAGAAATCATTAAAGTAGTTTACATGATGTCACTAGGAAATATCCAACAAGATGTTTTCTATCAAAGCATCGACTTCAAGACTGCACCAAGAGCGATTAAGCTGCCACCAGACAAGACTTCTAACACGCCACAGAAAGGAGCCATGATGCCTAAAGACCCCAAGAAGAGTGAGCCCTATCCAAAACCGAAGGTGGTCATGAAACCATCAATGCTGAAACATAAAGATGTCTTCAAAGATATCAAATCGGTTTTGCTCCCTACCTTGGACGAATATGGAGCTGTAGTGCCTAATTCCCTTACCAAGATAAGAATCCTTGTCTCTAAGGGTTGGGTCCCAAAAGAAGATCATACCGCAAAGGTGGCATAGGAGATGATCTTGGCGTGCCCAAACCACCACGTGAGCCCCCTGAACCAGAGAATGGAGAAGCTAAAGGGATCCTTTGCCCTTCAGCCACTCTTCACCACGATTAAAGAAAGAAAAGGAGTCAAGCTAAATGACTTAAAACAAAAGCGCTTTATGGGAGGCAACCCATATGGTTTTTAACTATTCTATTTCTATTTTGCAGGAGTTTTTCAAAAATCAAACAAAAATACAAAAATATTTTCTTAGGATGAAGACCCAAAGGAGACCAAACAATGAAAGTGTCCCACCCAATGAGCCCACCCTTGTACAAGGCGTTTCTCTTCCAAAAGGTAAGTAAATTCTCACCTAGTATTCATTTCTAATCACTCTTGATCTTCACTTGAAAAATCGTTTAAACCATTGCACTTATCACAATATATTTCATGGTTTAACTTGATTTACTTTTGATGATTGAAAGAATACATAATCACTTGTCAAAACTCATTTCTCACTGAAATTACAAGAGATTGAACTATAGTTTGAAATTTGGATCATTGACCAAGACCAAATAAGAATTTATAGTTTGTGCTTAATCTCTTGGATTGTGAACTTCAAGTTGGTCACTTGAGGATCTCAATCTAAGAAACCATCTAATCATGATTTCAAGTGTTTTGCAAGGAGTTAACATTTGACAGGAAGGAGAAATGAGCAAACCTATAACCAACCTAAAACCAACATGCATATGGCGGCCAAAGGGAGGTTAAAAGGAGATACAAGGCCATCACACGAAACAAGGCGGCCACCACTTGGGAATGACACAGGAGGGTTATTAAAACAATTCGGTCGAAGAAAATCTCAATTGGCCCGAGTGGATTTGAAGAAATTCAATCCGGACATTTCTCTCGGCCATACCGCGCACAAGGAGACCAAATTACGGCCAACTCCTAAACGGCGTGACCAAAGTCCACCAAACTTCACAGGCGACCATAAAATCACATTTGGTCGGCAAATCCAAAAGATAGGACGGAGAAATCATCACGGATCATGAGATAGACGACGGAGCTCATTCTGGCCGATGGCGCGCAAGCAATATGGCCGACAAAACCAAATCACGGCATAGGCGCGCCAACCGGTTGGAAAACTCTTCCTTTGAGCTTAACTAACACTTTTATGCAGGAAGAAACGAAAAGGAACGAGCCAAACTTCAATGGCCAAGGAAACTCCTTCCCGGAGCCGAATTGACCATTTTGTGAAGGAAGTCTCAATCCGCTCGTACAAATGCTCCCAAACTTCACCAGAGGCCATAAAATACCAGGTTGGTCGATGAAATTTCAATATAGGTCATGAAATTTTTGACGGTTTGTTCTGTAGTTCACAGCACCACATTTTGGCCGACCGAATATACCAATCTCGGCCAAAACACAAACCGGCGGAAACCAAGGCCTGAAATTAAAAACTCACCGACCAATATTGCCTAAAGAAGTGTAGAATGACCCAAACCGGAACTGATCTTCATTATAAATTGGTCGACATTTGGTAACATCATCCTAAACCTTTTTCTTTTCAATTTTTCATTTGAACTTCATGTTATGCCTCTCTTAATCCGATTTGATTTCACCGGGACGGTGCAAGTTAAGTCTGGGGGGATTACTAACAATGTTTGTTCATTTTGGCATTTTCATTTGCATTTTTTCCCTTTTATCGAGTCGTTTTTATTGAGTCAAAATTTTTGTCGAGAATCATGACCTTATCTTGGATCTAACCATGGTTGTACTAATGTTTAAGTGACCATTGAGCAGTTCTTGGCAATACATCTTACCACAGGTGCACTATGAGTTGATCGATCTACCAAAAACGCCTACATCTCTAAAGACTTGAGAAGGATCCATCTTTGACTCCGCCCTTAATGAACTTAATCTTCTCAGCTAGGGGCTTGGCATACAAATGGCATGATTCCTCATCCTCTCCATCAAATGAAAAAGTCTTAGTGAGTTCGTGCTTCCCTCTCTCTCCCCTTCAAATTTAAAGAAAAAGCGTAAGGTCCAAGTAACCGGGGATTCGGTGGCAAACACCATCAATACTCGCGTCTATGGAAGGCCTATGAATCCAAGCAACCGGGGATTCGGTGGCAAACACCATCAATACTCGCGTCTGTGGAAGATCCAAGCAAAACCTCTATAATAAAGAGAAGGAGTTGAATAAAAAAATACTTCGCTACCCTAAAAAAGGGATGAATCAACTCAAAGAAGTGAGAAGAGAGAGAGGAGAAACATGGAGTAAAAAGACAAGTGCCAAACAAGGGGATGAGTAAGAGAATCTAAAAGCCGGCTGATCGATACTCCCTAGTTGAGACCACACCTTTAGAAATGAAAGGAGTCAAGGGTGGCGAATTGGATTGTCCAAGGAGAGGTGGACCGCTTTGGGAAAATCGCAAAACTCATGGTATGTACTTTGTTCTTAATTCAAAATTTGCCAATGCTGTTTCATGTGGATTACTAAAGCATAAGTCAATTTGGATTTCCAAAAGATTTGAGAGTTCTCACGTTTTCAAACCTCTTTTCCTGCTTAGTTTGCTTGGGGACAAGCAAAAGGCTAAGTCTGGGGGAGTTGATATACCATATTTTACATGATTTTACTATATATTTTCATATGTTTTCAAACGGTTTTTGCAAGATTTTTGCCTTTAGAGGTAGTTTTCTTGTATTTGTGGGTTTTGAAGTCTTAGGTGAAAATCAAAAAGGATGCAAAAAGGAGCAAAAGAGCCTCAAACCAAGATCCATGCAAGTTTCCAAGTCAAGAAGCATCATTTTATCTCCAAGTGTTAGTTCTCGCTAGCGCGCAGAACGAAGCTTCGGAAGTTTGGCCGCGCGCGGAGGAGTTCCCGACGTCCAAAAGTCACGATCTTGATATGGAAAGATAGATACTTGAGTCATGCATCACGTCGAAGTGGAATGAAGCCATTTGGATCAACTATGAGGCCGGAACTTATTTTCTACCGAGACATGTCCGGTAAGCGAGCAAACGAAGCCCATGGAGGATTTGGAGTGTCTAATGGCCCGAGCAGCAGCGCCAAAGGCCTTGATCGAATAGAGAAGAGGCCTGGCTAATGTTTGGAGCTTTCCTTGGTACAATGTCGGCCCATACACGACGTGGAGAAGAAGGCTTTGGCTCATGGGAAACTTTCCTTTTCCGGCATGAAGAAAACCCTACGCGACTTCGCCCATATATACATGTTTTTAGCCGCTGAAGAAGAGAGTCGAGGGTTTCAGAGTGTTGGCCGTCAGAGAGAGAAGCCAGAGAAGCTCGGTCCAAGAAGAAGGAGGCGCCGCTCAACTCTTGTTCTTTGTTTTCATTGTTTCCATTTCTTTTGTATTGGATTAAGAGTTTCAAGGGAGAATCCGACTTTGTTCATCAATAGAGAAGCTTTCTTCATCCCTTTATCTCTTTTAATACTTGCATAATGCTTTCAATCATGCTTTGCTTGCTTGTTTGCATCATGGCCGAGTAGATCTCTTAGTTAGGCCGAGGAGATCTATGGTCATGATGATTTGATTGTTTGCAACTTATTGGGATTTATCTTATGGATCTTCACCTTTACTTGAGCTTAATGCATGATTACTCTACCGTACATCTAGTAATCTGATCTTAGAGAAATAGAACCACGACAGTGCTGAATCTAGATCTCAAAACTAGTATTTGGTGAGCAATAGATCATAGCCAACGAAAGTTGAGTTATGGTATTGTGAACAATTGAATCTTGAACCTTTAATGCATGTTTGCAATTCTAATAGCCAACGAAAGCTGAGTATATTAGGTTGTTTTAAACATAGTGGTTGGAGCCACGACAGTGGAAAGACTACCTTAGTGATTTGAGTTCAAGAATGATAATGAATCCCTTTCACTTGATTGTTTGTTGATAATTTGTGATGCTTTGCGATTTGCCTAATGCCTAGTACTTTCCCTTATTGTTTACACCTCATTCTAATCACTGCTTTGTTCTCTTTTGCTTTGCTACTCACAACCTCTCATATTTTGTTCTAGCTTGATTTTCAATCTTTGTAGGTTTGAAGTGAAATCACATCTCCCTGTGGTTCGACCCCGACTATACTACTGCTCTTGCTGTGCACTTGCAGCTACATTGGTTGGGTTAAAAATATTATCATTTGAGGAAGCTAAACCCAGCCTCCATCCGTTGCCTGACGGTTTCAAGACCGTTGGTTCTAAATGGATTTACACTATTAAACGCGACTCGAAAGGTGCCATTGACAGATACAAGGCTCGCCTTGTAGCTAAAGGTTTCACCCAAAAAGATGGCATTGACTATAAAGAGACCTTCTCTCCTGTTTCTAAGAAGGATTCTCTAAGAATTGTTTTGGCTTTGGTAGCTCAGTATGATCTTGAGCTTCACCAAATGGATGTTGAAACCGCCTTTCTGAATGGAGATCTTGAGGAAGAAGTATATATGGACCAACCTGAAGGATTTGTGGTCGCAGGAAAAGAACATATGGTATGTAAGCTGAGAAAGTCAATATATGGACTTAAACAAGCTTCCAGACAATGGTATCTAAAGTTTAATGATACCATCACGTCATATGGTTTTGTAGAGGTTATTGTTGATCGATGTATCTACGTTAAGATCAGTGGGAGCAAGTTTATTATGTTAGTCTTATATGTTGATGATATTTTGCTTGCTGCAAATGACATGGGGATGTTACATGATACAAAGAAGTATCTCTCTAAGAACTTTGAAATGAAAGATATGGGTGAGGCATCCTATGTGATCGGAATAGAAATATTTCGAGATAGATCACAAGGTTTGTTAAGTTTGTCTCATAAAGGATATATTAATAAGATCTTAGAGAGATATAAGATGGAAAAATGCTCTGCAGGGATAGCTCCAATTCAGAAGGGAGATAAGTTCAGTAAAATGCAATGTCCTAAAAATGAATTGGAGCGTAAGGAAATGGAAAGAATTCCATATGCATCAGTGGTTGGGAGTTTGAACTATGTTCAGACATGTACTCGGCCAGATATCACCTTTGCTGTTGGTATGTTGGGTCGATATCAAAGTAACCCCGGAATGGACCATTGGAAAGCTGCAAAGAAGTTTCTCAAGTACTTGCAAGGCACCAAAGAGCACATGCTTACATTCAGGAGATCCAATCATCTAGAGATCATTGGATATTCAGATTCAGATTATGCTGGATGCGTCGATAGCAGGAAATCGACGTTTGGCTATTTGTTCCAATTAGCCGGAGGAGCAGTATCGTGGAAAAGTGGAAAGCAGTCTGTCATTGCTACTTCTACTATGGAGGCTGAGTTTGTGGCATGCTTTGAGGCCACAATTCATGCATTGTGGCTGCGGAACTTTATCTCAGGGCTTCAAATTGTCGACAATATTGAGAAGCCGCTGAGAATCTATTGTGATAATTCTGCAGCTGTCTTCTTTTCAAAGAACGACAAGTACTCGAAGGGTGCCAAGCACATGGAGATAAAGTATTTGTCTGTCAAAGAAGAAGTACAGAAACGTAGAGTGTCTTTGAGCACATAGGGACGGATATGATGGTTGCGGATCCGTTAACTAAAGGACTACCACCCAAGGCGTTCATTGGCCATGTAGAACGTATGGGTATCATAGATAAAGCCTTGCTATTTTAGATATGGAATGCTCATTTGTGTGTGACACTATGAATTCACTTAAAGTTATGTTTCTGTTTTATTATGTATGTTATTACTAAAGTATGTGTATACACTTATGGTTCAAAGATAACATATGTTTAGTTTGAGAATTAAGGTTCTTCTCAAATGTAAGGAAACCTGTAAAATTATGACTAGTTTGTGATACATGGAAGGAATCATGTCGTTTAATGATGTGTGACCGCCATGATTCGATTAGTTCTGATTTTATTGTGGTGATTAAGGTTATATGAACTTGATATAACAGTGCGCATAATAGATATTAAACTATTAAGTTAACACAAAGGTCAAGTGGGAGAATGTAAGAATATTTATATTCTTATGTGTGACCTATGTGTTTCTCAGTTTAATATAAAGATCAAGTTCTTATAGTTAGTGATTCTAATATTAAAGATGATTCCATGATGGATTGGTTTCAATGAAAGACATTAGAATCTGGGTGTATTGATAACCCTCTTCCCTTGCCCTATAATGTTATAAACATCTTTCTCTAATGGTCATATGTATTATATCTATGATTAACTATATATATTAATACATGTGAGAAAGGATGTGTTGAATGGTCGTGAGGTTACGTACGTAACCGTTAGTGTGCATGTGTTTCTATTATATATAAGAGATCTCAGAATTAAGTGAGGACACAACAACAATCACAGACACACACCATACAACACTCGTATAAGAAAAGTCAAAGAGAGATTAAGGTTTGGATCCCTTGTCCATCAAAAGGGATCAGAAGGAGAAAGGGTCAAAGGGAGGAGAAGATCAATTGAAGTATTGATCTCACAACAAGACAGAAGAAAGCATGGATCAAGGTTAGTGTTTCTTTCTTCTTCTTTAAGAAACTGTTTAGGGTTGGATTATATCAAATCTAGATTATCTTGCAATAGATTTCATATGTGATAGAAATCATTAAAGTGGTTTACAGTTAAACACCAACAACCGTTACCATCCGCAAAAGCCGTGTTTGCGGGTGACAGTGGTGAACCAATCAATACCTGAATGAGAAAGTTAATTAATGCTTGAGCCTTAATACCTCATCAACGATGGAGAGGATATATCCAAGATAGTGTTATGGACTTGGCTTGCCTTCACAGAGCTAAAAGGTATAGCTCTAACATCTTTAATTCTACTATAAATTTTGCGCCGACTACCCTCAGCAGGATTAAGAACGCGGACGTAATCGCAGTGGTGAAAAACGGTGTGATAACGGAGGGAGGAAGACATGAAACGTTAATGGAGATTTTAGGTGGTGCTTATGCTTCGCTTGTAGCTTTTCACATGAGTGCGAACTAAGATAATTTCGTCCAAAAAAAAGATAATTTCATATATTTGTGGTTAAGCGAAAATAATGTTGTAGTACCAATTCAATCAAACAATCCAAACCACACACATACACATAAATTAAAAAAAAAAACGGAAAAAGAAGAAAATTACAGAACAAAGAATAAATAAAACAAACTCGTTGAATTTTCTTCGACTTATTTTCTAACTCCATATATGGCAGCAATATAGAGAAGCTGAGTAGCCGAAAGTATTATTAAAAATGCCTCCATTGTTCTCTGCAAAGACATTACAAAAAGCAATAGAAAGTTTAATATTACATGTTACATCAATGATTATTCTAGCCTAAAGAATAGCTTAATACTTACTAGACGAGCATTTCTCATTCCAAGTTCAATTTCCTTGCACCTGAATCTGCTCAAGAGAAACGAAATGATTATAATTTTTTCCCCACAGAATGATATAAATATTGTTGAATACTTAAACCACAAATGTTGGTTTCTTGTCTTACCCCATGGCTAAAAGTGTGAGCGACCAAGCAATGGTAGCTGCAGAGACAGCTGCCGGAAGACTCGCCGTAGTCCATGACTGTAAATGACTGGTGCCAGCTATAACCGAGGCAGCTCCAGCAACTCCGGCAATTAAAGCGAACATCACAAAGAATCCGGTGGCCGCATTGCCCATTGGAAAGTATATAGGCGAGAAATGAGCCGGAAGACTAAAAATCGATTTTTAACCCTAAAATTCATCAAAACCTTGCTAAATTTTTCTGGCCCCCGATTTTTCAGGGCCGGCCCTGATAAAACATAGTAAACTCAACAAATGGTCACTGACCGTGAGAGAATTTATGATTGATTCATTGGTTCACATGATCACATCCACTTCCTATTGTAAAAAAAAAAAGCATTAAAAGTCTATTCAAAGCACCATGCTTTAAAAAAAAAAGAACAATCTTCATAATCCAAATTGAATACATGATAACACATGTAATTATAGAAAATCCAAAAAAATACCTAAAATTTAATAACTGAAGTTTTAGATAAGAAGTTATGCAACATAATTGAAACGAAACTTCTAGGAAAAACTCCTCTAGAGAATTTATTAAACAAAGAAGATCATATCGATATAAAAAATCGTCGAGAGAAAAATCAGAGCCCGCATAATCTATTGGTTCCTCATTGTGAGCCGTTCCTTCATCAACACGGGGACCGCTCTGGCAAAACAAAAAGAAGAACCTCACTTAAAATGATCTTCGGGTAGATTGTACAATCAGGATAATAGTTCTACATATTCTATAGAGAATTTTGTTTTACCTAAAGGATGATGTAACAAATTCATAAATGACATTAGTTGATAAAACCTGAAGTAGCAACAGAGTAGTACCTAAATTCTTCAAAAATTATATTGATCTCATCATGACCCCCAAAATCTTCTAGATTCTCTATTCTACTCAATCATATTGCAAAAAATAATCATCAAACATCAATGTGGCATAACGTACTAGGTATTTTCACCGTTAATTTCCTAGGTCAACTGTGAAAGCTAGCCTAGGGTTTCCAAGCAGCACGTGGACACACACAAAAAACATAAATAAATGAAAAACTGAAGAGAAAATGGTAACTAACCTCTATTTGATCAACTTGCTTCTGCAAGTTAATTGTACACATTGAAGCCTTCAGGGGCATTCCATTTTGGAAACGCTTGTTTCCTCTTCAACTTTCTCTTCTTCTCAATCGTCTTTGCCACAACATCATCAAAATCTTGCCGTTGCTGCTCGGTGAAGTTGGTTTCACTGAGCTTCCACACCTTCTTCTTAGCACAATCATAAAACAGTCTCACGGAAAAGTCAGGGTGCTCTGGTACTTTCACAAAAAGAAGAAACTCATGGTCCTCTCCACGGTTTGGGATTTGCTCATTCTCTGGCACAAAATACACAGAGCAACTTTTCATCACAGATTCAGCAATCACTTGATCGCGATGGAGACTGTACAAGAGTTCCCTTGCATCGTTGGATTTCAAGTGTCTAACGTATTTTGTGTCCACATCTTCTGGACGATAAAACCACTGTACTTCAAGCATCATAGATCCTTCTATGACTCCTACATAAATATCCTGTCCAAAACATAGTTCGATTATGATAAGGTAAAAACTGAAATATCTTATGAATTTTTGTCTTCTTCTTTGTTACCTTTATGATCGCAACATAGGGCTCTTTGTTTTCGCCCTCTGGAGTCAGCACCACTGTATCATTCTATGCCAAAAAGAGATTATGATTAGTAAATGGTTACATAGAATTTCTCACAGTATTGAACAAATTATTTATTGTTCATGCCTTGTCTGTGGCACAAGCTATCTAAGCTCTCAAGTAATTAAGTCAAGGATTTTGGAACCTCACATTGTAATAAGCCAAGCAAACTTTAGAATCAATAAATCTTAAGCCAAAGAAAACTTACTACTCCATATCTGGTGCCATGAAACTGGAACTTCTCGTAACGTTTCCTCTCTTCTCCCTCACCAGTAAACTTAACCAATTGGCCAATTGGTTGTGGGAAATTCTCAGGTTCCGACTCTAACTCCTGTTTCATCGGTACATGCATTTCCACATCACTATGTTCCATCTCTCGCTTAATCTCCATCTCTCTCTTAATCTCCATCTCTTGCTTAATCTCTTTCTTAATCTCCTGCTTAATCTCTTGCTTAATCTCCTGCTTAATCTCTTGCTTAATCTCCATCTCTTGGTTAATCTCTATCTCTTGCTTGATCTCCATCTCTCGCTTAATCTGCGTCCTCTCAACAGTGTTCGGTAGCAGAATCGACAATGGAACATTGTCTTCAACTTTGGTAGTCAACAGTTGATTCAATTGTTCGCTCGACATCTTTCTTCAGCTGGTCAAAAGTGAAACTCGATTTTCAACCTACAGTTGTAGAACTAGGCTCATTAGGACAACAAAAAGTTGATATCAATCTGACAACGACATAATATTCATACGCCAGAGTATTTAATGAAATGAAAGATAATGTGCATGTGAAATTCATGCATATTAACACACATATACACGTTAGAACTAATGAAGAGTTGCTACCAATTCTGAATCTAAAATACCCAAAAACTGAATTACCAAGAAACCTCAATAAAAATTTCAGGAAATCATCCAAGATATAAAAGAATTCATAAGTACATTAAACAATTAGATTTAGCGTGAGAGTATGATCTAAATTTATTTCTCGTGGTTCCTGATAAAGTATTCAATAATCCTTCCAACAGTTAAATACCATGTCTCGAGTGCAGAAAGAAATACTTGCGAAACCAAATACGTACTTCTCCATCTATATATGATTGCGATCAATCTTAAGGAGCTAACAAAGATGAATCCTTACAAAACCGAGTTTTAAAGATTAAAGCTACCATTGATAGGAAAATTTAAAAATCTACATCGATCTAAAAAATTCATACAACCTAAAAACTGAATCACACATAAAACTCCAGAAATATTCATTTGAAAAGAAAAATCCCAAATAACTAAACACTACTCGTACCTCAATACGGATGCTTATCACACCAGTCTAGTGTTTCAACTAGAGCACAACTAGATAGCCAAACTTTGGGATATGTTTGTGTGTAATATATCTGTGAGAATGTTTTTTTATACTAGTTCCAATGATAATATTGTTCCATGTTCATGTATATATAATCTCTGGCCTTCAAATGAATTACTAAGTCAAAGCTAAGATACAGGTAAGACAAATATTTTTCAAAATTCCATTTTTGGTTAGAGATTTATAAAGAAATATGATGAGATAAAAAGGAAAATGGAAACAGATTTTTAAAAATAATTATTATTATTCATAGATTTCTTACTATCTTTTCAAAGTAAAAACAGATTTTTTTTATTAAAAGTAAAAAAAAAAATCATTTGAGGAACTGTCACTTTACAAAATTTCATTTTTTTGGCTTTTTGCAATGTATTTAAATTATTTCCTTAGTAATCAATTTATACATGCATCCCGAGCCATAGAATTTGAATTGTGGAGGAAATTAAAATAAATTTCCTTTTAATTTTCCTGAATTTTAATTTAAACACATTAGCATGTTTTGACAGCCTTTTTGACAGCATTTTTAACTTATTAATATTTTCTTTCGATTTCCTTGACATATTTTTTGTAATTTAATATTACTTCTTTTTAGTTTTGTTAATAGCCTTTTTAATTTAATAATATTTCCTTTTATTTTTTGTAATATTCTTTTAGTTTAATAATACATAAATGGGATATCTAGTAAACGTCACTGATAACAAAGATATGCATGAAAATTATAGAAATAAGAAAAACGATTCTTTTTCTACAACATGCTGATCTTAATAATATTATTCATGTATGCAATCAAATTTATTAAATAAATTAAGGATATCTATTTATACTATGAAAAATGGTCAACTCTCTCCAACTTGAAACACATCAGCATTTTCTGTTGAATGTGGAGATGTCATGTGGTATTTTTTTATTAAAATATAGAAATAAAAAAAATACAAATGTTTGATGATTTTTCAGTTTCTACATTCAACTTAACTCTTCACATTTTCAGGTTTTAAATAAAATTTATGAGTAAATAAATGAAAGTTAGTATTGAATGTTTAAATGAAAATAATTATAATAACTACTATTCATGAAATATATTTACAAAGTTTTGTATAGATTTTGTTGATTTGCTTATATATAGAAATATGGAAAAATGTTACATGTAAAAAATATAAAAATTCTGGGTAAGTATCAATTAAAGATAGTTCATGTACGTACAATAGTATTCGAAGTATACTTATCAAATTTAGGATCAGACAATAGTGCAATATAATAGTTAAATACATTACTTTTAAAAAATCCAAAATTAAAATCGCGAACAAGTGTTCTAGGCCATTTAGTATGATAATAGAAATTTTAAACTAAATATAATTACTTATAGTTAAATTCGACTTAAAATTTGGTATAGTTTTAATCAGTGTTTTTAAAACCGGACCGGAAGCCGAACCGGATAAGCATCCGGGTCATGGTTCAATCTGGTTCGACCGGTTTGACCCCGGTTCATAACATTTATATTATAATTATTTTTAAATATATAAATTTTAAAATAAAAATATAAATAGTTAAAAATTGATATATAGGTATAAATATAAATATAATAATATTAAAAACTTATATTTTCATTGTTCTAATTAATTATTTATAGTATAAACATATATAATTTCAAAAAAAAATCAAAAGTGAAAATAAATAAAAGAAAATAATTAATTAATTGATCGTATTAATTGTTTTTAAACCAGACCGGAAACCCAACCCGGTCACATGTCCGGTTCATGGTCGAACCCGGTCCGACCACCAGGTCGGTCCGGTTTTCAAAACACTGGTTTTAATCCAGCACATGGCCCGGGTCTTAATTCTAGTTTTAATAAAAACCCCTCAGTATTAGTCTAATCCATTTTAAACTCTAACTAATTTTCCTTTACATTAACATCAAGTCACTTTGTTTTAAATAAATTGTAACGGTAAATAAAGTTAGGACTAACAAAAAAATTTAGGGTTATAAATACATACATCATGTCTAGAGACATATGTTCTGATTGGGATAGTTTGTAGTGAAGCTGTAACTGTAACGAGTTGTGAGCGATTAAAACTAAAGATCTAAGTATCTTAAAACGTTTAGAATAATAATTGCCATCGTCAAACAACAGAAAATAAATATCAAGCTAGTTATTAATTGTATTAGTTCTTTTTTTTTTGGTACAACAGCAAAAACAACAATAACCAAAGTTTCAAATCTGATTTTTCTAACCAATTATCATATTTTTTTGTTAAATAACCAATTGTATCTACGTGAAGATGATACTCAGTTGTTTTTTCTTAATTCAGTTTTTCGTAAGACATACTCCCTCTGTTTCTAAAAACTTGATGTTGTAAAATTTTCACTTAGATTAAAAAAATAATTAATACATAGATTTAACTATATCATTTTTCTCTCACTAACCACTTTATCATTAAAATAAACCAATAGTAATTCAACAATGTTCTTGGATTTCACAATCAAATTATTTTTGTTAATAAATAATAAAAATAAAAATCTAAAAAATCAAGTTTTATGGAACAAAGAAAGTACTTCAAAGATGGAGAGGAGATATCTGAGAAATGCTTTAAATATACTTAACCGTGTGCTTAACTAGTTTAAACGCTGAGGTTGCGGAATTTTTCTAAAGTGGGGGATTGCAATTAAAAATGTTATTAAGCAGTTTGAACTACTGTCATAGTGGTTGAAAACGGCTGCGTTTGCAGGATAATTAAGACTGATTAATTTACAGTGCATCAGCAGTTAAACAATAAATTAACAATATAAACACATTATATAATTATAAAAACATCAAATTGTATTAAAAAATTATTTTTTGATATATTTAATAATAAACAATTAAAAAAATATATGTGTATAATACTTACATTTATTGTTTAGTTTCTATAATTCAGATGAAAAATTAAGTTTTTCATTAAAAAGGTATTTAATATGAAAAAATATATTATAATTTTATTTCTTAGATATATATGTATTAGTATGAAAAACATTTACGAAGCTAATTTTGATTTATAATTTATATATTATGATATTTTTTTAATGAGTATTTACTTTAAAATGGCAAATGTATTTATTTATATTGTAAATATAATATATAAATCTTAGTATCTAATAATAATATATATATATATGTTTATTTTAAATAAATATTAAAAAAAATTCCACCCGCATTTGCCGAACCCAAACGCTGCTAGAAAGGAGTTTTTGTTTTTGAGAGATCTAGAGTGATTTTGAACTTATTAAAGAAGTAAAAAGCATTTGCAATGATTGTTGTTAAACACCAACAACCGTTACCATCCGCAAAAGCCGTGTTTGCGGGTGATAAGGGTGAACCAATCAATACCTGAATGAGAAAGGGTGATAAGGGTGAACCAATCAATACCTGAATGAGAAAGTTAATTAATGCTTGAACCTTAATACCTCATTAACGATGGAGAGGATATATCCAAGATAATGTTATGGACTTGGCTTGCCTTCACAGAGCTAAAAGGTATAGCTCTAACGTCTTTAATTCTACTTGAAATTTTGTCCCGACTACCCTCAGCAGGATTAAGAACGCGGATGTAATCGCAGTGGTGAAAAACGGTGTGATCGCGGAGGGAGGAAGACATGAAACGTTAATGGAGATTTTAGGTGGTGCTTATGCTTCGCTTGTAGCTTTTCACATGAGTGCGAACTAAATATAATTTCATATATTTACGGTTAAGCGAAAATAATGTTGTAGTACCAATTCAATCAAACAATCCAAACCACACACATACACATAAATTAAAAAAAAAAACGGAAAAAGAAGAAAATTACAGAACAAAGAATAAATAAAACAAACTCGTTGAATTTTCTTCGACTTATTTTCTAACTCCATATATGGCAGCAATATAGAGAAGCTGAGTAGCCGAAAGTATTATTAAAAATGCCTCCATTGTTCTCTGCAAAGACATTACAAAAAGCAATAGAAAGTTTAATATTACATGTTACATCAATGATTATTCTAGCCTAAAGAATAGATTAATACTTACTAGACGAGCATTTCTCATTCCAAGTTCAATTTCCTTGCACCTGAATCTGCACAAGAGAAACGAAATGATTATAATTTTTTCCCCACAGAATGATATAAATATTGTTGAATACTTAAACCACAAATGTTGGTTTGTTGTCTTACCCCATGGCTCAAAGTGTGAGCGACCAAGCAATGGTAGCTGCAGAGACAGCTGCCGGAAGACTCGCCGTAGTCCATGACTGTAAATGACTGGCGCCAGCTATAACCGAGGCAGCTCCAGCAACTCCGGCAATTAAAGCGAACATCACAAAGAATCCGGTGGCCGCATTGCCCATTGGAAAGTATATTGGTGAGAAATGACCCGGAAGACTAAAAATCGATTTTTAACCCTAAAATTCATCAAAACCTTGCTAAATTTTTCTGGCCCCCGATTTTTCAGGGCCGGCCCTGATAAAACATAGTAAACTCAACAAATGGTCACTGACCGTGAGAGAATTTATGATTGATTCATTGGTTCACATGATCACATCCACTTCCTATTGTAAAAAAAAAAAGCATTAAAAGTCTATTCAAAGCACCATGCTTTAAAAAAAAAAAGAACAATCTTCATAATCCAAATTGAATACATGATAATAACACATGTAATTATAGAAAATCCAAAAAAAATACCTAAAATTTAATAACCGAAGTTTTAGATAAGAAGTTATGCAACATAACTGAAACGAAACTTCTAGGAAAAACTCCTCTAGAGAATTTATTAAACAAAGAAGATCATATCGATATAAAAAATCGTCGAGAGAAAAATCAGAGCCCGCATAATCTATTGGTTCCTCATTGTGAGCCGTTCCTTCATCAACACGGGGACCGCTCTGGCAAAACAAAAAGAAGAACCTCACTTAAAATGATCTTCGGGTAGATTGTACAATCAGGATAATAGTTCTACATATTCTATAGAGAATTTTGTTTTACCTAAAGGATGATGTAACAAATTCATAAATGACATTAGTTGATAAAACCTGAAGTAGCAACAGAGTAGTACCTAAATTCTTCAAAAATTATATTGATCTCATCATGACCCCCAAAATTTTCTAGATTCTCTATGCTACTCAAACATATTGCAAAAAATAATCATCAAACATCAATGTGGCATAACGTACTAGGTATTTTCACCGTTAATTTCCTAGGTCAACTGTGAAAGCTAGCCTAGGGTTTCCAAGCAGCACGTGGACACACACAAAAAACATAAATAAATGAAAAACTGAAGAGAAAATGGTAACTAACCTCTATTTGATCAACTTGCTTCTGCAAGTTAATTGTACACATTGAAGCCTTCAGGAGCATTCCATTTTGGAAACGCTTGTTTCCTCTTCAACTTTCTCTTCTTCTCAATCGTCTTTGCCACAACATCATCAAAATCTTGCCGTTGCTGCTCGGTGAAGCTGGTTTCACTGAGCTTCCACACCTTCTTCTTAGCACAATCATAAAACAGTCTCACGGAAAAGTCAGGGTGCTCTGGTACTTTCACAAAAAGAAGAAACTCATGGTCCTCTCCACAGTTTGGGATTTGCTCATTCTCTGGCACAAAATACACAGAGCAACTTTTCATCACAGATTCAGCAATCACTTGATCGCGATGGAGACTGTACAAGAGTTCCCTTGCATCGTTGGATTTCAAGTGTCTAACGTATTTTGTGTCCACATCTTCTGGACGATAAAACCACTGTACTTCAAGCATCATAGATCCTTCTATGACTCCTACATAAATATCCTGTCCAAAACATAGTTCGATTATGATAAGGTAAAAACTGAAATATCTTATGAATTTTTGTCTTCTTCTTTGTTACCTTTATGATCGCAACATAGGGCTCTTTGTTTTCGCCCTCTGGAGTCAGCACCACTGTATCATTCTATGCCAAAAAGAGATTATGATTAGTAAATGGTTACATAGAATTTCTCACAGTATTGAACAAATTATTTATTGTTCATGCCTTGTCTGTGGCACAAGCTATCTAAGCTCTCGAGTAATTAAGTCAAGGATTTTGGAACCTTTCATTGTAATAAGCCAAGCAAACTTTAGAATCAATAAATCTTAAGCCAAAGAAAACTTACTACTCCATATCTGGTGCCATGAAACTGGAACTTCTCGTAATGACGTTTCCTCTCTTCTCCCTCACCAGTAAACTTAACCAATTGGCCAATTGGTTGTGGGAAATTCTCAGGTTCCGACTCTAACTCCTGTTTCATCGGTACATGCATTTCCACATCACTATGTTCCATCTCTCGCTTAATCTCCATCTCTCTCTTAATCTCCATCTCTTGCTTAATCTCTTTCTTAATCTCCTGCTTAATCTCTTGCTTAATCTCCTGCTTAATCTCTTGCTTAATCTCTTGCTTAATCTCCATCTCTTGGTTAATCTCTATCTCTTGCTTGATCTCCATCTCTCGCTTAATCTGCGTCCTCTCAACAGTGTTCGGTAGCAGAATCGACAATGGAACATTGTCTTCAACTTTGGTAGTCAACAGTTGATTCAATTGTTCGCTCGACATCTTTCTTCAGCTGGTCAAAAGTGAAACTCGATTTTCAACCTACAGTTGTAGAACTAGGCTCATTAGGACAACAAAAAGTTGATATCAATCTGACAACGACATAATATTCATACGCCAGAGTATTTAATGAAATGAAAGATAATGTGCATGTGAAATTCATGCATATTAACACACATATACACGTTAGAACTAATGAAGAGTTGCTACCAATTCTGAATCTAAAATACCCAAAAACTGAATTACCAAGAAACCTCAATAAAAATTTCAGGAAATCATCCAAGATATAAAAGAATTCATAAGTACATTAAACAATTAGATTTAGCGTGAGAGTATGATCTAAATTTATTTCTCGTGGTTCCTGATAAAGTATTCAATAATCCTTCCAACAGTTAAATACCATGTCTCGAGTGCAGAAAGAAATACTTGCGAAACCAAATACGTACTTCTCCATCTATATATGATTGCGACCAATCTTAAGGAGCTAACAAAGATGAATCCTTACAAAACCGAGTTTTAAAGATTAAAGCTACCATTGATAGGAAAATTTAAAAATCTACATCGATCTAAACAATTCATACAACCTTAAAACTGAATCACACATAAAACTCCAGAAATATTCAGTTGAAAAGAAAAATCCCAAATAACTAAACACTACTCGTACCTCAATACGGATGCTTATCACACCAGTCTAGTGTTTCAACTAGAGCACAACTAGATAGCCAAACTTTGGGATATGTTTGTATGTAATATATCTGTGAGAATGTTTTTTTATATTAGTTCCAATGATAATATTGTTCCATGTTCATGTATATATAATCTCTGGCCTTCAAATGAATTACTAAGTCAAAGCTAAGATACAGGTAAGACAAATATATTTCAAAATTCCATTTTTGGTTAGAGATTTATAAAGAAATATGATGAGGTAAAAAGGAAAATGGAAACAGATTTTTTAAAATAATAATTATTATTCATAGATTTCTTACTATCTTTTCAAAGTAAAAACAGATTTTTTTTTATTAAAAGTAAAAAAAAAAATCATTTGATGAACTGTCACTTTACAAAATTTCATTTTTGGCTTTTTGCAATGTATTTAAATTATTTCCTTAGTAATCAATTTATACATGCATCCCGAGCCATAGAATTTGAATTGTGGAGGAAATTAAAATAAATTTCCTATTTTCCTGACTTTTAAATTAAACACATTAGCATGTTTTGACAGCCTTTTTGACAGCATTTTTAACTTATTAATATTTTCTTTTGATTTCCTTGACATATTTTTTGTAATTTAATATTATTTTTTTAGTTTTGTTAATAGCCTTTTTAATTTAATAATATTTCCTTTTTTTTTAAAAAATCTTTTAGTTTAATAATACATACACTTTGATGGGATATCTACTAAACGTCACTGATAATAAAGATATGCATGAAAATTATAGAAATAGCAAAAATGATTCTTTTTTGACAACATGCGTATCTTAATAATATTATTCATGTATGCAATCAAATTTATTAAATAAATCAAGGATATCTATCTATACTATAAAAAATGGTCAACTCTCTCCAATTTGAAACACATCAGCATTTTCTGTTGAATGTGGAGATGTCATGTGGCATTTTTTATTAAAAAATAAAAATAAAAAAATATAAATGTTTGATGATTTTTCAGTTTCTACATTCAACTTAACTCTTCACATTTTCAGGTTTTAAATAACATTTCTGAGTAAATAAATGAAAGTTAGTATTGAATGTTTAAATGAAAATAATTATAATAACTACTATTCATGAAATATATTTACAAAGTTTTATATAAATTTGTTCATTTGCTTATATATAGAAATATGCAAAAATGTTACATGTAAAAAATATAAAAAATTCCGGGTAAGTATTCAAAGTATACTTATCAAATTTAGGATCAGACAATAGTGCAATAGTTAAAAACATTACTTTTAAAAAAATTCAAAATTAAAATCGCGAACAAGTATTCTAGGCCACTTAGTATGATAATAGAAATTTTAAACTAAATATAAATACTTATAGTTAAATTAGACTTAAAATTTGGTATAGTTTTAATCCCGCACATGGCCCCGGTCTTAATTCCAGTTTTAATAAAAACCCCTCAGTATTAGTCTAATCCATTTTAAACTCTAACTAATTTTCCTTTACATTAACGCACTTTGTTTTAAATAAATAGTAACAGTAAACAAAGTTAGGACTAACAAAAAATTTAGGGTTATAAATACATACATCATGTCTAGAGACATATGTTCTGATTGGGATAGTTTGTAGTGAAGCTGTAACTCTAACGAGTTGTAAGCGATTAAAACTAAAGATCTAAGTTTCTTAAAACGTTTAGAATAATAATTGCCATAGTCAAACAACAAATATAAATATCAAACTAGTTATTAATTGTATTAGTTCGTTTTTTTTTTGGTACAACAGCAAAAAAAACAATAACCAAAGTTTTAAATCTGATTTTTCGAACCAATTATCATTTTTTTTTTGTTAAATAACCAATTGTATCTACGTGAAGATGATACTCAGTTGTTTTTTCTTAATTCAGTTTTTCGTATGACATACTCCCTCTGTTTCTAAAAACTTGTTGTTGTAGAATTTTTACTTAGATTAGAAAAATAATTAATTAATAGATTCAACTATATCATTTTTCTCTCACTAACCACTTTATCATTAATATAAACCAATAGTAATTCAACAATGTTCTTGGATTTCACAATCAAATTATTTTTGTTAGTAATAATAAAAAGAAAAATCTAAAAATTCAAGTTTTGTGGAACAAAGAAAGTACTTAAAGATGGAGAAGAGATTTCTGAGAAATGCTTTAAATATACTTAACCGAGTGCTTAACTAGTTTAAACGCTGAGGTTGCAGATGTTTGCTGAAGTGGGCGGTTGTAATTAAAAGTGTTATTAAGTGGTTTGTACTACTGTCATAGGGTTGAAAACGGCTGCCTTTGCAGGATAAATATGACTGTTTAATTTGCGAGTGCATCAGCAGTTAAACAATAAATTAACAATATAAACACATTATATAATTATAAAAACATCAAATTGTATTAAAAAAATAAAAAATTATTTTTCAATATATTTAATAATAAAAAATTGTATAAAATAATATGTGTATAATACTTACATTTATTGTTTAGTTTCTATAATTCAGATGAAAAATTAAGTTTTTCATTAAAAAGGTATTTAATATGAAAAAAAATTATAATTTTATTTCTAAGATATATATGTATTAGTATGAAAAACAAATTACCAAGCTAATTTTGATTTACAATTTATATATATATATATAATTATGATATTTTTTTAATGAGTATTTACTTTAAAAATGGCAAATGTATTTATTTATATTGTAAATATAATATATAAATCTTAGTTTCTAATAATAATATATATATATATTTATTTTAAATAAATATTAAAAAAATTCCACCCGCATTTGCCAAAACCAAACGGTGCTAGAAAGGAGTTTTTGTTTTTGAGAGATCTGAAGTGGTTTTGAACATTTTAAAGGAGTAAAAAGCGTTTGCGGTGATTGTTGTTAAACATCAACAACCGTTACCATCCGCCAAAAGCCGTGTTTGCGGGTGACAACGGGTGAACCAATCAACACCTGAATCGAGAAAGTTAATTAATGCTTGAACCTTAATACCTCATCAACGATGGAGAGGATATATCCAAGATAATGTTATGGACTTGGCTTGCCATATAGCTCTAACGTCTTTAATTCTACTTGAAATTTTGTCCCGACTACCCTCAGCAGGATTAAGAACGCGGATGTAATCGCAGTGGTGAAAAACAGTGTGATCGCGGAGGGAGGAAGACATTTAAAAATGCCTCCATTGTTCTCTGCAAAGACATTAAAAAACATTAGAAAGTTTAATACTATTACATGTTACATCAATGATTATTCTAGCCTAAAGAATAGCTTAATACTTACTAGACGAGCATTTCTCATTCCAAGTTCAATTTCCTTGCACCCGAATCTGCACAAGAGAAACGAAATGATTATTACTTTTTCCCCACAGAATGATATAAATAATGTTGAATACTTAAACCACAAATGTTGGTTTGTTGTCTTACCCCATGGCTAAAAGTGTGAGCGACCAAGCAATGGTAGCTGCAGAGACAGCTGCCGGAAGACTCGCCGTAGTCCATGACTGTAAATGACTGGCGCCAGCTATAACCGAGGCAGCTCCAGCAACTCCGGCAATTAAAGCGAACATCACAAAGAATCCGGTGGCCGCATTGCCCATTGGAAAGTATATTGGCGAGAAATGAGTCGGAAGACTAAAATCCGCACCTTGAATGTTTTTGCAAAAGCAAAATGTTTAAATGCTTTAGACCGATGATTAGCCATTAACTAGCAAATAAAAGAATATATGCTTACCATAATCTCTTTTCAAATATACCATCCTTACGTATACACCAAACTATATTATCATTAAACTTAACTTTAATTCTGATATGCCTATAAATTTAATGCTATAATATTCTAATGAAATTATATAGAGTTAAGGGCCTTAACCTTAATATTAATTCATATAAGTTGTTTCAATGCAGTTTTAGACGTTGTTTTTAAAATTGCTTGCATGCATACTTTTTGCTAAGTTTCTAGGACGACACTATATTGATGAAAGAAAATAGTATTCATAATTCCGTGACTAAATTGATCAAGAACTTAATACCAAGACGCCAAAGGAAAAAAAAAAGATTGAAAAAACAAAGTAATCATATACCAATAAGGAAGCCATGGTTGATGGCTTTGTTCATGGACCATGCTCCAATCCCGAGAACAATGGCGTACATACAAAAATTCAGGACTAAAAGCAAAGATGCCACCGGTTTCATCGGCTGTTCTACCATTTCTTTCGAGTCACTAGAAACCAAAACCCAGATAGATATGTAATACTTTTAATTTTGGATCTTCGAAATTTTGGTTGTGGGATGTTTTAAGAGTTGAGGGTTTATATATTTTAATACCAAGACGCCAAAGGAAAAAAAAAAGATTGAAAAAACAAAGTAATCATATACCAATAAGGAAGCCATGGTTGATGGCTTTGTTCATGGACCATGCTCCAATCCCGAGAACAATGGCGTACATACAAAAATTCAGGACTAAAAGCAAAGATGCCACCGGTTTCATCGGCTGTTCTACCATTTCTTTCGAGTCACTAGAAACCAAAACCCAGATAGATATGTAATACTTTTAATTTTGGATCTTCGAAATTTTGGTTGTGGGATGTTTTAAGAGTTGAGGGTTTATATATAGGTTTAAGAAAGTTTAAGTTGATGGTGCTTTTCTTGGTTAAGGCTGTTTGGTTTTTCTTGATTCTTAAAGGCAGTTTAATTCTTCTTCGATCTGACATGCTGTAAAGGTGACTTGCTGATTTTCTTACAAAGAATCCATAGTTTGCTTCACTCAGAGGGCACAATTAAATATTTTAAAAGGTAACAAATCAATTAACTAAAAACATTTGCAAACTTAAAAGATTCTTTGGCACATCGAATTTCCTTCCCATTTTTTGTTTGTTTTACTTTTATGTAGCTGTGTGAGACCCCCTTTTTTTTACTTAAATATTCAATTCATACGCATACGCCTAAACATTCAAGATACATTTCTTAAGTTTTTTTTTGCTTAGTTCAATTCTACGAAAAAAAATAAACAGTGATTTGGAGCAAAATATGTAACTCTAAAAAACAGTTTTGTCCCAGACCAAGTTCAATAAAAATTGTACATACAGTATATAACATGCATACCAATACCATATATGTATGCCTAATATAAATGTAAAATAGTGTAAGATTTCTAGAAAAATTGTGAGGACAACGATTATGTTTTCAGTTCATGCTTAATGCTTACGCGCTTTCGCTTTCTGCTTGTCTCTGTCTCTACACACTCTTCATCGTGTTCAATTTCATTTCCAAGATCACTATCATCGCTGTCTTCACTCTCTTCATTTTGATAAATTTCATTGCCAAGACCATTATCATCACTGTTTCCATCAGACTCATATAGTCTTACACCACATCCTGTTAGTTTGACCTCAGGTGAATAACATACTTGGATACTGAACCTAGCATTAGCCATGGGAATAGATTCATTATAAGCCTTAAATGTGAAGAATGGTTGAGTGGTAGAGCTGTGAGGTAGAGGGATACAGGGGAGAGAGTTTCCACAAGTATTACGGTGAGTGAAAATATGATGGCACTTCTTCACCTGACAAGTGAGGACTACGATCATGTTTGTACATCCAGAAAGGGTGACAAGAAGCATTAAGCATGAACTGAAAACATAATCGTAATCCTCACTTGTCAGGTGAAGTTTTGCATAACTTTCACTTGTCGTGATAACGTTTTTAGCTATTGATGTGTTTTGTGTTGTGAATATAGTTAGATATGACCTTAGAAATCGTAGCTATCACCATGTTTGTACATCAAGAAGAGAAGGTGAAGAGACTGATGATGCCGGTATAAACGACCATGATATAAAGCTATAAAGTTTCAACAACGTATTCAGAATACTATATAACAATAAAACATATACTAGAAGCAACCACCATGATAATGGTGTGTAGGGTGAATTCAAACAAAAACAAAAAACAAAAATAGTGGAATAGTAGAAGCCCGAATGATTTGAGGTGTTGATAAGGGAGATGGTGATGACCTCTAAGACGCTACTGGTTTTGAAGTGGCCTTCTTAACAGCTTCCGCATAGGTCCTGTGCTGGTAAGTCAAGGTCGACTCAAGCAAGTCCCAGAGAGACGTCTTCGGGTCCCATCCTAAAATATATCATCAGAACAACATGATTGGTTTTGGTTATGTTTCAAGAGACGATGAAAGCAGAGACAACAAAAACGAAGAGGATATTTACCAAGTTGACGGTTGATGATGGTCATGTCTGGGATTCTCTTGTCGCTGTCGTCATAACCTTCTCCATAAAACTCTTTGGAGCTCACGTCAACCGTCGGGCTCTCTATAGCTGTCTCTCCACTCACTTTTGCGTAGACCTGGTCCATGTTATTTTTGTTTTAGTAAACATTTAAGCGTGCAATACAATAACGAGAATCAATACAATATTTTATTTTCTTACCTGAGTCATCATTTCAGCAAGTTGTCTTACTGTCACTTCATTGTTCGGGTTGCCTACATTGAAGATATGCCCATTTGCTCTCTCTGGGTTTTCCTGTTAAAGATCCCACAAGCAAAAATCAGATTCAGATTCACCTTCTTTGATTACATTGTTATAACGAAATAGCAATGCATGAAACTCACAATCATCAGAAGGACAGCTTCAATAGCATCTTTGATGTAGATGAAGGTTCTCTGGGATTCTCCTCCATCCACGAGCTTGAGAGGCTCGCGCCTCAGAAGGTTCTGAAAATACACAAATTTAGCTGCAGCCACTAAAACAAACCAGGTTGTTGGAGCCTGTAAACTTACGTTGCTAAAGCATGCTAGGACACGAGGGACACCCTCGCTAGGACCATCAATGCCAGGGATGAAATCCATCCTAGGTCCAATCCAGTTGAACGGTCTTACAATGGTGAACTCGAGTCCATTCTCAGCACCCTCAGCTGCAACCACAAACCAAAACAAGTGATCATCTTTTTGCACACTGAATTTGATTATCATGTATATGAAAAAAGACAATGCATACCGTAGACAAGTCGCTCAATCAACTGCTTCGCACAAGCATATGACCACCTCTGCTTCTCAATAGAACCAAATATGCAAGGGGATGTTTCTTCATTGAGTACGTAAAAATTAGGATCCTGTACAAAGCCAAAGACGAGCAATCTTTTGTGAGTGGTGAAGATTTAGCAATGACAGAGACAAAAGTGGTAATTAGAACCACAGGAGAAACTAATATTTAATTGAAATTAAAGAAAACTAAGCCAAAAACACAAATTCTCATGTACTAGTTGGAGTCTTTGGAGATCAAAGCCATACTCAGGTCATTGCAGGAAAAGAAACTATATTATCTCGATATTTCAAACACTATTTTACTTTATTCTTCAGTGAGTGGGCCACTATACAAGACACATAGTTTATTGATCCATTTGACAGCGACCCTTGAGCAGAAGGTAATGCTTAAAGACAAAATGACATGAAGAGAGTGAAGAGGAGAGAAAGTCTGACCTGGCGCAGAGGATGATCCTTGGGAAGAAAGCTTCCAATAGTCTTTCCATACACTTCACAGGTCGAAAAGTGAATAAGACGCTTGTTGTTCTCTGAGCAGTATTTCACCTACATGGATCACTCAATGTCACAAATAAATTCTGCTACAGAGTAAAGATATCTATCTTAAGCATCGGTATCACAAAAATCTTCCTCATTGCAAAATAGAAGACCAAATTCTGATACATACCACGGGGAGAGCATCGATGAAATTGCTGTAGATGGTGTCAAGAGGACGCGTATTGTAATCAGCTGGAGTACAGATCGCAGCCAGATTTATCGTCTGCAAAGTAAAACAAGAGATTTAACAAGACATTCACAATCTCGAAGGATCAGATCTGAGTCTGTAATCATCAAAATCAGCAACGCACTAACTATCACTTGCAATTTTCCAATCAATTTCAGTCATTCCGCATAAGCTTGAACAAGAGAAAAGTGCAGATAAAGAGCAGCTTCGCATTCGAATTCACATTCACATGAAACATTATCCGAGAGAAAAAAAGTTACCAGATCTGCCATCTTGACCAGTCCTTCGAGTCTAGAATCATGCTTGATGTTGATACGATGAAACTGGATCCGATCGGCCCACTCAACCGTATTAGGCTCGAGCAAGTGCTGAATCTTATCGTTGTAGACGTCGAGCGCGAGCACCTTGTGCGGAGTCTCCATCAGCAGCTTCTCGCAGAGGTGAGAGCCGATGAAACCTCCGGCGCCGATCATGCATATCGTCTTCGGCTTAATCGGCCTGCCGTCCAGATCCAATCGACCGGCTCCGTTCGCCATTAGTGTCGGTGAGGGGAAATGGAATCAGGAACGCGTGATCTTAGATCACGCTAACAAAAGATAACAATGCAAATTTGAGTGCAAGAGAGAGAGAAGAGAGAGCTTTGTTGTGCGAATGAGGAAAAAGCAGAAAGTCAGGGACCGATATTTAAAATGTTATATTCCATTTTACTCATAATTGTTAACAGACCTCTATATTCTTGATATTTCAAAATATATTGAGCACAATAATTAAGAATATAGCAATAGCAAAAACAAAAATAAAGAAACTGACCATAGCCAAACTTTCTACCCTAAATTACCCTTGAGACAATACTGTATAGAACAAAATAGTATAGTGTTCAAATTTCATTTTAAACCAAAAATTTGAAACCCTAAACCCCAAACATTAAATCCATAATCTAAACCCTAAATAAAAATATATAAACCCTAAACCAAGAAATAAATCATTAACCCAAAATCTAAACCCTAAATAAAAAATCTAAACCCTAAACCCAAAAATAAATCATAAACCCATAATCTAAACCCTAACCTCAAAATCTTAACCCTAATTTCAAAATCTTAACCCTAATTTCAAAATCGTAACCCTAAACCCAAAAAGCTAAACCCTAAATTCAAAAGTATAAATACTAAACCCAAAATTTAAATTATAACCCCTAAATCCAAAACCCAAAAATATAAACACTAAACCCAAAATTCAATCCTAAACTCAAAAATCAAAACCCTAAAAAAATCTAAACCCTAATATAAGAAAACATTTCGTACTATTCTGCAGAGGTAAAAAAATAGTATAGCATTAATTTCCAATAAAAATGACAAGGACCAAATGGGTATTATTATATAAACTACAGCTTGTATTCTAACCAAGACATTCTAATGGTTAGTTTCTTAAATCATGTTCTCAATATAATTATTAATTGTAATTTTCCAAGAAATAAATATTGTCATCTACTATACAGTTAGAAATTATTGTTTATAATTTCAGTGAAACAGATTTCACTTTTTCAATTGTCTAATTTTCTAAATTTTTATTGTTCATTTTTAAGTTTACAATCGAATAAAATAATAATAAAAAAAATGAAAAAATGTTAATTTTCAAATAAAAAGTTATCTTAAATCATGTTCTCAATATAATTATTAATTGTAATTTTCCAAGAAATAAATATTGTCATCTACTATACAGTTAGAAATTATTGTTTATAATTTCAGTGAAACAGATTTCACTTTTTCAATTGTCTAATTTTCTAAATTTTTATTGTTCATTTTTAAGTTTACAATCGAATAAAATAATAATAAAAAAAATGAAAAAATGTTAATTTTCAAATAAAAAGTTAACAAAATAGTTGTCAAGCAAGTAATAAAAAGAAATTTCTAATTTTACAATAGTCCAATAGAAAATATCATCTACAAATGATGATAAAATATATTTGTAGATAATGTAAAATTGTGTGTATAATATCATTTGTATTTTCTTTAAAGAATTGTAAATATAAAACTATAAATTATGCATAATCATCTTAATATAATATATTTTCCAAGAAATCTAACACGAGTAATTGTCATAACTTTAATATAGGTAAATTTGAAACACATAAATTATGGAAAAATCAGAAATTACCATATTAAATTAATTTCGGCCATAAATTAGTCTTCTATCTCCAAGAAAACTAGTAATTCTACAAAACAAATTCTAACATAAAGGTCACCACCCACCCAATAGAAACCAGTACACATTTCCAATATGATACTTGATAAATTCTCGTTTGAAAATGTCATATAAATTTTTTGAATCAGTGATTAGACAAAATCACATTTATCATGTGGTATGGTTGATTTATGAGTTTAACTCAAAAATGTTACCATGATTTATTTTTAACTTTTTTTGAGTTAGAATGTGGTATGGTTGAAGTAGAATTTTGATATATGTCCTTTGTTAACTCAAATCAAATTCCCATCACATGGAAAATGAGATGTAGTAGAGTTTGATTTAACAGTTTTTTTTCTTTCTTTCCCCGTTTTTTTATTATTATTTTCTTTTTTTTGCTCTTTTTTTTGTTAATTCCACAGCAAACTTACCACATAATTTTTACTGTAAACATACTATTTATTCTAACTCAACTATGATACCACATGTCGCCAATCGAAGCCTAAACCAAACATGATTTACTTTTTTGAAATGACTATCACCTTTTGTCTCAATCAACCGACTCAGGGGCAAAACCTCATTCTCGTAAATAGACTGATTAGCGGAGGTGACGATCATCTTCATCTTCAATCGGATACATGTCATGTACACCTCAAAGAACTCAAAGGCCGTCAGATTGGCAAACATGTTGAGCTTCAATTTATAGTATTTCGTGATCTTGTTAGTGCCTAGGTGGCTCACACACACATTGAGCCCACCACACACATTGAGAAGCAAGAAGAAAAATATGTTAACATGTCATTTTTTCTTCTTTAATTGATTAGCATTTGAAAGTGTAAGAAAAAATGATGATGTAACTTGCAAGTTAATACTGAGTTACAAGAAGTTTATGAATCAATTTAGTAATTGCATCGATTTTGTAATCAATTTTAAAATTAATCATATAATGTTTAACTATAAATTTCCCAAAAAGTAATATATTTTGACGTCTTTCATGTCGAACAAATTATGTTGTTTAGAAATGTTAGTTGTTACAATGTTAGATAACTAGTAATCTACATGCTTAGAAATGTTTGTTTAAGTGTTTGCTCAATATTTGCTCAAGTTTCAGTTAAATATTCCCACCTAAAGAACTTAAAATCAATGAGTTTAGATATTTGCAATATTTACTAAAAAAGTAACCCTACGACTCTAGAAAACTTTGTATAATCCATAGGTATTCATTTTAATTGTTATATTTTGTGTCTTGAATATGGATTTTAGTCTAGGGACAACAATGTTACATCAAACAGAACATATATATGTTTTTTTCCATGAAATTACTTTGTTTAATCTATTTTTTTTCATTTCTTATAAATCCATTCCATCTCTTACAATCATTATTCTATTTATTAAACTTAATGTTGTACTAGCAGTTCATCCAAAAATTTAAGTTGATATTATTTAAAAGTTTCACGTTCTACTGGAGTATTATATTTATTTCAGATGTTTTGGGACTGTAACAACCAACATATTTCTCAAATGATAAGCATTGGTTCAGTTTTTGGTAACACTCAACGTGCTCTTATAAGAAGCATAATTGTGAGCTATTTAACAGAAATTCTCCTCACTAACTTTAAAAATACGTACTTAGATTTATGTCTTTGTTAAATTTATTTTTTATTCAGCAAAACAACGGTAAATAATGCTCAGTATATAACTCATATTGTGCTTGTTACATCTTACATGTAGATTAAAAGTAATCATCTATACTAATGAAAGCAGCTATTTGGGGCCTCTAAGTATCCACCTCAGCAACTTCTGCTTTTTTCTCACAATGCCTCGTCACCTACATGCCACGTCAGCTGCGAGAAGCAAAATAATCTTTGGGTCTTCGTTCATAAAACCTGATTTCATCTCAGCCCATAAATTTTGTAACCCACAAATAGTCGTCTCCTTATTCAATGCTTCTTTAAACCCACCGGAACATGAATCGATTCATGTATCTCGCTGTAACCGGTTACTCTTCTTGAGTTCTTCTTAAATCCTCCCTTACACCTTAAATTAGATCATATATAATCTCCTTCATCCTTCATCCTTCATCCTTGGGCTCCTTTTAGGGTTTTCTTCTTCACCATAACTCCGCCACTCCTTTTCTCATGCTCCGCCTAGAGAGAGATCTCTCTTCTCATCATCGCCTTTGATCTCTTCCTCCATTATCGCTGATTCAGGCATCTACATCTCTTTTGATTTCTGGCAATCTATCCACTGTGAAGTTTGTACATTTGTGTCAATGCTATCTTCCTATTGATAATTCTTTTAAAAATCCCGTCCTCTCCACTTCTCCTTTCTTCACCTCTTTTCAGATCATCTACATCTCCACCTTCAAACCAGCGGAAGCTATACAACGGAGTGCCATCACGATGCATTCTTATTACGACCACCATTCAATATCACTCACGAAGCAGCTCCCAATATGCCTTCCGCTGCTTCATCCAACGCCCAGTGGTAACGCTCCAATCTTTAATCTCTTTTCCCCTACTTCTTTTGCTGTGCATCCCTAAATCACCATAAAAAGATAATTTCTTAACTCCCTTGCATTCCACTCGATAATTCTTACATCAATATTTTCGTGGAGGTTTAAATAGATGGGTTTGCTAATTAGATCAGAAGCTTAGTTGACGGAATGACTAGACCCGCCAGTGTTTAGATGGCAGAGTTCATGACTAGAATGTTTGCTTTCTCCATTGGCTTTTGCTGTTTCTTTTCTCTACAACTGAGAATTCGTTTTTTTTTTTGTTGTGGTTAGCGTCTCACGAACATTGGATGGTTTCTACGATTTTAGTACTTCTTGAAGTTGACGTCTCTTTTTTACTCTTTCGATGTGACGTCAATGCTATGAGCTCTACAGGTGAATAATTGTGTGTATATGTTCTCATTGTAGTTCGTCAATGCTATGAGCTCTACAGGTGAATAATTGTGTGTATATGTTCTCATTGTAGTTCTTTTAAGAAAATGAGAATTCTTCTACTTACCTGACAGCCAACTATCATCCCACTATTAGTGATTTGCTGACCGTGAGTTTTAATTTATTAGTATATATTCACATATAAAGGAACCTATGATCGTTTAAGTGAATTGGGTTATGGAATCGTTGTAAGGTATGTTTTCTCAAGGCGTTCCTGATTTTTGAGGCCAAACTGCTTCTGATATTTATGGTGTTCTTGGTTTGAATTCTTCAGTTTTTTTTTTTTTTTTTTATATTATGTAATGACTTAGATATTGTTGAGTGAAGCTTAGAGAAACAAGGAATGGTAACTATGTGCTGTTTCGTGGAAGTTTACCCTTTTGCTAATTTGTTTGATTGCCACTTAACCAGGCACCTAATTAGTGTTATTTAGTTTGAATATATTTTAGTTTGGTCTAACCTTGCTGATATAGTCTCGAACACCTTAATCTGAAGTTCAAGTGGTACTTGGAACATGATTAGAGAAGCGCAGAATCAGAGAGAGTGGTACAGAGGAATCTGGTTCAAGCATTTAAATCCAAAATATGCATTCCTTTCTTGGCGCGGCATGCTAAATCGTCTATCCACGGGAGACCGCATTGGCAGCTGGGGCTCAGGACAGAGAACGGCTTGTGTTTTATGTGGGGATCCAGAGGAAACACAAAATCATCTGTTTTTTATGTGCTTCTATTCAGAGACAATCTGGCCAGACCTCATGCGCAATCTCCTTGCTAGAGACTACTCAGCTGATTGGAATCAGTTGGTGTATCTCCTTCACCAGCAATCAAGTGATCGAAAGTTTTCCTTTTGCGATATACTTTTTAAACAGCGCTCTCTCATGTATGGCGAGAGAGAAACAATCGCAGACATGGAGAATCCCCCTCTCCAGCTTAGACTTGCAAAGATCATTGATAAGAACGTATGTAACCGTTTAAGCTCAATTGGCTCCTTAGGTAATCAAGCTTACGAGAATGGGATGAAAAGGTGGCTTGCCACACGACCACCGTAAGGGCACTAAGAAATCTCTTATGAATTATATTCAATATATTGATATGTTCAGCCTCAAGATATGTACCTCCTCCAATCATGTTTTTTCTTTGTCCCAACCATTTTTTTTTCTTACTATTTTCCGATAGCTTTTTCTTCTCCAAATGCTTCACCTTTTGTTTCAAGCCGCTATATATATACCTCGCACATTGCTTAATATCCTGTTTTCCTCCCAATCTATGTATACTTTGCACTTGAAAACTGATAACAGCTAAAGCTTTCTCAAGTTATAGTTTTTTTTGGTAAAATTCTCAAGTTATAGTTGCATTTAAATGTTTACCAATTTTGTTTGTCTACCTAAAACAAGAGATGAATTTTAACTGATCTTCCTACTTTCACATACAGGGCTTTTTGGTTTAATCAAGGCTTTTGTAAAGTTGCTTTGTCTTGGCAACTGCTGGGTTGGAGGTTCAATGAACAAAGAGATCAAGAGAAAATGTATTTATTTTTAATTTTTATAAAGCATGTCATTCACTTATTTTTTACTCTCCTTGCTATATGTGTAGTTGTTAGGTTGACACTGATTGTTATGTATTTTTTGGGTACGTATGAATGTTAGTTGTTATGTGTAATTCTTAGGTTTATTCCTCTACCAATGTATCATAAAGCAATATAGCATTCAGGTACTTTACCATGAAACAGTAACGTTATTCGATGCAGAGAGACATTTAGGGGTTAGCGAAGGACACTCAAATAAATATAAACTGATGTATGAATCTTACATTGAATATGTAAACAGAATTCGTTACTCTGTCTCTCTTTAATTAAGAATCTTCTTTGTTTTTGATAAAAACTTATTGACAATGTAAATTAGCTTAAGATAATACATTGGTGTATCTTAAATCTCATAAACATTATGTGCATCATGACGTAACAAATAAAGTTATTGGCAAGACTCTGGAAGAGAAAGAAAGGGAGTACTAGAGAGTATAGGCACATGTTCTACGCCAAACAAACAAAAAACAAGTAGAGGCGCGTTGCCCATAAAATTGGTTTTGAGCATTTCGCAAAAAATACTCTAAAAGGTGAGTTCTCAATGTTGTCTTCTTCACTTCTTGCATTTCGGAATATGATGGGGCTGATATATACAAGTTTCTTTAGAATACTAAGTCTCCAAGATGAGTGATTTCATAAGGATTTGTGCTAATTCACTGAGAAGGCGAACACATTGACATAAAGTATAACTATCACAAAAACCCATTAGAAAATAAATTGATGTCCACAACTGTATATTATTTACTTTGAAAGTCACGTTAAATCCTAATCAGAACAATTTCTAAAGAAATTAAAATTCACTTATATGTCTCTTTGCATTTAGTAGGAGTTTTGTGGCAATTGTTTGTATACAATACAACGATTAGTTTATGTCAATGTATTACGTGAGAAGGGGGGACGTATTACAGAACCTCATCCCTCATTTAGAAAGATATGGAAAAGGCCATTAGAGAGACAGACAAATTCACATTCATTAGACATGTTTATGAGTTGAAGAGTTTGGTTTATTTTATGCGGTGGTTCTTAATTTGGTTCCCACTTCCGAACTTTAACTTTCATAACAGTTTTCATTCATTCAGAAATAACTTTCATAATTGTCTAAATATCATAGCAAAGAGCCAATTCTATCAGAAGACAAAAACCTGCCGACAAATAAGAGGAAGATACTTAAGCACCAACGTGAAGAAAGAAAAATCACTTTGTAAACGGAATATGAAGCTCTCTTATTATAGGTTCAAGATGTTGTCTATAGAAACTTCAAACAAGTTCAATATTCATTATTACCCGATGTAGCTGAGATATCTCCTAGTATATATGAAAAGAGGCCAACCCTCTTCATATATGTGATATGTGGACACTCTTATGATTGACACATGACATGATTTTTCATTTTCCTTTCAATTAGTAACTTTAAATTTTACTAGGTAGGGACTCACGCTCCGCCGCAGGAGACTTTCATTGTATTTTTTTAGTGTTTTAATTGATTAAATTATAGATACTATAATTTGATATTTTAATCAAATCTCTATAACGTTATTTTTTTTTTCTTTTAACGAAATATGGTTTACTAATCATTGGGCCTACGCCCAAAAAAAGGTTGTTACAGACAATGCCGTTTTAATCTTTTTTGTCCGAATGACTGGATTAAAAAAGTTCTTTATTTTCTTCATTTGTTCTTCATTTTCTCTCTAAGCACTCTTGGGGATGACGGTGTTGAATTCTACTGTCATTTTTGGGAATAGGGTTTCAAAAATTTGTGTATTTCTGGATATAATGATTTAATCATAGTAATTATTTCTATTGATTAGTTTACATATTTACATTTCATAGACTAAACACAATCTCCATTCAGAGATTACACCAAAGCAAATGAAGCAGACAGTGTCATGTAAGATGCACAATGAGATTAGATGAAAAGGCAAGAACAAAACAGAGACTGTCTATAACTGAAAAAGAAGAATTTGGTACTAAGATACATGCCATAGATCAAACACATTTTTCTGTAATTGTAACTCAACATTTGATATGGTTTCAACTTTCATTATGTCTTAACCGGCCTCACAAGCCCTAAACCAGAGCCACTACCCAAATGCTTGTACTCCTTAGCCTCCAGATGATCATCGTGCTCAGCAAAACCCGTGCCTCCTTTCTTTAACCCAACCAAGTTCCTGTCCTTGCAAGGCTTGTCACACACGAGACAGACTTTGTCGACAGGCATAAACTTCTCACCACACTTCTTGCAGAAAACATGCCCACACGAGCTAAGTGCCACGAGAGACATGGTGTTGGTGAGAGTGACTTTGCAGCTAGGGAAAATGTAGCTTCTGTCATAGCTTGAAGATGACGATGTTGTCTTCTTCTCTTCTTCGCTGTTGTCTTCTGTGAAACGGATAGCAAAGAGGTTCTTAAGCTTGAGCTTCTCTTTCCCCTCTGGACAGACAGTGTGAGTTTCCGGATCTTGCACTCTGACCGAAGCTCCTGGTGTAGCTGATGGAAGTTAGAAGGCTTTCATCGTCCTAAGCGCTTCTGCTTCAAAGCGTCTTCACACTGTTCGCCCCATGAAAACCATTCTTGTCCTGGCTTTGGCTCTTGTCACTGTATCGAGGCAATGCACCATGGTTTTGCTGATCAAACTCATCGAGCTCTCTTGCCTTTTGTAACATTAGCTTTTCTTCTTCTTCGTCCTTGTCTTGATTCTTTTGAGATGCATGTGCAGCAAGCCTCCTGAAAACAACCCCCCATTTTAGTATCACATCTAACAATTTTAAGCAAACAGAGCAAAGATACATCATACATGATAGCTCTTCAAAAAATCCCTTAACATGGTAACATAAGTATCATACAGAGCAATCACTTTCTACACCGGTAATTATTCATATACAAGCTCAAACAAATCATATGCAGACATAGACCAATCCTTAGACCTCGTTTGCTCTTATATGCGGATGCTGAAGTAACTCAAAACAGCAACATGACAAGCATATCCACCAATATTTACGTAATCACTTCATAGGATTGTTGTATCTCTCTTCCAGTACATAATTATTACTCCAGCAGACTAATCACTCTGGAACTTTAAAGAAAGATTACTTTGAGGGTAATGCTTAAGTGAGTCTTAATTTTAAAACTTAAAACAATGACTAAAAAGAAACTCAGCTAATCCAATACAAGCATGACTATGAGGAGACTTAAATCTAATCTGTGAGTTTCTTTCTCTTCATGAAATCCATAAGAATTTCAGCTAATCAAGAAACAAAAAGACCTCAATCATCCAATTCACACCAGAACCATGAAAAGTGTAAGTTAAAACCAAAAACTGGAATCCAGAATGATAATGGACTCAACAATCTTATCTATATCCTAAAGCTACAACTTCAATCAAGCTCAATCACAAACCAAAATCGTTCATATTGTCATGACTACAAACAGTCTCTCTTTTCCAAGCTACCTAAAGCAATAAATAACAAACCCTTGCGCAATACATAATCAAATTCGAAACTTTTCAACGAAGCCGAGAAGCTGAAATCGAAAGGTGGATGATTTTACCTCTGGATATCTTTCTTCTGCGCGAGGAAACATTCGACGATACACTCTCTACATAAGACATGACCTTTATGGCAACACATCGGAGATTACACACATGTCTCGACCTCGATATCTCCGGGGGAGAACTAACAGACCAAACAAATGGAGAGAATTAGATTTTCGGATGAAGAAGACGAAGAAGAAGACAAATTTATTCGGAAGAAGTAATGAATAAGAGACTGGACCATACAACTCTTCTTCTGAGAAATTAGGTAAATCAATTAACCAAGTGAAAACCGGGCACACCGAAAAGAAAACATGGCAAGGTTAAACCGAAACTTTGCTGACTGGTATTAACTAAAATGTTTTTAATTGAAATGTTTGCATTGATTGTTGCTTTTTACTGATGTGTCATCCTCAGAAAACTTAATAAAACTAAGGTGTTAATACCTTGAGAGGTACAGAGACTTTTGTTGTGTTGATTTATTTGCTAAACATATTAGTTTATTACGATTAAAACCACTTTATTACTTTAAAATTATTATATTTTAGTTCCATCTTGAATCACCATTATATCATATATATATATATATATATATGAAATAGAAACAATCATCTTCATATTTTGGATATGTGGACACATGAGAAGATGATATGTGTCAATAAGAGTTTTCAATTTAAAAAAAAACCCAAAAATTGACTTTTCATTGTCTTCTCCCGTTTATAAGGTAATAAGTTACAAAGTACAAACTCATTACGTGTGAAGCTAATAAGTCACTTTTAGAGATTCATCTTGTTATAACGGAAACTACTTAATTATTCCAAAACTGTTACTCTTCGACTTCAATTTTAAGTTATTATTTAATATATAAATTATCCTAATATACGGAGAAACCGATCCAGCGAAAAGCAATGACGGGAATTAGAATAATATAACGATGAGTAAACACATAGAGTTGAGGGAACGTATAGTATGATGCAAAAATATATATTTGAAAGTTAATTGTTAAACAAATAAGTTGAAATTAAATTGTGGGGTTTATTTATTTCGAATTTATAATATTACATATTATATCAAAATACAAATCACAAACTCATAATTGGTTTTATAGTATTTTTTAAAACTATAACAACAGAAAAACTCGCGCATATGCGCGAGCATTGGTGTAGTTAGCTAGTGAATATTGGCTAACATTTTCTTTAAAAATTACCACGGCAGCAAAAGCCCAACAACCTACTAAAGGATAATTAAATGTTGTGAGATAGACAAAGGAGCAGAAAGAGAAGTTTCTAAATAATACTCCCATTTAAAAGTCATTAACCAAACTCTTACAACGCCTTTTGTCTCCAATCCAACGAATCAGGGTCAGATCCGACTTTTAACTCGTGATCTTTTCTTTGAGTACATGTGTGTCATTTTCATTACTTAGCTTATTAAAGCTATACTATAGGTGGAGGAGCCACCACTTCGTAACCCTTGAACAACAGATTTGAAATATTCGTGAAGCAAATTCTTTTAAAGGAAAATGGGACCCTTCAAAAGCAAAAGGTGTGAGGGTAACCATTGATGGAGGTGCATATGCATGTACCTCAAGGCTGTTACAAGCCAACCTGTATAACACTGTTAAAGTTGATGCTTGTCATTCAGATTTCCGGTTAGGCATGGTAGCTATATTAGGTTAATATATAACTTGAGAATATCAAAATCCGATTTTGGTTGGGTCTTTTTGTACCTTTGAATAAAATCGGAAATCTGGATGACCAGAATCAACTTTAACTGCTATACAGGATGGCTTGTAACAGCCTTGAGAAGAGCTGCTTATCGATTTGAGGTACATATCCACTTCCATCAATTGTTCCCCTCACACATTTTTCTTTTGAAGGTTCAGATTTTCCTTTAAAAGAATTTGCTTCGCATTCTCTTGGAATATTTCAAAGATCTTGTCTCTTTCGTCGAGGCTGTTCAAGGGTTTCAAAGTGGTGGCTCCTCCACCTATTTTAATAAGCTTCCTTCGCTTTCTAAGTCATTCTGTCTTTATCCAAAAAAAAGAAGAAAAACAAGAGACATCAAGAGACTTTATCCAAAAAAAAGAGACATCAAGAGATGTTTGTCATTTTCTTTTCTTTGATGATTAATTTTATCGGAATTTGAAACTTTAAGAAATAGAGGTGGGATTATATAGGTAAGAGAAGTATAAATAGTTCGTAAGGAGTTGTTAGGCTTGTTGTTTAACTTGTAAGTTGATCACGTACGTGTTAATGAAATTATTAGGTTCATCACACACAATATATGAACAATTAACTATTATAATATTGTTATATATATGCTCCATATGTTTTTGAATAAGTGATGATGTTTAAGGTTGTGGCACATTGAATTTCCTATTCCTTCAAAATAGAAGATATGTTATCATCAATCAGAACACAATTCAACTAATAATTAAAGAATCCGCAGAATTCAAACAGTAAAAATAACACAAATAAATTAATTTGTGTATTGATTTATGAGAATATCATTTCTTTGTGAACAAAAAAAATATCTTCTAAAACATCACTTATTATTAGAGAACGGATAGAGTTGATTAAGTTGATCACAAAGTTGCAAATTGTGTGTGATCAGTTTTTTTTCGGTCAGGTGGGTGTGATCATTTTAAACTTGAATGAAGTTTAGAGTTTAGAGTTTAGATTATACGAACATCGTAATATTGCTTCTCCATCTAAAAGGATAAAGCAAATTACAACCTAACTAAACCACTACAAAGTGGGCTAGTGGTAGGACGGATCTAAGGTTGAGGAGGTAATTCCAATACACCCAGGTTCGATTCCCCCTTGCTACATACTAGTGGCCACCCGGGCTAGCGTTAAATCGCAAGAATACGTGGACTGCCGTAGGCCTCGTGGGATTAGTCGGTTGACCTCGGTCGCCGGATCCCCACGGTTATCAAAAAAAAAAAAAAAACTAAGACTCGTTCATGCACGTAAAAAAATGACAAATATTTACAAAGGACAAAAGCAAATTACAACCTAATGTTCCCATGATCCCATCCTCTTTTTTTTTCTCCCGACTACTGAGAAATATTCACACCCTTTCTCAGAAAAACAAAAATTAACTGAGAAATATACACAGATACACAGATACACAGATTTGGTAATAGTAGATTGCTTTATTCTGTTCATATTTCTAACCCTGGCGATCTTTGGTTGTTTAGATTTTGATTATAGAACTGTTTTAACCATTTTTAAGTTAAAGACCAATTGACAAGAAAAAAAAAAAAAAAGAGAATACAAGAGCTTTTACAAATCCAAAGGAAACCTAGATGTTGTCAGAGTAAAGGATGTCAACAAAGGTTTTCTAGTGCATTGTAGATTCTTATCCAAGACTTGTATCATTTGATCATGCCATGTGAACATGTGGTTCTTACAAAGAAACAGTTTGAGAAGGTTCAGTTATCTTTTCTGCCTGAAGGTTCAATTATCCGAAATGAATTATTAGTTCTATCTATTTAGTTATATCAAATTCGTAAAAAAGAACCAAACTTTTTTAGGAAATCCTTAGTTCATGTGGTAAATTGCTTCCACTGAAAACCTTTAATCAATCATGCATTCCTGTGTTTTGAATTTATTTGGTCTACAATAACCCGAAGTCATTATGAATCGAAGACCAAAAGAGGCAATACGAATTTATTTGGTCTACAAACTCAAAAACAAAAAATTAATACAAAGCCTAAACCATCACGGTGATGGCACCACCTAACGCAGCACATTTATCTAAAGACACAATACCAAAGTCTTTTATCCTAATTTAGAACACACTCAAAAGCCACCAACAATATTTGTATTCACCTATTAAAACTCTTTGTGGGGAGGCAAAGGAAACAAATGATGCGGGTCTCTCGCTGAGAATCTTGTTGATGAGTCTTCTGAAAGAGAATGGCAACGCCGGATAATTTGGGACTGTTTGGAAGATCTACATATGAAGAGTTCGTATTTTTGTTGTTCTTGATAAGACTGAGACCACTGTGAAGAATGAAAAAGCTAAATAACATTTTAGAATAAAAAGGTTACATGTTTTCTCGCAAACTGACTCACCCATTCATCATCTTGAACAGAGAAAGAAACGTGAATTCATTACGGTTTCTGGATTCCGGAGGCTCACAAGCTCATGTGGAACATGCACCACCAGACAACTGATATATTCTTGCTTAAGCATCCTTTAACGGTTATGAAGTAGATAAGGATAAGTGTTGATCTGTTTCATGGCCTCCAGAACCAGAATTTAAGTCAAGAAAGGAGTATTAAATGACTTTGTTCAAATATTATTCTGTTTTGTAATTGTAATTAAGTATATCATTTGCAAATAAAGCTGTTGTGTATTAGATTACCTTTAAAACGTAGAATACAAGTAATTCCCCACAGTTTGGTGATTAACCACGTACATAGATATATTAAAATTAAACCCAAGAATCATTTATTCCAAGGAAAACAAACATCATACATATTAGTGTTTTTGTTAGTTTGCAAGGTCCATTCTTGCGTATTTTCCACGAGCAATTCGTGCATCCAAACCTCTCAAACTCTTTGTCTCTTTTCTGTACATAGATATCAAAATAATGCGACTCGCTCTGCCAACTAAAACTGCAAAAATACAAAGTACGGCCGAAGATATCATGATTAAACTGAAATGACCATGATCCACCTGGTGCCAAACTCCGAGCTCCGAGATCATTATCACCCGATTTGCAATGGTATTGTAGCGCTAAACCACCTCCAAGATCATTATTGATCACAACTGTCGTTTTGGCATGAGACATCGTTGCATTTATGAACATAGTCATTACGAAGAGAACTATGAGTTACTTTAGAGAATTCATTTTTTATTAGTTTCTTTTGTTTTATCTTTCGTTTTCTTTTCCTTAGATTACTTCTTCTAAATTTATAGTGAAACATTTCATGTTTCTTCTATTTCAGTGTCCGTAAGATGGTCAACTAGGAAAAGATCCTTAACATACTAATTAAGATATGTTACTAACTTAAGGCATGGGAATTTTTCATATTTGTATTCCTAATTTCTAAATCAGTTAGGTATATAGATCAAACTTCAAATCAACCTTTGATCAAACAACATTCTGACTTGACCAAATATATTTACTAATTTTTACGTAGGGAATTGACTGGTGGAACACGTATAAAGTAAAATTTTCCAGCTTTCCATAGTAATCAAATTTTGTTCTAGATTCCATTTTGTTTTGACCAATAAAAGATAAAAAGAGGAATTTCTGTTCAACGTTGTTTTGATGCAAAGTACTAAAGAATGGGAAAGTTTTCTCGACACTAGGAGTCTAGGACTTTCATGTCTACCATCAGTTCTTTTTGTTTCTTGCTTAATTATATATTTTAGCTAGCGTATCTGTTTTGTAGTACACTTAGGTAGTACTGTAGTTTGATTGAGTATTTTGTTAGCTTGTAAATTTTAAGACCAAAGTAAAACAGAGAGAACTCGAATCCGGTTACGGTGCTAGCTGTTTAGTTAACCCTTTTATTATTATATTGTTGGACCGAGACATAAAAAAGTACAAAGGATATAATACGGAAGGTTTACCAAACAAAGAGTAACTAGCGAGATAAAGAGAGACTGATCAAAGAAAACTCCTTGAGCTGACTAAAAAAGTACGGCTCGGGTAACGCCAACACTGGTGTAGTAGTCAACATCTCCTTGAGCTGACTAAAGCTCTCCTCACACTCAGCTGACCAAACAAACGGGACATCCTTCCCGGTCAACTTCGTCATCGGCTGCGCCATGGTAGCAAACCCCTTGACGAACCTCCTGTAGTATCCTGCCAAACCCAGAAAACTCCTGATCTCGGTGGCACTACTAGGTCTAGGCCAATCTCTGATAGCCTCAATCTTAGCCGGATCCACAGAAACTCCCTCTGCAGAAACAATGTGGCCAAGAAATCCCATCTCTCGCTGCCAGAAACTGCACTTGCTCAACTTAGCAAAAAGCTTCTGCTCCCGAAGCTTCTCCAGAACCAACCTCAAGTGAGTCGCATGCTCCTCCTGACTCCTCGAGTATACCAGAATATCATCAATGAAAATGATGACGAACACGTCCAAATACTCCCTGAACACGTCGTTCATCAATCTCATGAAGGCTGCCGGCGCGTTAGTCAAACCGAAAGGCATAACCACAAACTCAAAATGCCCATAACGCGTCCTGAAAGCAGTCTTCCTGACATCTGCCTCATCTATCGGGATCTGATGATACCCCGATGCCAAGTCAATCTTGGAGAACCAAGTAGCACCCCTCAACTGATCCAACAACTCATCAATCCTCGGGAGTGGGTACCTGTTCTTCACAGTGACTCGGTTAAGACCTCTGTAATCGATACAAAGTCTGAAACTGCCATCCTTCTTCTTCACAAACAACACCGGTGCTCCCCACGGTGAAACACTGGTCGAATGAACCCCTTAGACAAAAGGTCCTCTATCTGCTTCTTCAGCTCTGCCAACTCAGCTGGCGCCATCCTGTAAGGCGTCTTCGATATCGGTGCTGTCCCCGGCTCTAACTCAATCGTGAAAGGATCAGACCGAGATGGTGGTAATCCCTTCAGTGACTGAAAGACATCCTCAAAATCCTGGACAACCTCAATATCTCCCATAACAACTCCAGCTCCTGACTCAGACATAGAAATCGTCGCCAGATACGCCTCACAGCCCCGCTCTAACAACTGCTCGGCCTGAATAGCAGATATCACAATACTCCCGGAAGTCGGTCTCACTCCCTGATAAACCAACCTCCCTGCATCTCGCTCGAAGACCACTCTACCTCTGTAGCAATCCAGATGAACTCTGTAGTGTGACAACCAGTCCATCCCGAGAATAACGTCATACAGCTCCACCGGACTGATGACTAAGTCTGCTGGCATTGACTGCCCCGCAATCTCGATCTCGACTCCTCTAGCACGGCCCAAAGTAGACAAGAATCCACCTCCCGCCACCTTGACCATGCCCGCGCTCTCGCCCGCGCTACTCCGGATGCCACTCTTCTCGGCACGCTCCGGTGTAATGAAGCAATTCGATGCTCCAGAGTCGAATAAAACGTGGGACTCAAAACCGCCCACTAACAAGGTCATTACACACATGCGTTGAGAACCTCCACAATTTATCACAGATAAATGAACAACAACAGCAACAACAACCATTATGCCCTCGATGGCCCGCCACCACAAATGTGCATCTCCACTCAGATAGTGGACTGCCAACTCAACCTGGTACTAAACCAGAAATCTGATAGACTGGAAATTCCGCTCCAATCTCTGACGCCACTCATCTGCCGCCTCTGGGCTAACTCCGCCCTCAAAGTACGGCGTACCAATCCTCTGCATGTGCCCCACATATCCAAATAGGACGGCACCATCAAACCCACAGCCTGCGGCTGAACAAATCCCGCAGCCCTCTGCTGCACCTCTGCCACTGGAGGTACTCCCGGAGCCCCTGTGGAACCACTGGCGGAAAACGAGCCAATAACTGCGTCAGCAAACCCACCACTAAGTCATCAAGACCCTGAGCCGGAGCACCACCCCAACCCGGAGCAGCCCCCGCTCCCAAACCAACACTCGCATCCACACTGGCCTCACTCGCCACGGATACCGACTGGGTCACCGACGCAGTCGCCACACTCGGCACCACACTCTCTCCCGAATCCGCCGAAGTCCACAATCTCGGCCCCGGCCTCCACGGCCTCTAGCTCTGCCACCACGGCCTCAGCACCGCGCCCTCTCGCGCCACAACCTCTAGCTACTCAGTCCATCTCACTCATGGAACCGAAAAGAGCACACTAGAACACAACCAAAACTCAAAACAAACATAAACTCACCGCGGAATCTCTTGTAGCTGAAGGGGATGATACTAAGCCTAGCAATTCTAACAGTCCTAAAACCGTCTAGGCTCTGATACCAAAATGAAACAACCAACATTTTTTTTTTTTTTAATAATATTAATCAATTCTAGCGAAGGTCTTTAAATAAATAAATAAAAATAAAATATCAATAACAAATAAATCATCAGCGGAAGCAAATAATAATTAAACAAGTCTAGCAAAATAATGCAAAACAATAAAACAGTAAACATCCTATCATCCCCCTCTTCAGCCTTGATTCCGCGATCACACAAATCTTTTACCTGCAACACATTGGAATGGAGTTGCGTAAGTATTTAATAAATACTTAGTGAGGCAATCACTCTGCCTACGAGCCATTTACGCAATTTACTAGATATTTAATAATATTTATAAACTCCAATAATTATTAAATACCATTTTCCAATTATTAAATAATTTTTAATAATTAAAACTCAATTTCTCAATTATTAAATAATTCTCATAATTAAATAATAATTTTCCATATTTTAAAATAATTAAAATAATTATTTTAAATCAATTAATTAATTAAATTATTAATTAATTAAATCCGAAAATAAATAAAATTTAATTAAAACCAATTAAATTCAATTAACCAATTAACCAGAATCAAATCAATTAAACCAAGATAAACCAATTAAATCAATTAAATTCAATTAAACCAATTAAACCACACAAACACACAATTCATCACATAAACAACCAAAATATCATAAAAATAACAATTAAAACATAAACTCATCAAGAACAACCACAAACCAAATCTAATCTAGCAAATCACGGACCCACAGTCATGCACTCACCTTGACAATGATTGAAACTGAAGGAAAAAGGAAAGACGATGAACAGTGCCGAATCGCGGATGAACAGTAACCCGTGAACAGTACCGATGAACAGTAACCCGTGAACCGATGAACAGTAAAATCGGATTTTCCCATAAATTATAACGCCCAGACCGCCCCTCCCGGTGAGTCACCCACACCCTCTCTCTGGGCCCGCAGGACCATCTCGGCCCGTGGGCCTCACCCCTGTCCGACGGCCGGTCCGTTATTTTCGAGAGGCTCTAACGACTTGTTTACTATCCCTGAAATCAACACCTGACCTTTTCCCGTGTTTTGGCCTCACTCACACGGTTTCGGAAACCACTTCCCGAAAGGTCACCCATCCTTCAACTACTCCAGCACAAGCACGCTTAACTGGAGTTACTTATAGACCTTTGACCGAAAAGGTAAGTGCACTTTGTTGACATAGGTAGCCAAATCAATTCTTTTAAGCCTCTCCTCATTTATCACAAACCGCGATGTTACATATTTCTTAATGAGAAAGAAACTTTTAAAAAATATAGCTTGTTATATATATATTTTTTTTCATTTTTGTAAAGGGAATATGTTTTTATTCTCTTACTGGATGTAACATTTTTTAATTATTTCTTCATGTTTTTCTGATTTTCGTTTTTTTTCTCCTTTTCATAATAGAATTATTTTTTTTCTTTTCTTTTCATAATGGATGTAGTATTTTTCTCTTTTTAATTGTTTGTATCCTGTTTTCTGATTTATCCTAATGTACTAATAAGATTTTATTCAAATAATTTTAATTTTGATCCAATTGACCTAGAGTCAAATAATCTCCACTGTTCTGTTGAACTTTCAAAGACATGATTTTGAAATTAGAGAAAGAGAATCAAATAGATTTTCTGAATTTGCTTTGATAAATTTGTAAATGAGAAAAAAAACTACAATAGCTCTCTTTTTATAGGGGTTCATGTAACCAATTTCATATAGTTTTAGGATATTTAGTTTACATACCTATTATATGTACTAATAGGATTTTTTTAAATAGGACTTTATATAACCTATTCCATACAATTTTAGGATATTTAGTTTACATACCTATTCCATATACAGTATAACCTCTATAAAACAATACTCGATAAAACAATAAACACTATAAGATAATATTTTTCTCCGGTCCCAACTCGGGCCAGTGTAAAAAATAGCATAATGCGATAAGATGATAAGACAATAATATTTGTGAAACTCCTATGTAAAAATATAGTCCCAATAATAAGCTAAGATAATAATTATAAAACTAATGCATATATATCTAAGACAATTTAGTAAAATATGACTCCAATGTAGTTTGTCTTTTCTGAAAATTGGATTCGTGTTGGAGCTCATCTCGAATTTTTCTTATTGCATCTACAATTTCTGGAGGTGTATTCTCAACATGCAGCCAAAAGTTGCGAAGAGTTCTCGAAGCCACAATTGCATCCTTACGTGTAACTACTTGCACATGTCCTTCCTCATCATCTTTAACTTCATCTTCACCATTAAGAACAGTAGACATAATTTCTTATAGACTCTGAGCTTCTGAGCATGAAATATGTAAATCATACTATTATTTGCAAAGTCAGAATTTCGAATGGAGCCACCACGTTAACTCTCAGCCACGGAATTACCGAGATGCCCTTAATGAAAATCTATTATTAAATCTTCTGAATTTCCTTTTTATTAATTATTCGTTTATGGTATTAAGACCAAAAAAATTATAGAAAATCTTAACAATATCTTCAAAATTTCCTTTTTTATTAATTATTTGTTTTTTGTATTAAGCCCAAAAATTTATAGAATTTATCCTATAAAAATAATAAAATTATAATTCTTTGTATAAAAAGAGGAAACCTAGATTTTAGAAATCTCCATACAAGGCTGGAAGCTGTGCGTCTCAAAGTCGGTCTTCTTCGTGTTCTTCATCTTAACGTTTTAGGTAGATTGTTAATTATTTTTTCTGTATTGGAGTGTCATGTTTTATGCATTACGTGTTTAAATTCAAATATAATAATTTGTGTTATGTGTGTAGAATTTGGTGACGATCATCTCAAAGCTAAATGATGGTTGAGCATCGACTTGACATATGAAGTGTCTTTTCTATGAACCGAGGGAATACCCAATGAAATCGTTCTTTTTTCTCTTGGTCGCTAATGATTTCCGTGGTTTGGAACCAATGAGCTGAACCTATAAAAAGGTGGTTCATATATTCTTGGTATCTAGAATTTCATCATACTCTAGGAAAAAATACAACTCTTCACATATTTTTTTAGCTATTGACATCAATTATATTATGAAGCTAATTTCTGACTTGAACATTGTTTGTCTCTTGATGGGACAAAATCAAGAGACTGGATATGAAAGTGAGTATTTGGAGAATTGGTTTCTCGCTGTAGAAGTTAATTCTAATTGATTTTGTTGTTTGGGTTTGCTCTTGGATGATCTAGAGGGTTTTTTTTACCATAATATTACTGTTGTTTGCGGATGATCTAGAGATCCACTTTATTATTATTATAGAGAGTTTCTTTGTTTTATGTGTAGACATAGTTGGCAAACTTCATTGAGTTTCTACGTTGTATTTTCTTCAGCATGTTGCAACTGGCAACCACAACGCACGGTGGCCATCATGCTTATAATGAAGGTCTTACAGCAACAAGCATGTGGTAACCATTCTGCGTGCTTTTGGATACTCATCTCGCACTCTATTGACAAAGACTTTCTTATGAGTGAATATGAAAAGGGTGAAAACTGAGTTTGAAAATACAAAGGTATGTTGCTTCTTAAATTAGATTCATCCTTTTTATTAGAGTTTAGTTTCTTCTCTGGTAGAGTTTCCTATGATTCAAACAGGTAAATAAGGCTGACATGCTCACAAAGGTTTTAAACAGTGCTATTAAAAGGTAAGCATAGATATTGATCTTGGTATTAATATTTTATATTTATTTTGGGTTTCTAACTCTGTTTGTTTTGTTCTATTGAAACAACCATCAATATTAAGTGGAAAAGAAGCATTTTTTAAAAAAGTTAAAGAAAACCTCGACAGCAAACACCAAGGTTTGTCATCATCTCCGTAGCTATATACTTTTACTTGACAATGTGGAGTTTATTTTTAAGTTTGTAGAACGAAGTTAATGTTATATCTGATTTTATTTTTAAAGTGAAAGTATCCTTTTGGTAATATACTATTGAGGTTTTGTCGCATGATTCAGGTTTGGAGATCTTCAATGAAGATGAACAAGGAATGTTGTAATCCCACAAATAAGCTAACTAAGGATGGTTTTTATTTTTCTTCAAGTTCGTCAATGCAATTTTACAGACGAAGAAGCATTGCAGGCTAGAGAAGGAACTCCATATATTGTAACAAAGGATAGGAAAGATGTGTACCATTTCTGGGGTGGAAGTTTGCTAAAGACTAGACCATGAAGCGTGAGAATATGACGAGGATCTAGAGAAACTTACCTCTGTCTCTAGATTTATAAACTTACATATATAGGAAGTCAAGTACGGTCATCTTCTTTTCTTTGTTTCACGTCTTATATTAGATTGTTATATGTTATATATATGATTGCCAAAATGTTGTTTAGATTCATTCCTAATAATCCGTTTGATGATTTCTTTTGATCTAATTTGAGCGGCTTATATACGAAAACATAAATAACAGAAAATAAAGTGGTAGACAACTGATTAATAAGATGTTGCAAAAAAAGAAAAAGACTGATAATACAAAACAATGAAGAATACGAGAAGAAATAAGAAGAAAAATCTGAATAAAAATAAGAAAAAGATGAAAGTTGAAAGATGAAGACGAAAAAAAAAGAAAGAAACAAAACAAAATAATAAAAGAATTGAAGGAATATGTGAATAATAAAAAGTTAGGAAAATCAAACTATAAAAAAAATGAAGAATAGGAATACAAATTGTAAATAAAAGGAAGAAAACGAATAAAAATCAGGAAATAAAAAGATGAAGATGAAGAGAGAGGAAAAGAAAAAGAGAATATAAAGTTTGATAAGAATTAAAAAAAGGTAGAAAATGAAGGAAAAATAATATAAAGAAGTAAAAGACAAAGTAAAAGAATAATAAGATAAAATGGGGCTGGGATTTACGGTGTACAATTTATATTGATGGGTGTCAAGTTTAATTTTTGGTGCATTTTAAAAAATTTGAATACACTATATTACCGATTAAAAATAAAAGAAAAAAAATTCTTTTAAGAAAAAAAAGGAAAAGA